TTGTCACATTCGATGAAGAGCCAACAGAAACCAGTACATTGCTATCCACATTTCAAAATCAATTTTGGTATAACCATCGTTGGGCGGTCGGAGTTTATGGGAAGCATTTATTTACATTACCATTTCACTTTAAGGAACTGAACTGTTTTACTGATGTCGATGAAATCAAGTCAAGTAATTCGAAAATGTTATCTACATGGCCGTACGTGACATTAATCGACTTGTCTCAATGCAACAATTTGGATGTAAATTTAATCAAGCAATTGAAAACCAACATGCCGAATTTAACAACACTAATCTTGAGTGCGGAATCAATGAACAACTTAGTGATAGATGAGACTGTGACATTGGATAATGTTAGTACTATTCATTGTAAAGGCGAATACCTGCAAAATATTAAACAGTGGCTAGTCAAGGTCGTTCCAAACACAAAAAGATTGGTTTTATCGTATCGACCACAATCCGCAACATCTTCCTTGAACCGAACGGTGTATTTGCATAAACTTGATGCGTACTTTCGTGGTCCACAAACCATTAGAAATTATACTTATTTTCTAAATATTCAACATGTTGATGTCAAATTTACCGTGGACGACGCCGAGGATGTCCATAGGCATGTGTTACGTCTTATTCGGGAGTTTTTCGAGATGTTCAAGAATTTGAATTCATTTACATTTGAGTTTCATCAAAATATTTTCGATATGAACAATATCCCGTTCAGAGATCCAGACGAACTGTTTAAGTTATTAAATATGGACAGAATTTCGCAGAAATATCGTCTGAAACGCGTCGACAACTATATTCAATTTATCAAAAAAACTCGTGTATAATTTTTTAGAAGTTTTGTATTGTTTCTTTTGTCATTTTATCAATAGATTGCCTCACGCTGAATAATTTCAGAGGTTAATATCATTGCATAGTCTTCGGAAAATTCCAACTAAATCAAGACACATTTTCCATGGTCTTCTGTTCTGGCGTCATGCAGCCACCGGAGAAGATTGTCAATAGTGATCTCCAACATCTCTTCCAATCTGAAGTCTCTGTTTGTAATTATTTTACAATGTTCTTCGCGGGAAAAGTAAACAATTAACATTTGCCTTGCATATCTGGCCTCAAATTTCAATTTTCTTCTCTCTGAAACAATCGACGACGTTTCTCTTCAGCCTTGAGATGACCAGACTTTATCGCAAGAAGAAAACTGAGAAAATATATTGGAAAAATCTAACTAACATTAATAATGCATAAAGAAAGAGAGAAAGCATACGCCTCCGTCCTCGAAGAGTATATAAGTGCATGTACGCATGATTATTTAACGCATAATCATATCAATCAGTCTGCTATTGTTTGAAAATCGAAAAAAAGATTAAACATTTTATTGTTGTAGGCCCTTTTCACGAACAGAGATATGGCGGAAGCAGTCGACTCCATACATAAGAGACGTAACTCTGACATAGAAATTGATGATCGTATCTTAATTCGAAGTAAGATTTCATGCGAAAAGTTTTCCAACCAAGCATATTTCAAATCGCTTTTGAGGGCGTGAATGGAGCAGCTTACAAGTGGTCGCGTCATGTTTAGTCGGGTTCATAGTGGGTATTCTCTTCAGTATGTACCATACGGTATCGACGGTTTACCCTACATTCAATGGTGTTTGGATATATCGAATCGATAATATTGGTACCAGTATCTACCTGATTTAAATTCATTTCTCAAATATCTCATAGTTTAGAACTGTTTTTATCGCCAATACCGAAAAGTTTGGATCAAATTAACGATCAATGGAAGTCAAAAGATTATGATAGTATTCTTTGGAACGAGAGTTGTCCCACACATCGGATGGTACCACGTGAGACGTTATATATACTTTCGTTTAAGTACGGAGTTTCGGTTGATGAGCTGATTGCTCTGAATCCTGTTGTGAACGTGACGGAGCGAACGACTGGGATAGTCATACGGCTACCATGTTATCGTATGTATCGAAACTTTCATTAAAATCTGCTCTACTTAAATAAATAATAATGCGATTAGTGTTGGTGTCACAGCGTATATACTATCATGGCATGTATTCCGGCTCAAAAGCGTGGTTTCAACACACAATTGGTCCAGACGACACAGTTGGTAAGCTTGTTCGGTATTACGGTGCTGAACTGGAAGATATTGTAAATGCCAATCCGGGAATTCAACCTGACGTAGTGGTTAATGGACAAAAAGTTCAAGTACCTATTAGCATTCGACAGGCCATCCGGTTTCTGTCTGCCTACCAAGGAAAATAGAGATGAGAATATCTCTCGGTAACATTGATACTCCTTATAGATATTTTATCCAAGAATTTATATGAAATGCGAAATTATATGACTATCATTTTCCTAACCACGAATACACATCCGACTGTTTTTGATAAATTCTAATCTTTCGACATAAAACCAGGCTGAATCTTTTCCAGTTTATTTTCACCGAGATATTCCTCTGGATCATATGCTTCGTAAGCCGTTAGATAGCGATTTTTCTCTGATAATTTGCCTCACAAATAAATATTCAAAGATGTGGAGGATTCACATGCGCTAATACTATTCCACATACTAATTTAATTGTTAATAATCAAAGAGTCAATTCTCATTTGAAATATATTCATTATTTATTAAAGATAATGATTGAAGTTGAGAATAAAGATCAACAAGAGAACAGATTTCGTCGAAGCATTCGATTTCCTCCGATAGAGCTTGACCGTTTGAAAGATTTTCACTATTGTTTATACCATTACGTAACAGCAATCAAATCAAAGTTAGATTTAGTTACCCAGTGAAAATCTCATGAATGACTATACTGATCTATCAAACAATGGAAAACAACTGTTCTGTTGTGAAAAAACTAAAATTGTATAGAAACCACTCAGATAAGTACAAATTTTCTAGCAACGTGAAAAACGTGACGAAGTCCGATGACTTGTTTTCTCACATTTATTTCCACGAATGATCTTTTAGTAAATTGAAATGGTTTGAATACAAAACTACATTGTTTCAACGAGAAAAGGTGAAAATTTTGTAACAATTGCACTAGGTTCACATACACAGAACTCGATGAAATTTTGCCCAATTGCATCAAACAATAGTTGACATCTGCCATGCAATTTCTCTGCGATTGCAGCTGAAATGTCGCTTGGACTGTGTTTTTCCTCTTTTGTTCTATTCGTGGGTTTCATCTTGATTGAATCCCAATTGAATCTATATTAATTCTAACTTCCGAAAAACTAGCTATATCAATAATTAGCGCCAACAAATCTTGTCGAACGTTATCAAGTATATATGCAATGACCATTAGCATCGATAGAAAGGGAAGTTCAGTCCAGTGTGTCAATATCAGTTGGAAATATCTCGCCAGTACGACCTTAGAGAATATCGATCGTTTCTACAATTTCTTCGGGGGTTATATATTAGATTGCAAGATGAATCGATTGGTACAACACGCTACGTTCACTTACAATGTCCGCATTTGTCGATTTCACCATGTTTGGATTGGATGAACATATGTGATGGAAAAATCGATTATGTCGATGCGGGCGCTGATGAAGAACACTACTGGTAATTATAAACTAATAAGTGTAGCGATCATGAATATCAATGTGCTAATGGACAGTGTATTCTTAAAGAATTCCGTCGAGATAGCATGATGGTTCGCGGCTTCCTCGATGGCAGTGATGAAGCCGATGTTTTGAGTCGAGGAAATACTAAAATAGAAGATATATTTTGTGCCGAATTTCTACTCTCATACTCGTAATTGTTCTCAACGACGCCAGGATTTTCTCGTCAATATGATCTATTCGATGAAAGATGATACAAACTCGCACGATTGTTAGTTGGCATCGAAATGTATGCTACAAGTTCCCGATGGTATGCGCAACGATGATTAAAAACAATTGTTCAACAATGTTTTACGTTGCAAACGCTCCTCTCATTTCCAACGATGTCTATCTCGCTTATTCAATAGACGATCTCAGCAAAAGATTCACGCACCATTATATCTGTATGAGCAAATATCGCGAAGAAAACTTGCCGGGTAATGTGTCAATAACCATTTTTAACAATCAAACATATATTCGACCAACAAACTTTCCAACATTATCCATACATGCAATGAATAATTTGAGATCAAACTTTTACTGATCATTATATCCAATTAAATCCAATTTCGATACTTTATCAACAGTCAAATACGTATCGATGTACGCGGTCAAGAAGATGCATTCCTGCGTTTCGCTTCAAAGACAATGAATACAATTGTCCGTTTTGGGACGACGAAGAAATCGACTAGATTAACGTGACCAGTCTATCCAAACGACTACAACGACAATTGTTTAAATGCGAAATACCGAACAAATACATTTCTTCTTTCTAATCATTCGACGATGACTATCTTGATTGTCCGTTTGATCAATCGAAACCCTTTGTTAAAGATGAGCCACGAGACGTTCAATATGAAAAACATTTTTATTCATTTTACTCAATTCGTGATCGCTAATGAACAAAGTCAAACTGATGAAACCGAATGCGAACAATGGGAGTGTAACAATCTTAACACGGCATGCGCTGCCATATGGAATTGTCCCAATAATGCCGACGAAATCTATTGTAAACCATCTTCACGATGCATATATGTTCGTCGATTGTTCCCAGACAAATGATAAATATATCCATTGCACAGATCTATGATGGTCGAATTGATTGTCTCGGTTCCGCTTATGACGAACCATTGTTATGCCCTCCGAATACTTCGCAAATTTTTTTATTACAGCAGCACAAATGCTCTACGTGATTCCTGGTAAACATTATTCACCATCGTTATTCTCCTGATGTGCAACACCAACGCAAGAACGATTCATTCCGTTCAGCAACACATCGAGGCAGTTTATTGTTCTCGTTGAGATTTTCTTTTTTTATCCGTTTACCGTTTGCCACTTCTGATTGTCACATTCAGCACTCTTGCACTTGTTCATCGGATTCCCTATGTCTGAGAATAAACGCCAATACGAATCGATCGATCTGCATCTACCCGATGAACAAATTCAGTGTGTCACGCGAAAAATTCGACGTGTCAAATACCATAATTTACTATGTTCAAAACAATCATTGAGTCTCTCTTACTTTTCTGATGATATTCATTTTTGTGTCTATTATGGGCATCATGACACACGTTTAGCGAATTATTTTGAATTCGATCATGGTCAGAAATTCAATTGTTCTGGTCAAAGTGTTTGCAAAAACAATGGATTTTGCTTTGAAGATAGCTTAGATTGTTCTAAACGCTCGGTCTATTCTTGTTTATCATGTTACTACAGAACATACTATCGATTTAGTACAAGTGGATTTGGTTTATCACTCAACGCAATCCTAGGTTTTCACGTTCTTCCAAATGTAGAATATCGCCACCAACCAACGATCGTTAAAGTCGTCGTTGACCGTCTCAACGGTGTTTTAACTTCAGTTACTTTTCAAAACAGAGGTATACCTCATGCAGGTTGTGGGGCTGTATTTACTATAGTCTTCGATAACGAATTTGTTCTCAATAAGTTTATTCGGATGGAAGTTTATTATCTTGACTCTTACACAAACGGACAGGATTACGAATCGATTGTTCTTCCGAGTGGAACGTTATTCCGTGAATTTTCTTCTTCGAATTGGTTTGAATATCGATCAATGACTATACGCATGTGTCGCGATCGAAAGAGCAACGGCTGTCTTGTACGGTGTTCGGTTCTCTATAGGCAAAAGTAAACAATTAGCTAAGTTCGTTGTTATTATGATTGTGATAATTATCAGTGTAACATCGATTCATGATCCTTTGCATCGGCATTTAATTGACAAAGAAAACGACGAGATGAAACAAATTTGGTGTATTGTTCGTTACTCACTAAATGTGCAAGATTACACTATTCTCATCGATTCTACTCAGTTTTTCGTTCCATTTGGGATTGATTTTGTCTTAACTGTGATTTTAATTACAAGAAAAACCAGCCAACAAAGCACTGTCCATGCAAATCGAATGTATGAAAACATTTTCCGAGAACAACTGTATCATCATCAAAATTTACCCATCTCTCCAATCATTTTAGTGCTATTCTCATTATTGCGCATTGTGATATATTATTTATCCAAATGTTTGAAATCTAACAATGACTCCTGGGGTGTATCTCATGGGATCTGAAACTGTATATGAGTCAATTTCGAAAATCTACTGTTTATTATCTGAATAGTGTTCAACGAAGTAAATCAAATCGTTGGATTCGATGATTTTTCTGATCAGCAACATAAAGATTTCCTTGAACATCAAATGACAAACTACTGGGAAGGTACAAATGAAATGGCTTTTCTCCGTATCCATTACTACCAACAATTAATCCACCTACTTCTTCTTCTTCTTCGCTCCAACGCACAATTCGATCGTTATAACCATCTGCAATGTAAGCGTGACCAAAGTCATCAACAGCTAATCCCTCAGGACCATCCAATTGATTCAGATACTTTCCCCTTCCATTCCCACCTGCAACAACCAGTCCCTCATTCGCATCTCTTCTCCATTTCATCACACGATGATTGTAATAATCTAGAACGTAAACCGCTTGTTCATCATCGACGCGAAGAGAAGATCAGGAGAACGGAATTGATTGAGTTGATCTCCTTCTCCGTTTCCACCAGCAACTAATTTTCCACTTTCTTACTTCATGTTTCTTTTCATCCAAGACGCAAATAAATCCGTATTTGTTTTTTGCCAAACCGACACACGCAAATCGTCAATGAAGATCTTCTGTTCATTTTGATTGGACCACCGAACCACTCGCTCGTTCCATTGATCAGCAATAATCAATGCACTATTTTGTTCATCGACGATGATGTCCGTTAGATGATACAATTGGCCTATTCTGTTGCCTTTTCCAGACCCATACCTTCCTGCTACAGTTTGTACAGAATCCGTCCACCGTTTGAATTGGATTTCTTCTAAAGAAAGGATAAAACAGTTTTATTTTGAATGAGACTGCAACGTAGTTTTATCTTTGAGATCTATTCTGATTTGTAAATCATCGGTTTCAACTAAATGAACATGATAGGAACGTTTTGGATGTTCTAAAACATCATCTTGAACACGAAAGCTTGTCTCCATCTTTAAAATCACGTCATTCTCATGTTCATGATCAGTATAACCACAAATTCTCTTTCCACATGATATTTCGATTAAAAATGTTGTTGATTTTGTTGCATTTTGAAGAAAATCTCTGATAACATTAATCGACGAAGAACACGAACTGATACTCGACCATGTTATCTTTTGATTGCGAGACCAATTCTTTCCAGTATCATTCGAAACACCACATGAAACAACTCCGCGAACACTTGACAATTTGTCTAAAGCTGAATTAAATCATTTCAGATACGGAAACAATGTCGTCAGTGCATCTCGATCTTCATCTCTCAACGCTTTGTTCAAAACTCGGTACAGACTTGTTTCTTCCCATTCCATTGTATAAATATAAATCGAAGCCGATTCATCATGTGTTAAATCATGTTCGGATGGAAAATGACGACGCTCCTTCGCTGTGGTAACATAAGACATCAATTGATCAATTCGAGATTGGAATGGTTCTAAAGCATCTTCAAGTAGAACCGATTTTGCATTACGATAACCGTAAGTAGCGGGAAACATTTTAGATGTACAATTGAGGTCACCAAAACGATTCTTTGTTGAGAAAGTTTTACCATAAAATGAAGTCGACTTGCTTTTTTGATCGAACAGGTAAAACGACAACAAAGATAAAACATATCGTTCGTAACAAGCAGGTTTCTTATGTTTTTCATCTTTACCTTCACGGAGAGTCATTTCGATTATAAAATCGATACATGTGCATTTTGGTAATCGTATGCAAAACTATTTCTAAAAAAGATTATATTCTATTTTCCTACATGCATTTATTTACTGAAACTGATTATACATAACTACGAAAAGCGTTGAAAACTTATGGGTCATCTATTATACATTTGTGTATGGAGCCATGAATGAAATTGTCGAAATGCCAACTGACACATGATAGGATATTCCACTTCTTCGTTTTTTCGTTAAATGTCAGTGAGAGGAAAAGTAATATAAAAAGGAACTGAAGTAATACGATACTATGTGATAAAGTTCGTCGGTGCCTATATAAACCATGTACACAATAAAACACGATCATCCATTTGATACAAATCTGCATCGAAACGATGACGCGAACTTCCAATCTTCTGACTGTAGTGATTATTGTATTGCTTGAAATATATTATTCTGAATCTTCTTCGTTTTTATCGAACGGGGGTAGGTTGATTGTAGCAGGATCTTTTACAAATGATTTTTTATTATGACCGTTATAGAGACTCCTGCTCAATGGGCCGTGAAGTGGAATGGTATAGGGAGAAGTAACAATCCTGCTCATAACTATGCCTTTTCGTGGCGAGGTGCTGGTATTTCTGCGAAAGAGAAAGCAAAATTGATTTCAAAGATTGAATCGCAATCGGCTGATGACGTATATGAGGCTCTACTTGCTCGACCAGGTCCACGCGTGAGCTATTATGGGACCTGCGCGGTTGGAATAGTCCACGGAACGCCTACATTTTGGGTTGAAGGAATGTATGGATCTGTAGGACATTCCGGTTATCCGAAAAATCCTGATTCCGGCGATGCAACAGGACATTTAGACGCATGCTATAATGAGCATCGAATAACAGGCCTTTGCTCCTATTCAGATGTAGCAGAACGAGCAAAACAGACGCTCCTTTATGCTGTTAAGAATGATGTTTGCACCAATTACTACAATTTGAAACAGTTACTTGGAACAACATCTGAAGTAAGGATTGTTGATATGATGATATTGTAGTTCATTTCTTTATTATTTCAGAACTTGTCCGAGTATCCTCAACAAGTAGAAGAGAGAGAAAACGTTCAAAGTCGTGCTGCTAAATTTCTTTCTGCAGTTGGTCTCCGAATTCCACCGACCGGCACAGGCGATAAATGGATCACTTTGTGTGAAGTACAAGCACGCATTCGATATTCTGGCTTCAAAGCAAAATCGGACACACGGACATGTACAAGAACTGTCAATGGTGAAATCAAAGAAGTGCGAGTCAAAGTTAAAGAAAGTTGGGGTTGTGCATATCATACAGAAACATATGCATCGGGTACAAGTCTTAAATACAAGAATAGTGTCTCTCGTCAATATGATGATGGTATAAAGTTGGCAATAGATTCGCGAGATAAACTAGCTGCTGATTATTTGGAAACAATGAAGTATCGACATTTGGAGAGTCTTGATGTGGCTACTAATCAAGATACAGCTAGATTAACTGCAACGGCGACAAGCCAGGCCTTCTGGGGACCAGGTGGTAATTGCAACCTTGCGCTGGAAGGACGTGTCAATGAACTTTACTAACTCTGAGTTACTTTTTCCACCATATTTTATGCATGATGACATTAAAATAAAGTTAAATCAGCAGCGCATATATCTGTCTGTTGTTATTATGAGGAATGATATTCGTTCTACCGATAAAAAACAAAACAGTATGTCGAACGTAGTCATAAACAACTTGAGTTGCAGTCATCAGAGATAAACGAAAGAAAAAGGAACTGTGTCGAGAGCGCACCTGGTTCGCCTGTATATTCTCTTATCATATCAGTCAACTTTGGTTACCTCTCTTGATATAAAGAGGAAGTGTCCTAGAAAATCACAAGTTCGAAGATGTTTTACGATCAGACGATAGAGATATATAAATACAACTTCGAATATGCATGTAGACAAGCAAAAGCAATCCTAATATACTATCGCAATGATCAAAATCGTATTGTTCTTGGCTACTGCTGCTGGTATAGCAAATTTTGAATCGAATGGATGTCTTTATCTTGATTTATAGGCTTGATTCACGCGCAAACGGTGCTCTATCAATGTTCCATCTGGGGTGATCCTCAATTGGTTCAATTTCCGACGAATACTCTACAGAGTGCACAGCACAGTTTTTGTTCATTCGATGGTCACGCAGTGTTGTATCGGTCAAAATATGTGCTTATTTCTGTTCGCAGTGCTCGGCACGGCGATTTGGTGCTCGACGTAAGTTTCCAACCAAAATAATCATCAACGCTGCTCATGAATTGTTAAATTTCAGTTCAATATTATTTTTTTTAATAATGCTTCTGTGCCAATCTGCACGGTGAACGCATTGGAGTTCATCACAGGTGAACGAGTATGTGATACGGGTAAGATAAAGGTTTTTCGATGCAGAGGTAAAGAAGTGTGTCCGCAATTCCAGAGATTGTTATTCAGAAATCGAGTTCAACAGACATCAATGTTCAATACAAGCAAGCTCAATTTTCAATTTGGATTCAACGGAGATCTGGCGTAAGATATATTTCGTCATATCGTTTGGAATGAACTGTAGAATATGATTTCGTATAGAATCATTATAAGATCACATTATTTACGACACCCGCCCATATCAATGACGGGCTCACTAGTGGAATGTGTGTTCAGGGATGTCGTTCAAGAAGTATTCAATCATTGGCAATGGAACGCACAGCCAACATGACCGATACACAAATTGTCACTAGTGTATTAGCAACGAAAGTGTGCGATTTATTCATCTCTCAATCAGTGAATAACTTTCTGCGAACAACTCGTTCATCGCCTGGTTTTGTTGAAGCTGTACGACAAGGATGTATCAGTGATGTTACTCTTACTGGCGATTCACGAGTAAGCAACTATGTCATCAATTTTATTCGTATCATATTCGTTCTTGACTCACTTTGCAGTTGGCAGGCGAAGGAATCGAGAATATCTTTGCTGATGCCATCATACAACAAGGAACTGTCTCTGTTGAAAACATCAGTCAATTGACAACGAATATTTCAAGTGTTGCCACACAAGTAGTTCAACAAGCTGAAGTTGAAACTGAAAAACTCGTCGCTTCTGCAACATGGCCTTGCCAACCCGATGTACCAGTTTGCATCATGCCATCGCTCATTCGACAACGATTGATTTCAGTGTTTGGCTGAATGGAGATCAATGATTCGATTTTTTAAAGACAGTTAAATTTTCCAAATAACTTTTTTATTCAAGAATAAATCATATCATACGACTTTGAACCTTATAGATTGAGCGTGCAAAATAACTTGACCTTCACCTCACACATTCAAGATATTATGAAAATTGTTTTCCTATAAGTAGTATTTTTACCAAGATAGTAAGAGCATTTGAAAAAAGTATACTTAGAATATTTTATGTCTGCCACCGTCATCTCTGTAAGCCATCTACCTATTGCCTCTGTTCTTTTTACCGTCATCCATTAATTGTATTCTACTGGCCATTTATATCAATGAATTAAAATTCACATTCTCCTTCACCGAGACTAGTAGCCAGGGTAACACCGCATGAATAGAACATCATATTGTCTTCGTGTCTTTGCTCTTTAAGAGATAAACGGATAGTTGAACTAATGTTTAATGTACGATCATCGTCTTGTAGGCACTCTAATTGACAATATTTCACTTTTTTTCAGAACAAAACCATCGTGCCCTATTGGATCTGTCGCCGAGAAAAATCATTGAGTAAAATGGCGTTAGTAAATTCAACGAATCCTACATTTAGGTCTTACATGATATTGGCTGCGAATCTGGAAATGTGACACGAGATCTTTCTATCTTTTTTAACAATGCTAGAGGTGTCGATCCAAGTTCAGAAATGACTGCTTTTGCACGAAATCAGAATGGAAAAACCAAGTCTGGCAACGACATCAAGTTTGACATAAGTTCTGCAGAAGATTTTTCAAAGCTCCATGAACTTCAGTCTGGAACTGTAGACTTGTTGATAGCAGGGATGCCTGTAAGTCAATATTTCCACCTGAATAAAGCACTTTCGATTTGATTAAGCTCACTGGTTCGACATACCAAGGACCGTTCGAATTGTTGTCCTATCTTCGCTCAAGAAATATGCATGACAACCACATCGGACTTCGTTCGATACGAATGGAATTGTGATGGAGTATTAACCAACGATAAGAACTTTTTTGGTGAAAGTGAATACTGTTCCTTAGACGATTCGGAGAGAACTTTGTCCACAGCCAGTATGGTTACACGTTGGAGAACAGCAAATCGAGAGCTTGCAAACACCGAGAATGACTGTATGTGTGAAACCATGGTCAAATTCAGTGAAGCTCTCGGTAGACAAACTCCTTTGTACAAGGTATGGGAACTGTAATTTTATTATTCAAAAAGACTTGATAGATAATAAATTATGAACAAGAACACAAAAGAACTGCTTATGACTATAGTTCTCTGTCAATTTTCAGGCTGTGGCTGAAAGGTATCCAAATTATATTAAATTTCGACTTTTCAATATCTTAAAAGCAATACGAACATTCGTTGAATATGTCGCGTAGAATAAATTGAAAAAATATTATAAAGAGTATATAAATGAGTAAAAACAACTACGCGAAGAAATCAATGATGTTTGTTCAAATCAACAGCCAACGTCTCGTTCGAGCTGTGCTTGTACTTTATTCACAGCTATTCGAACAGATTTCTCAATGGCAATATGAATCGTCTTCTTCGTTGCCGTTCGTACTAGTTTATTCAGATGAGCAGTTTTCGCATCTATTATTGGATCAACTTCCCCGTTGATCTCTTCAACAATTTGATGTTTGACTTCATTCGACGTAACATTGTGAATAGCTAGTTTCGACACTTGTTTCTCATTTTTCTCTGGATAATCTTTGATGTACAAATCTTTATACGAATCCGGAGATGCTTTGTGCATTTCGTGGACGATATGATCCTTTTGGCTCTAAAACAATCCATACAGACGAATCGTTCGTTGTAAAGAAAAAGCCGTTTAAGCAGAGTTACTTTGAATTGTGCTGGAATTTTCGCCACACGTTCTTCAACGAAGTAGTTTGCGCGCTCAGTCAGTTCGTTTATAACGTCCGTGTTTGCAATAGCGTTTCCCATTTGGCTTTATTTCATGCACTACTAACACGAAAAACAAACTCATACACAATTCTACCTCAAAATTCATCTACTTACATCGAAAGAGTTATGTTGTGGTTGCCTAGATCTATATAGACACGAATATAAATGTGTAAGGCATTTGCTTTTCTTCAAGCAACGTATAAATACGAAAGACCTCCCGTCAATCGATGATAATTATAGTATGGAGAATTTTGTAAAAATGTGTGTACTCAAAGGAGTGACGTCTCGTCTGTTCTGGCGTGATTTATTTCAAGGAACTGCTATTGAAAGGGCAGTAAAACGCAAATAGTACGTGATTTTTTTGTCTCCGTGAATCATACAACGCGTTAGTCAATGAATAATCGCTGTCTCAAAAAATTTTATGGAGTAGATAATGGCCAGATTACAAGTTTCACTAAGCGATTTTTGAGTAGTGTAGAAATCGTTAGACCGATTCGAGTATTAAAACTTTATTCGAATTCTAAATCTTTTACTTTAGAATTCGAGTACTCGAGTTTTAAACTATTCAACTTCTAAACCTATAAACTTAGAATTCGAAGTTTCGAGTTTTCCGCTTACCAACTCGTAAGTGGTTGATCGTAAATCCTTGAGTGTCTGATTATTAACTATTATGTAACTGTTATTTAAATATTAACCAACCGATCACTTACTATAAATCAACGCACTATCACGTAATCGGCACCTGACTATTAAATACTATTTAACCATTTATTCACTATATGACTATGAATTATCAGTCAACTAACGGTAACGAATCCTGTTGACATTGATCCTGACTATGCCGTTACCAGCTGCATCCTCCCCAATACCCTTGTCCTCACTCACACCCTCAAGATGATCAGATGGTTAATAAATGATAATCCGTTAGTTAATCTCTTTAATAATTAGCATTTAGTTAGTGGATATTTAATAGCCAATTAGTTAAGAGTTTAAAACTCGAATAGTCTCTTCGACTTTTACATATATGAAATGGGAGAAAGGATTTATTTAAGAAAAGAGATCAAAAGCAGGTTTGGCCAGTCATACATGAGAAAATTGCCATCTATATCAATCAATCATGTATTCATTTTCATTGCTTAGGTACTTTCAAATTAATCGTCAATTCAAGTAAATATTTGATATTGCTTAAAAGTGTTGCCTTAGTTCTACTTGCGACGTCCGTAGCCGTTGACAAATAAGTATAATGATATCTATAGGGATAATATTGAAGACCTCGTTCATATTGGTATGAAGCAGTTTCACTGTCATGTACAATAATGAGATCAGTCATATTAATTAAACGAATGATGTCTACTACACGTCGTTCGCCTGGTTTGTGATCGATGAACGCTATTGACCATCGAGGTCGATCATTTCCAACACTATTCCATTCCGAGACACGATTAATAAAACGAAATTGGTGGAGAGATGACGACATATTGTTCTGAAATTTGAGTAACCATTCGCGATCAGTGTCGGTCGAAAGAACATAACGTTTTTGCCTATCCACAGCTAATTGATGAAGAAGAAGTGTTGAATGGTAACCACAACCCATTTCCACTACAGGTCCACCATCTTTAGCTGTTAATAGAAGTGCAGCAAGGAGCGCAAGCTTATGAGACCCATAACCACTTTCTAACGGTAAAGGAACATAATGTTTGATGAGACGAAGCCAATGAGCATTTAACTCATCTGATGGTTCTTGAACATGATTTTTTATATAATCTTCGGAATGTTGAATACTTTGGTTAGATGTTGTATCAATAATGAATTTAAGAAGTGTTTTAGAGAAAATTATATCGGAAGTAAAATATATTGTAAGTAACACTATAATAATGAATATAATACAAGAATATTTCTTGTTATTAGTCATCTGAAATGTTCAAGCAAATGGTAGATTTCTTAGTCACGAAACTGAATGAATAAAATTTTACTATGTGATCTTTTTTGTCTATATGGCAACGACATATGAGAATATATTCAAATGAAGCCTTATTTGTATTTCACAACCGAACGCAAAAGAAGTTGGTCGTCTCTTTCGCCGATAAAAAGTCATTTCGACGTAACATCAAGAAGAAATCACATCAGTGTATTTTGCGTTCTCTTTCTTCTGACTGTATTGTAGAATTTTTTTGTGCTAGCAATCGATGAATACGGCGAGCGCAACTTTCATCAGAACAAAAAATCATCCCGAAACGTACACCATGTAACACCTTTTTGATTGTCGAAATTCTACATACTTCTTTTCACAATTATTGATTTCAGTTGTCACTTTGTTAGTTCTCATTTATACACATGCTCTCAACATGTGGACAGATCTAGAATGAATAGAATATAGAAAGTGTGTTTCGAAAATTCGTCGTGTTAGAATGCAAATCAATGAAAAAAACTTCGTTGATGGGCACTCGGTAGAAAGTTGTATCCACTATATGTAGATATGCGAATTTTGACGATAATCATTTATACCGAATATTGCTGAACAAAAATTTACAATCACTGCCTCGCTTTTGATTACAATTCATTGGATTTATCATATGGTGTCTCTGTGGCGGAAAATCAAGGAGAATATTTTCAGCTATTTCTATTTCGCGTATCGACTTATCTGAACCACCAGTCATTGAATATGCATATATACAATAAGAAGCGTAAGACGAATTATTATATACTCACGAGCAACGGATAACAAAAGGTCGATGCAATGCATAATAGACGTAATCTAATTGGAAAGAATGTGTGCTCATATAACCAACGTTATAATGACTAAAGGAATTATGAAAATAGTTTAGCCATTCCTCACATCGCTTATTGGCATACCCTTCATACGATATATCGATTGAGTTATTACTACTTCTAAACGAGTTTGCGAACATAGACCGTAAGATGAAAACGTTTATTTTAGCGGGTAAATCACATCGGCTGGAACTGTGTTGTCTCCAAACCGCAGTTATCAATGGTTCAAAATAATCATCATCGTGATAGCACGTCACTTCTGTTATCTATTCTATCCTTGCACTTTATTTAACATATCTTGGTTAATTGATTAGATACCACCATTTTTACCTGCTATCAAAGTCTACTTATTCCACTGAATCACCTGATGATATACTGATATTAAATACGAGAGCTTATCTGACCAATCATAAAAATCTTTTCATTCAATTTAAATGATTTCATTTCTTGGTAAATTTTAAAGAGCCTAATAATTAATTTGTAAAACTTCCTGAGATGTGAATGTTGATGATGAACCGTATGCACATTGAAAATCGCTTTTCGATGGATTAATATGGCTGTGGTCCACCGAACAGAAGAGAATTTTTAATGTGCTACTATGTAGCAAACTCATCAAACACGCGTGATATTGCAAAAAGAGAAAGATTCTAATAATTTATTAAAAATGTTTGAACAAACATGCGTTTTCTCGTTACTTCGCAACAATGTAGTAGTTGCTTAGGTGTCGTACACAGCGGAACGCCCAAACGCATAAAGAAGAAGTTTTATGAAGCGTAAAGCATCTTTATAAATAAAAATTCATTGAATTTTAATACATTCTATCAAACCTGCTTTCGAGATTTACTGAGACGTATGGCAAATAAGAATGTATAATGATAAACGATATTGTCAAAGAAATTACTTGAATTGTTTTCAAAAGACCAGCAGTTGATATGTCATTGTGAACTGCGCACGAATTTTCTTTGTCTTAGTTAAAAACTTCATTTTACTACTCAATGCAAAGAGAACTATAGAGCAGCAATATGCAATTGCGATTTGCCTTCTGGTCAAATTTTCAATTTGATTGGGGGTGAAAGCAGGTGAAATAACTTTTTTTCCAGAAAAATTTGCACTCGTTGTCATTGTCATCCCGAAAATCTGGTTCGCAAAAAGCAATCTCTTTATTCTATGTCAGAAACCATACAAGACGAGATCTAAGAGTGACCATGACACTAAATATCTTGACAATAGCTGACAAAGATCGACCCTGCTAAGAATATATTCGCGCAAATATTCCTGTCAAAAACGTTACCTGCATTAGGACGGGTCGGCGCGCCAACATTTGTAGTTTGTTATAAACGAACAGGAGATTTTCTGCGCCAAAATAAAACAGCATCTTTCAATTTTCCCGGGATATTGACCTTGCTGATGCACAAGTGACAATCTCTGAATCCGATACCATGATTGAATGATAGCACACGTTTGAGCCGAAAAGAAATGTAGTTATATAAAATATCATAGATTGTAACTACCATCTATAAAGTCAAAAGTACACAGTGAACAAAAGATGCGAAATTCTGCATCTCGTAGAGAAACAGCGCGTGTACAATAGAATCGAACTTTTAGTGTTAGATTGAAAGATTTTTTTGTGACGACTAAACAATAATAAACATGTGATCACATGAATGTTGAGAACAATGAATGTGCATAAGACACTATCATTGTATTACAATGATTATTTATCAATCGAAATGATTTTGGTAGTTGGGCAAAATTTCTTCACGACGATCTTCATTCGCTACGTCACTCGTCAATGGAGACAGTATCTTATTAAAATGTTCCTCATATAATTATAAATGGCACAAAATTTCTACCCTTTAATTCTTTCACAGTGTGTTCGCATCCGGTTGAAGTTCATACGTCATCGAGAATGATTTTTTTTATTAAATTTTTACCATGGATATAAGACATGACGTTTTATCTACTTCACAAAAAAAACAAAAGCTTTAAGACATGAGAGAATAAGAGTTTCTATATCCACCCTTTCACTAAGGTTCAAACTCAAACTTTTGTATTCGTCGATTGCCATCATCGATAACGTAAAAGTTTCCTTGTCGATCGATGGATATATCCTCTGGCACAAATAACTGATGTGAAGCTCTTCCATCACCATAACCACCAACAGCAATCCAAATATCACGCGATCTGTCTGACCAACGCATCACTCGATGGTTCAGCGAATCAGCCACGTACACATTACTCCGTTGATCAACGAATATTCCGTTAGGACCATTCAGTTGTTTCATATGGGCACCGCTACCACGACCACCAGCAACAACAATTCCTTCTTTTGCATTTTTCAACCACTTCATCACACGATTATTGTTTGAATCTGATACATAAACCGAATAATCTTTATCGACAGCAAGATATGTAGGATAGTGAAGTTGATCTAGACCACGACCTTTTCCATTGCCACCAGCAACAACTTTCCCACGGGACTCTCCTTCTTTCCATCGTGTTACAACACACTGCTCATGATCGCTTATATAAATAGCTCCGTCTCGATCGATTGCTATATCTCTACAGGTAACGTTCGAAGCTATGATGTGCTGTTCGCTCGAATTTTGCAGCGACCATCTCAACACTCGACGATTTCCACTGTCACAAATGATAATCGAATTTTTTGCTTTATCTATAACTGTATGTGTGGGCGCATGTAATTGATTGCTTTTATTGCCTCTTCCATTCCCACCAGCAATGACTTCACCTTTCGTCACATTAGATCTGCGTCTAACAATACAATTTGCAGATGAATCAGCAAAATAAATTGTTTCGTGATCATCATCATCAATGGTGATGCCTTTGACAGAACGCAGTATCATGCCTACATTGATAGAAATTCCATATTGATTCCATGAAGGATAACCTAGAACAAATCAAAAAATATATGAAACCTTAGATGTCATACGTTCACGTGTGCCAACCTTCTGTGACTGTCATAGTGACGTTAAATAATACCTCTGTTGTTCTCGTTGTTGTTGTTACTGATTTCTTAATAATTGGGTCTTCCTTTGCTATAATGGTCAAAATAATTATTATAATGATTGCGATCAGAATGATGACACTGCTGACAAATATGACACACGTTCTTTTCTCTGATCGAGTATATTCATTTCTAAAAAACGATGTGTTCTGAGCTTTGTTTCGTACAATTTCAAACACACATACGATATATCTGATTGAGCTACTTCTGTTTGCAACACATTCAGACTAGTCACGTTTAGCTGAAAATCATCAAACTAAATATTATTTTTCGAAAATTTATTCATTAATTACTTCATGATCAACTGTCTTATTGCTCTTCATTAAGTGATCTTCAATACATACCGCATCAAGACAGACGATTGGAAATCGTTGTGTCGAGTATTATTTCACTTGAACGATCGTTAAGATATGGATGGTAAGTGAAAAGAAAAAAAGTCAAACAGTTTTAATACTTGATCATTGATATCGCGCAACCTTCTCTCCTTCCGTCTGAAAATATTTTAAAAAGGCTTTTTATCATTTTAGGTTTGCTTTCGGCTGGGATATCATTTACTTCCGACGGAAGAAGGCGATAGCATTTACCAAAGCTGATTTCTACGTTCTACCGATAAAATGTTAATATTACTGTTATCGCATGTGTATTTACAACTGAAATTAGCACGCAGTTGTTGCTATTTACTTCGAATGAAGTGAGTAAAATAAAAAAAGAACCCTGGTCGATATCATATACGCTGCACATATTTTGCAAATTAACAGTTATAGAGGAAAGCTTCGTCATGCGTATGAAACTCTTCTTACAATCGTTGTATAAAACTATTCGTGACAAATGGACGACATGGAATGTGTTTAATTCTCGATCAGCAGATCCGGTGATAAAACGTCGAGAAATTTTATCCACTCGTGTATATATCATTCTCGTTGTTGTGTCATCTATTATTCTCATAACATACAATTCGATTAGTGTGCAAGTCAAAGACAAGACTGTGCCATTCCCAAGTCAATCTACGTTTGAAATTCTTCAAAAGAAATACACAGATAATCTACAATGTTGGTGCACTAGAACTACAATTCCGTATAGAGAATTTGTTATAACCAAACCGATACTGCATCAAGTGTGTTCAAGTAAGTTTGTTTCTCAACGATGGATTGATTTGGTATTCAAGGTAGATTCAACATCAACTTATCCGATCGATGCTCGAACAAGTCTGAGTGCAATGTGGCAATTGATTCGATCGTTCTGTCGAATTTCAACAAGTATAGTGAACGATATACTTAATCAATTTCATGATTCTCTATTACTGACTTCTACGGCCTTAACGGAAGATTTGTTCAATGCAACAGTTCAATCGATGTTGCATTCACTACGTCAAATGGCTTCATCCAGTTTCATACAATCCATCACAGCTGTTCAGAAAATAACTCATGTAAATCAGTTCATATCAGCATTATCAACCAATTATATTCCTATAACAAAGGAATATGGGCCTGCGCCTGGTATTTTTCCAGTTTTTAATTTTTCTTCGATACATGTATCAACTTACATTGGAATATTTGAAAATAAATACATATTGAAAAATTCTTCGAGGATCTGCTCTTGTAAAAACAATGTTTCTTGTCCGCTACCTAGCGGTTTGTATAACTACAGTGGTTCGAACAAGCTTGGAACGTATGATATGAATAAGATTCAACCGATTGCAACAGTGCCTGGTCTTATCGTGGATTGTTTACCAATTCAAACAACACTTTCTTCGACATTAGAATGTTTTTATAATCGAACATGTATAGATCTTCTTCTTTCATTTTATTCAACACCAGATAATATTTCAATTCTCGATGAAACTTTACCAAGTCGTTTCAACTCAACTACACGAATCGAGCATCTTATCAATGAACTTCTTGTCGAAGAAATTGTCAATGACCTAGATTACAGCAAATATTATTCTCACTGTAATCCAGCTGTTTGCCATTATAAACATCCAAGTCGTTTCAATTGGCTTCCTCTTATCACTACTATTCTTGGTCTACTCGGTGGCATAACAACAATCTTACGCATTGTTACTCCGTACACTGTTCAATTGGTTTTATTTATGCAAAGGTATTGTTGTTCGAGACAAGCACACGAGAACACTCAACAACAAAGTATAGCATTTGTGAAAGTAATTTGAGAATATTTCATCGAACGTTCTTTTAGATCAAACTATTCGAATTCGTTTAATAAGACTTTTCCGAAAAGTAGAAACCAAAACAATCCGTTTAAATTTCTACACTCATTATTCCCATGACCGAAATCGTCTCAATCACGGCGTTTTATCCACACGATTGTACATCGTTCTATTATTAATTTCCGTCTGCGTCATTGTTTTATTTTCTGATTTATCATCTCAAATAGTCGTCGAAAGAATTCCACTTCCAAGTATCAAACAATATGAAGAGCTATACACACAATATTCAACAGATGTAACATGTCCATGTACTAACATATCGTTACCTTACGGTAGTTTAATGACAATTCAAGTGCGATATCATCAAATATGTTCGAGTGATTTTATTCAATCTTCGTGGTATGAAGTGTTCCCCGCATTAACTTCTTTAGACCTGAAAATTGATTTTCTCTTATTCGCTTCATCATACTTTCAAACCTTAGCAATATTTTGTGATTTTGCCAATATAACAATCAGCGGTGCCATCGAACGATTTTCCACAACGAATTTTGTCAATGCGCAGTTATTATCAAGCGAACTATTTCTTTCAACAATCAATTCATCACTCAACACATTCATTGAATCGGCAAGAAATGAATTTCATTACAAAATATCATTGATCAACGCATCACTTCACAGTAATCATTATGTAAGTAATATGAAGACAAATGCTCATCTTAAGCTAGCTGTCACCAAATACTTGAATGGCTCATATCAACTGCGCATAGTAGGATATGATTTTTACGCCACTGACATTGACTATGATGACTGCTTTTGCGTTCACGATGCGACATGTTCGTTGACTTATGAAATTGTATTAGAATATTCTTCAGTGAATATCGATTGGCAACTGGAAGGAATCCGAGGAGGTTGTACTGTTATGGATTCCGTATTGAAATCATCATTGATATGTTGGTTTAAAGCCAGTTGTTTGAGTCGATTGCGAATTTTAGCTTCTCGCGTTGGACTTTCAAATATGTTACCCATTAAACCGCTGAATAAAACAATGATCAGTCGATATCGTGCGGATTCCTCAGTGGAAAATATTCTCGATGAAATGATGATCGAAGATTGGAATTTCTCGTATTCATTTCAGGAATTTTACCGTCAATGCAAACCTTCGATTTGCTCATTCACTTACGAAAAGGGAACGAATATTATTTACGTAATCACTGTGATCATTAGTCTCATTGGTGGAATCAACGTGATTCTTCGATTGACTTCTCCATTTATTACGAAAATCATTCTGAAAGTTATCGATATTCTCAAACACTGTAAATCACCACAAATTCCAACAGTAAGGCAAGAAAATCATGGACTTAACATTATCATTAGAAATCTGATGGCTCGCTTGAAACATAAATTGATAATGTTAAATATATTTGACAGTGAATCAAATAATCCTAGAACAGCTTACCGTGAACGAATGGCAACAAAGCTCTATTTCTTAATTCTCCCGTTTTTCATTTATGTCATAACTATTGGTATACTTTACTCGAATATGACTGTCGATAAGTCGGTCCTCAAACCGTCCGAAGAGGAATACAATCGTTTATTAACCTCTCATTCGAAACTACTCGACTGCCCTTGTGAGAAAATATCGATCGAATATAAATACTTCGTTGAAATCAGTACAAGATTACATTCCGTGTGTTCAAGTGATTTTGTTCGCAAAGAATGGCGTGATTATCTATGGTTTACTAGAAACGCAATGATATTTCATCGACTTGATATTCGTGTACGCGGTCCAGCATATTTCTCATTTCTTTCGGCCTTATGTCAAATTTCTGAAACAACACTGCGAAACGCCGTTGATCAATTTCTTCATGGAACATACATCAGTCCTCGATTACTATCGCAATCGAATTTCGAAAAGCAGATTAATCATATTGTTTTACAATTTCAGAAAGTTCCTGGAGCAAAATTTGCTCGAAGTTTAGAAGTTATACGTGCTGTAATGAATGGAAATGCATTTGTCTCCGCTCATTCTTTGAATTGGGAGTGGTGGAGGGATTTAAATCGTACTTTCTATACATTACCAACGCGTCCGATTACAATGAGCGACGGATGCTCTTGTGGAGCACGAAGCGATTGTTTCGGTTCAGCAGGTATCTATTTTGAATTAAGTCATGTGGAAAAATTTACGATACCTGGCTGGAAAATCGGATGTTCAGCTGTTGAAACGCTACTGCACTCGACATTCGAATGTTTATACGAACAGAATTGTCTGAATTTGTTATTATCCCATATTCCAGAAGGTGGTTTTGGCTTTCCTCCCATAAATATGTCATCAATTAACTCTTCACTGGCAAGTCGCTTTCAAAACAGTTCAACTGTTCAAGATTTAGTCGATGAGCTATTCGTGGAAGAATGGAAAGTGAATAGTTATTATTCATCATTTTACAATCAGTGTGCTCCGATTTTATGTTCTTATAAGATGAAAAGAGAGGAATATCTTATTTTCAGCGTTACGAAAATTCTAGCCTTTTACGGAGGATTAACTGTAGTTTTGCAATTTATTATTCCAATTATCATTAAATCAATATTCGATATTCATGATCGGTGTCGAAGAAACACAATTACTCCCGTTGAATAATTTACATGATGATTATTTGTTCAATAAACTCGAACTAACTATATAGCTGAATTGCTTTTGAATAAAAAGACGATCTATCACATTGAACTTTCTTTTGTTTTGTATTAATTGAAACGAAGTCGCAAAACTTTTATATTCTGAAATTCATAATAGTCTAATCAAATGATAAATAAGCTCTCTCACCTTTTACCTATGCGTTTGTCGTTCTCATTGAATAGCTTGACTCTATTCGCTCAGCACATACCGTGTCAGTTGTACCAGATTCGTCATCTCTCTAACTTACCATTCTCGTCGACGGTTAGTTACAACTCGAACTGAAATTACAGAACAGCGTGCAATAAAATTGATTGGAATTCTATATTTCAACCTCACAAAATGTATTTAGAAATTATAAAGTAAGAATGTGATCAATAGAATAATATATCCAGTACTTATCGATAAGTTCATAACACATAGTTAACGGACACAATGGTCCATAAACGTTTTCTAAGCGCATGTCAGAGTATTTTTGCATGAATGAATAGACACTTCTCATTTCCATCTGTTGAACAACTCTTGTCAAATGGATTTGTTTCTCGAAACTGGCATCAGTCTTGTATGAAACCAATATTTTCTAGGTCATATACCTTAAAAGGCACCATTAAAACTGGATACATATCATTAGTATCACCAGCTGTGCCCATTTGGTGTCGTTTTATAATGAGCACTATGAACAATAGAAGGTACGTGACTTTTTCTCAATAGATACGACACAGTATCAGAAATGCTTTCCATTTCCCCTCATCAAACGAACTTTTTAGTTGAGAAAAGCAGAAAGACCCCCGAAAAGTTTAACTCTTCATTTTCTGCTAGTTTTAAGATGAATCTAACCGATATCTTCTACGATTTTTCTGGAGACGATAATCAAGCGTATCTCATCTCACTAGTCAATCTTGTGAGCAGAATTGTCTCACAATTCGGTCTTGGTTTCATCTGGATTTTTGGAAACATTAGTTCAATTCTTATGTGCATGGTTTTCATTCAGCCAACTTATCGCAATAGTCCATGTGCAATGTTTTTTCTTGCTGCAAGTATTTCACAATTTTTTGCTTATAACTTCGCATTATTCACTCGAATGCTCCCTCTTGGATATCATGTCGCCATTTTCAATTACAATCTTTGGTACTGTAAACTTCGCTTTTATCTCTTTTATGTTTTTGTGGCTCTCCCTCGCTATTATATCATTCTGGCATCCATTGATCGATATTTCGCCAGTTCACGCGAAGCACTTCGACGCCGATGGAGTTCACCAAAGATCGCCTATCGACTTATCATCGGCAATGCTCTATTCTGGTGTATCATGTACGCCCAAGTCATTGTTTTCTATGAAATCGCGAGTGGCACATGTACATTTCGGTCAGGAAGCTACGGAGTGTTTTTTAGTATTTATATAGCAATCGACAGCGGTATTCTTCCTTTACTCTTGATGATCGTCTTCGGCTTGTTAACTGTGCGGAATATTCATCAGAGGAAGATGCGGATTGGTGCACGCGAAAGACAAGTAACAAGAATGGGAAAGAAAGATCTGCAACTGCACCGAATGTTAGCAAATCAAATAGCTCTGTTTCTCATTCTCAATCTACCGAATCCAATTTATCTTCTCTTCATTTCATTTACAATCAATATACCGAAATCAACATTTCAACATGCAGCGGAAATACTTGTTGGTAATATGACGTATGCCCTAATTTACTTCGGATTTTTATTAACGTTTACAAACTTTATGATCTCCTCGGACATATTTCGACAAGAGTTTTTCCATGTGTTCCGAGTGAAAATACTTCGCCGCTCTGCCGTGGGAAGATTAGCTGGTGGTGAGTTAACAGCACGACCACTTCGTCCAATCAATACCAATGCATAAAAAATTCAACGAATCGAAGTGTTTAGTAGGTCTCTTACTTATCCGTGTTTACTTTTCATTTATCGAGAAAATAAAGGTTATGTGACGGCAGAACGCAGTATTCTGTTTGCTTTACTTCTTTCTAATATAATAAAAGACAATCAACAAATCTTTCCTTGTGTTTGTTCATCTATTTCGTGATCAATGTTATATTCGGTCCGATAGCAAAGCTATGTTAACTGTTTGGCCAAAATGATTTAGAATACTATAGAAATTATTCTTTCTCTCTCTATTTATAATCGATAAAAATTGTACTATCCTAAAGATACAATATCTGAGTAGACGAACGACACAACGTACTATTGATATATTTCATGACAATCAATCAACGCTTCGAATCTTCAGGCCAAAAGATCCAACATATTTCAGATATAAATATTTCAAAACACACCTTCTATTTGAGAATAGAGATGCTGGAATGATTGAATTCAACTTTCGAGTTAAACTATTTCTTAGTTTGTCCGCACGAAGATCAGGCTATGACATAACATGATAATCGTGTTATTTAGCGAGAGTGCAACAGCCCAGAACAAAAAAACGATGATAGAATAGAAAGTCAAAGTACATTTCACATGCATACGAGTATCATAAGTTTTTTGTTCATCTATATTCTTCGACATGGAATTCCTTGGCAGAACTGAAGAGCGTTTCTGACGTGTATTATGACTCCTGCTGATTTCAAGTCGATTTTTGTTAATACGAATAGAAATGGCGCACCGTCGTCTACTTCATTTCATTATATAAAGTAAGGGAATAATCATGGATGTAATAGTTTTACAGTTAGAAGTTATGATTAAAATTGAGTAAACCATCGATGTATGAGAATAAATCGTCAACTTGTGATAATTCATCGACAGGATTTGTTGAAAATTCAGATGTTAATATTTCAAATTAACTTACATTAAGTTTAGGAAAAGTCAAGTAAAATATGTTGACCTCTATCTTACATGTGGTTCAAGTTGTTCTCATTCGATATGATTTGCCAACATACTTGATTTTTGGTAGTATTGGCAGTTTCCTAATCATTTGCTTCTTTCAAAAACATCTACAGAACACATGTTCAAAGAATTTATCATATACGGCTGCTATGAATAGTATTTTTCTTACATTCAGTGTTCCTCTCCTTGTTTACGGTTCGACTTACGGTGATCCGGCTGTCCACTCAGTGATTCTATGCAAAACTCGCCGATATTTCCCTCACGTCGTTGGTCAAATCTTCTTGTTTTCACATTCATCGATCGTTTGCGAAATTTGTACGGTGTAATCACGGTGAGAAATCTTATGATTACAATGAGTTCATTTTCGATAGTTCTATCTGTTCATATCGTATTATTTCAACGAGTCAAAATGGTTCATGTGCGCAATTTTCCTCGTATTACATATGTTACCACATCTATGTTATTATTTTCGTTTCGATTATTCATCCGACGGTTATCATCTATCGAAATAATTGATTTACACGAGATCGAATACGACCTATAGAAAATAGAATTACTGGTCAACGTCAGAAGTATACAGCATAAAACCATTAAGAACTTTTCTACTACTCATCGATGGCTTCGCTGGCAATGTGAGTAGTGCTATGCATGTAAAACATATTGTCGAATGGTTATCCGATCTTTTAAACAGTCAATGTTTAGAATAGGTGAATATTCGCAAAGAATGTTTGCTCATTGGATAGAGTATGTAGGAATTGAAGAGAACTATCGAATTGTGTGAAACTATTGTTCTTTTCATCTTGAGGGTGATTCACTTCCGTATCGATGCTCATCGTATATTCAAATGTCTTGTCAATCGTGCGATTCTAATCTAAAGGCCAAGGTTTTTCGTTCGATCCCTATCTCGATGTCATTGAAGAAGCGCAAAGGACATTCGACTTCGACCCTATAATTGAGAGAGTGTCGTAAGTCCATTTGTTAGTGTTATTCGAAGAATGAGTATAGCTGCCGGTTTTCTCATCATTGATAAATGCGTTGAAAACGAACCAATATGATTCGATGCGTTTATTTGTCAACAAAGAGAAGAACGATGGTATATATGCACGCGCATATGTTTCGGTTCTTCGTGTTTCCTTTTTCTTCGATGTAAGAGTAATCTATTTCAATCCGACTGACTTAAACGATGAATCTATTCATTTTTACATTATCATTGTGCATTTTATTTATTTATTCCTGTAATGCTACGTATTTCGCAGTATTTCTTACTGGAGATACGACAAACTTGCTAAAAAACAAATTCTTTCGTCCTCATCCACAATCTTCTCCATTCTTCGGCAACACTGCTCATATTTATTCCGAACACAGCACCATCGAGTTCAATCCAAAGTCTGATTTCGTCAAACAACTCACAGAACATTACGGACACATACAAAAACTAGCTGTCCTAGCATATGCTGAAGATGAACACGCACAAACCGTCTTAGTTCGCTACATTGGCAACGATGATATTCATCTGTCTGATAATGAATATCCTCACATAACAATTAGTGTTAGTAATATGAAACCTTACACACCAGTGTATTCGAATGATCTGTGGAAAAGACTGGTGGACGATGGAATCATAAAAGTACAGAAAGATAATAATGACAAACCACAAGCAATTGCATTGAAAGATCAAACGGATGAATGGCAAGGAAGATTGAGCAGTGCTGGCAAATACGAAGAAACACAAGCGTATGTCAGAATTATGAACCAAACGACCGAATTGAACGGAATTGTTTGTATGAACAACTTATGGAAAAACGATAGATGCCACATAACTAAATTCATGAAAACAATGTTTCAAAAGTTAAAGTTGTTTCGCGAATACCTAATCAAATAAATATTCGATAAAGATCAAGAAATCTTTTGAATTCAAATTCCCATCAAAACTATTATATAAACCGCTTTACGAACGTGAACATCCGTCTGATAATATAACAGCTATATATAGTCTTCGTGATTAGATTGTGACGATAGCGCATTTTCTCTTTTGCATATAGAACAGGACGAGTTTGTCAATGTTTAAAATAAATCTATACACGTACACTTTTTCGTCTGTTTCATGACATTATTCATTCGGTCGTTTACGCATCGACCAGAAAAGAAAATGTATCTAATTATGCTAGTCAAGGCAGCTGTACCGCGAAGTATCGAAAAAATTCACGGACGTCGTTTATTTCTTCATGCGCGAACAAGTTTAAAATCAATTGACGTAAACATTCTATTTTTCTTCTCCGCTTCTCGTTCGTTTGTCAATGAATTTTCAAATATTCGCATTGTTATCCTGTTCTTTATTCGTTTCTTACTCTAATGCTACATATTTCGCAGTATTCCTTACTGAAGATGCGAAATACTTATTAAAAAACATGTTTTTCCGTCCTCATCCACAATCGTCCGCATTCTTCGGCAACACTGCTCATATTTATTGCGAACACAGCACCATCGAGTTTAATCCAAAACGTGGTCCCATCGAGGAAATCAGAAAGTACTATGGATATACACAAAAACTAGCTGTTCTAGCATATGCTGAAGATGAACACGCACAAACCATCTTAGTTCGCGGTATTGGCCACAGTGGCATTCATGCATCTTATAACAAATACCCTCACATAACAATCAGTATTAGCAATGTGAAACCTTACACACCGGTGTATTCGAATGATCTATGGAAAAGACTGGTCCACGACGGAATAGTAAAAGTGCACAAGAGCAAAAATGGTAAACCACGGAGTGTTACCATTAAAAATCGAACTGATGAGTGGCAAGGTAAATTGTCGAGTTATGGCCAGTATGAAGAAACAGAAGCTCGTGTAGAAACTATCGATGAAAGGATCGAATTGAATGGGATTGTTTGTGTAGATAATTTATGGCGAAACGGTAGATGTCATACAGCTAAATAAAATTTTAATAATCGATTTCAAAAGTGTTTTCTATTGTACTATAACAGGAGAAAAAAAACGCTCAAAACACTGATCATGAACAACAAAAGAAAAAAAGAATGTTTCTTCATTCAAAATCATATGCTGTATCCATACGATGCGGAAATTCCAAACGAAGCTGTTCCTCCACTGTCTAAAATAGAAAGAGTATAAAATTTTACTTTTTCTCTTGTGAATTACCTTACTTTTCCAATATGAAATTCAACTGTGGTATAATAAAAATCATCCTTGGCAAAGCTTTCAATCATAACGAGCGCGTTTCGTATCTTCCAAAATGTTATCGTGTCGCATGCTTTCTCGAAAACACGCCCGGCCTTTTCATAATCCCTGTCGCAATCATCACCATTACATGATAATTCGAATTCTATCAATCGTGGACATCGACCTGACAGTAGCCATTCCCATTTTTCCACATCAAGTAAATGCCACTCATTATATATAATCAATTTCTTCAAGTTTGGAGTATGTTTCAGCAAATATCTAAGATGTTCGAAAACGATATCAGCCGATACGCTCAAATCGAATGTTTTACATTCGGACAGCATTGGTATTGCAACTGGTACGATCGGCTGTGTGAAAAACTCGTAATTATGAGATAATTCATCTTCCACACAAAACGATTTGACATGTTGTAACGCAGGAAGCAGCTTCATCAAATCAACGATAGTTAAACGATCGATGGATAGATGTTCGATATTGGTTGGTTTAGTTGTTTGTACTAATGAAGGAATGGGAATGTCGGTGTTTAACTTATTGTCGCTGTAGTTTTTAATTATGAAACGAGTGAGCAATGGACAAAAATCGTGATTGAATATCGCACGAATTAGGAATTGTTTTTCGTCGAGGTTATTGTTAGGACGAAATTTGCTTCCGAAAATAACTTTCAACGATCGTAAATGTTTCAAAGATGAAAGTTGGTTCCAAAATGTGAATAAATGATCCTTCGACGAATACATGTATTCCAACGACAATAATCGAAGTTGAACAAATGAATTCAGAGGAGTTATCGAGAAAAAGTGCTTGATTTTATTCTGTTTTCGTAGTTTCAACGAACGGACACGACGAATATCTATCGATGGTAAGATATTTTTCATAAAATAGTCGTATTTGCCTTTTTTATCCAGATTTATATGCAATTGTGCTTGGTCGAGCATTTCATCAATACATCTATTCAAACCACGAAACGAATACCACAAACTGTTCACATCGAGATAATCAAAGATTTCTAGCCAGAGTTCGACTGAGATTAGTTCCATTCGATTGTGACATATGTCGGACATTTTCAATCTAAAACATACATGAAAAAAAGTCAGAACCGCTCGTTGTAAGCTCTAGCTAACGAATAAAGATAGTGTTTGATTTTGTAAGACAGATACACGCGCACGTGGATAAATTTCGAGTTCGAAGAAGAAAAGTCTAGAATAGACAAAACGACATATATACAGAGAACGATTAGTTGTGTATACCATGCCATGTGCAGAAAAAGGAAAAAGGAAAAAGGAATAGGCAGTACTGAATCAGCGTGTACAAATCTATATTCACAATAGTTTCTTTATTCTGTTATAATAAAGCACTATTTCGTTCCCTTTGTGTATTATATCAGCCACCATATCATATTAAATCCAATGAATTTTATTAACATGAACACATCAACAACTATAAGAAGGACTAAATTTAGAAAATATACATTAAGACAAATGCACATAACTATAAAGACGAGTCATACTTGCTTGGAATTAATTCTAATGTAAATACATTGCCGAGCGGAATGCCATAACCAGCTAATTAGTTTACTGAAATCTTGCTCATCAAGTTCAACTTCCCTCTTGCAAATCGAGCAACTCCCGTCGGTTGAGTCCCTGGTGCAATTTGGTTAGTTGTTTAAGAAATTGTGATGGCACGCAGTAATAAAGATAAAACGAACTGTTAAGTAGCCAGAACAGAAAATTTGCTCGTATTGAAAAAGAAAGACTCACCGTATAAGGTCTGAATAATCTATTAAAAGCAAGATTCCATTGATAAGATTGTAAATCGTTCTCTGTTTTGAACTATGCGTAGTTATATGCACTGAAATCCCGACAGAACAGGCAAGTGAAAACGAGTTATATAAATAGCTAAAATTGAATTCCTCAGCGTACAAATGCCCAGTGATGTATCCCAAAAAAAGAGAATACAAATATTATGCAAACATCAAAGCATACAACCGATAAATATAGCGTATTCAGCAACTCGCATGATACTAAAACGCCTGTATTTACTCATTGGTAAACATTGATCAATGGTTGCAAGACATACATGTGTAAACGATAGCATGATGCAACATGAGGATGCATAGATTTGTATCTTGCATACCCACGATATTCCTTTGATATCCGTGGAAAATCCATCACTTATAATGCTTACAAATACTCCCATAGTATTGATCGCTGAAACGGCAGTTAGGTACAATCCGCAGGTTGTTTCTTTAAATACTTTCAATACTGTGAGAACGATGATGTTGGATACACTACCAATGATTCTCAAAAGTGAAGACTGTCAGTCCGAAGTAAATATGAATTTTTCGAGTTGTAAGAGATACGTGCGAACGCACTTGTCTTTTGTAAAACAGTGAACGAAAATAATTGTAACTGGATAATAGAACAATATTGCATGCATGCATTTACCTTTAACCGAATAGAAAATTATTCTTCATCTATGTTGTTTACAAGCTGATGCGTTCTGATTAATTTATCTTGTGATGTGAAATGATTTAGCACTATAGTTTACAAATGTTTTCTAGAGAAATCTCGTAACTTGGTCGAACGATTCTAATCAAAGAACCTGGTTATAGCACTAAAAAATATTATTATGTTCTTAATTAAGGTTCATATATGCAGACATATTTGCGTCCGAATATCAACAATAAAAACTGTATTGTCTGTTCGAAACTCAAATATCTCTATTTCTTTAGATCAAATAAAGTCAAACAGTTATTTCTAATTTAAATTCAGCTGACAGTTCAATGTACTCATACAAAGTATTTTTTTTTTTACAGTTAACTGTCATCGTGGAATTCTATCAATATGATTTTGTGTTCTCTATGAGAATTGATCTATATTCATAGCTTCTACAGTTGGTGTAATTTGATTATTCATCAGCTTATTCACCCGGAATTCGTTGAAAACGGTTGAAAGTACCAAGAAGAATTGATTTCGAAATCGTTGTGAGACACAAACATAAAGATAAAATGGACTCTATTTATCGAAATAGAAATTAAAATGGAAATTTTTCATCTATGGAAAAGTGAAAAATACTTACAGCAAAGCTTGAATAGTCAATTAAAACTAAGATGCCATAGATAAGGTTATTAACTGCTACTTGTTCTGGATTTTTAGTGGCTTGATTGAGTGAAGAGATAACATAAATAACATAAGGTACTGTCGTAATTATAACATATACAACATGAATAAGCGTCATGGCCGTTAATTGTCGGTCATGGCTTTGACGAACGATATATATTTGTCGACTAGCCAATGTTCGAGCATTGTAAAAAGCAAGAAGTGAAAATATGGACATTGTAGATATAGGCAAAACTCCCAAAAGAATCGGAAACTGAAAGCGAGTGGTGTAGATTTCAAAGCTCGCGTTTATAATCACACAGGCACCGTAAGGCGCGTCCCAATAAATCAAAATAGGAATACTATATAAGGCCCACAAAACCCAAATGATGGATATGTTGTATCGAGCAAAGCGTAAATGACTGAAACGTCTGTATTTACTCATTGACAGGCACTGATCAATACTTGCTAAACACACAGCTGTTAAAGATACCAAAAGACACCATGTAACTATATAAATCTGTATTTTACAAATCCATGGCGTTCCGTTGATATTGATGAGAAAACCGGCGCGCAAAATACGCACAAACAATGCGATTAACAAACCAGCGATATTTGCCACTGAAGCTGCAGTCAGATACAATGCACAAGTTGTTTCTCGAAATGTTTTCAATGTTGTGAAAATAATGATGTTGAACACGTTACCAACAACACCTAAAACCATGATTGGTAATCCGACATAAGCATAAATTTGTTGGGTTACAAGAGTCAACGTATGTTGAGCTAACATTGAACCAGATGCGATTCACTTATACCTGAAAAATGAATAGTTTTCTTTTTCAACTGCAAAGAAATGTAAGTTTACCAGACTATAGGCTAAGACATTCTACTTGGATAAGCCTTGTTTCCATCGCATGTAGATTCTTCTTCATACTTCTTACCTACGCAATTAACGAACTCGTGCGGATATAGACTAATTTCCTTTGTTATTTAATTGAATATGTGCCGACTTATACTTTAACTGAGCTTGGATGTAGATGTGTGGTTCAATAGGTGAATTGATTAGTTAGTATGTACTTTTACGTCACTTAACTCAACTTTGTTTGAAATGCAACAAAAAAAGAGACGATCCGAGACGAAAAAGTGCTTCACGATGACGTTTCTCATTAATTCTTCTAAAAGCGTAAGATTACTTGCTGATCAGAGCAAAAGGAGGTCTCTGCAAAGGCGAAAGTTTGTCTTTCAATATGCAAAATTTACCTAAGAGACTTGATGAAATTCATCATTATGCACAAGAATTAATATCGTGCTATTTGATGCAGAAATCCATCATAAATCAAACGTTTCAGTATTGCAAAGAAACCCAATGCATACATCCTTGCACTTCCAAGAGAATAGCCCAGCACGAAAGTAATCGATTTCCGCGAAAACTTTCACACACGAAAATTCATCAAGTTGATTAATACGAAAGAAGGAAAATCAATAAAGCCATGCTTCTTACAATGGAATCATTTTACGAGCGATTTGTCTTTCTATCCTTAAAGTTCATTTATAGATTGCCAATATCCACTCCTAAGTTTGAATCCAATACTCGAGTATCACTCGCTGATCGTGATACGCTTTCGAAATCTTTCTTTTCTAGATTAAACAAATTTTATTTTAAAAAATACAATCATTGTCTGGAGTTACAGGAATCCAAGGCAGTTCAATTTGATATTTTGCTACTCGGCGGACAAAATTATCAGTCTTAATCTGCCTTTTCTGAACCATCTGTGGATCGATGTGTTGGACCGATTGAGCTAATTTGTAGGCTATCTGCATATAAATGAACGCTTGAGTATAATCAAGCATGAGGGTATAACACTGTTTGATCCGATCTAATATATCAAAAATCGTCTCACTGTATCCAAGAATATTTTCATAGATTTCCAATTCGTTTAATGCGTAATGAATACTTTCTTTATACAACCCATGTTTTGAGTAAAATATGGATATCTTCCGATATGATTGAATGAGTTGAGATGGATATTTTTGCTTGGCAGCATGTGAAACTTCAATTAGCAATTTCGTTTGCTTTTCTTTAAAGTCTTTCAGCTGATTCTCAGCTGTCTCCAAGCAATCTTCTATATGAATTAGGCGAGGGTGATCTTTGTCAAGAGTTCCTTCTTCATCGAGAACTGATAATTTCTTTTTACAGAATTTAATGAAGCGACGATGATCGTCAGGAGTTTTGACTTCATGCAAAATGTCCGTCAATATATCAGATAATGTCTGATTATCTGCAGGTAGATATTCCTCGCTGACAGCTAATCGTCGATACTGGAGCTCGAGCGATTGTTGAAGTTTTTCATTGTGCTGGCAATTCCAAGCTAAGTCTTCGATACATTCACTCATTGCCGGACTGGCGACTTTCAATTGTTCATAGATTTGTAACGCCTGGGTAAGATAGGTTCCAGCTTGCACATATTTCGCGTGAAACGCCATTGTACGCAATAAATTGGCTTTTGTCAGAGTAGGTTCATCTGTTTTCTTGTCTTCCTCTTCGAGTTCTTCCTGTAAATCCTGTAGAATAATATTATCCGCCCTTTTTTCAATGAGATCTCGTTTTCGTCGAAGTTTTTCTTCAATCTTATAGTATTTGACCGCTTTTGAGTCCTGCCCTCGTCGATGATGAATATCACCGATTGCTTCATAAATATTGGGCAGATCTGGATGCGTTTGATCAATTTTCCTCAATAATTCATGAAAATATTCTAGCGCATGATTAGTTTTATCGAGATTTTTACTTAAGATTTTCCCAAAATAAATCATCGGCGACGTTGACCGAAAATCGTAACTAGCTAACTGACAATGTTCACGAATTAAATCAGATCTATCATCAGTGGCATTCAAATAAAACACCCAATGTTGATTTGTATCATCATAATCCATTGAGATAATTCGAAATGTTGAACCCAAAGAAAATAACACTTCTTCTTCCTGGGAAAATTGACTCATCCGACGAATATCCGCACAAAATACTGATTGTAAACGAGTTGGATTAACTTCGATGTGTAATCTCACACGAGCTAAATGATCTTCAATGATTCCTGTACCAGCAAATATGTGAGCAACGTTGATATTACGGGAAGTAGAGAGAAAGCTATTGATTGAAATTAAATTTCCAACGCTCTGTTTCAATCGCTCGAGTTCGTCTTTATGTAATCGAAAACCACTATATAAAGTCCATGTTTGATCATCTTTTTGTTTCTTGTGCTCACATTCGATTGCTGAACATAAAAGTTTCAGCCAATAGCGAAAGCGATAAACCAAAAGCATATCTTCAGTCCTTAGGGCATGGTTAGCCAATTTGAAGAAGAACGTATTTCGAGTGTACCTAAATAAGCACGGATATACATTCCATAGGGAAAATGTTTGAACTTTACCAACGTATCGCAGTACGTTCATTGTTCGACTTTCGATATTGTTGAATAATTCGTTCTTCACGAGGATTAGATTGATAATAATCTGAACAGAATCGTAGCATTTCTTCTTTCGCTTGTTCATCTGTAGGTAGTTGCTTCAAAGTATGAAATAAAATCTGATACCAGAGGAAGGTATTGAATTTGCTCTTTAAATCTTGGCTACTGCGTTGCATTTGATCGAATACGGAGAATGGTAGAGCTTGTTTTTCTAGGGAAATACATTCTGCTTGCACAGCTTGTTCTAATTTGCTTTCAGAACGGAATATTTCAGGTATAGGATCGTGTTGATCAAATTTAACTGTCAAAGGAGACAGAGATCGAGTGAACACGAGGAAACTCCGAATATGACGACAGAGTTTCAATCGAGTGTGAATTTCCTTTGCTAAACGATCGGCAACAATAAGTAAAACGTGGACCTGACGCTTGGACTCGATGAAGGCCATAGCTGCATCTACATCAGAATAGCGGCGAGTTAATTTTGAATATGGTTCGGGTGAGAATTCTGTTGGTAGATCGACAAACACAAGGTAAAATGTTTCATTTTCATCCATTTCTAATTGATGAAAGCACTATACACTGGATAACAATACAGGATTAGTCATCTATCTACTATTTTATCCTGTTTGCCGTGGAGCTTCTATCGATAAGTTGACTTTTGGAGGACTAATGTATGAGAACAACAATGTGTGCTTTTATTGCCATTCTTCATATCAGACAAGTGCGCCATCTGGCATTCGTCCGATACAGAAGTAAATGGGATAAATATTCTCTGAATATATTTTGAATTACAAACGTTAATGATTAAAAATGAGACAAACAACACAAAGTATGCTAAAGAAAAGAAACAATGATAAGTTTGCTCTTGTATATCGACCATATTCTTTCACTCTGTTACATACGCTTAATGTGTACGACATTGACACGGATTGATTAGAACATGTAGAACATCATTGACAAGTTCTATGTTAAGTACTTTTTGGCAATTATCACGATCGAAATCGTTGATATTGTCGAAAGAATTATTGACCGTGCTCGAATAAATGATTTGCGTCTGAAACTGTCCGTTCTCATCTCCTAGGAGACCATAGATTACATTGGATGAAACGGAACCAACAACGATATCCAAATACTTATCATCATTCAAATGGCTTAGAGATACTGTACTCAATGATGTAAAAGACGGCATAGTTATCTGTTGATTACTATGAAAAGTCTCATTCTGGTACCGATAGCGCATGGAAACAGTATTTTTCCAACTGTGTAAGAAGACGATATCGGATTGATGATCATGATCGAAATCAGCAGCTATCATTTGTACTTGAGAAGTATCAAACGAAGTGTAAAGCCATTTGGGAGATTGGAAACTTCCGTTCGTGTTCTGGAAGAATACATGAATATGAAGAGAACGACGATTGAACACAGCAATATCCAAATAGCTATCATTGTTATAATCAGCGATAGCCAATTGTTGCGGATCGCTAGTATATTCTATGAATAATGTTGATAGTGTTGAGTAGGTTCTGTTTTCATCGCCGAAGTATAGATAAACTTCGTTGGTGTATTTAGCTATCACGATCAAATCTAAATTGGTATCGTTATTGAGATCAACAATACTGATATCGGTTGGGTAGTGTGAAACAAATATTGGGTTTATGTTCGATATTTCAAACGTTTTATTTTCGGTGCCCAATAAAAAATAGATCTCCCCTAGAAAAGAAAGGGTTATTCGTAAGTTTAATAAAACTGTTCAATGATAGATATTCGATTTTTCCCTGAATCTTTACAATAGACAGTATGTATTTCAAAAGCTGAACGCTGTTTGGTATAAAATTTTGAGATTAAGTACTGCTTAGATGTAATACCTGCGGAGCCAAAAAAACTACTAAGTNGCTGCACCACACCGCTGTTAACCGCGGTTTCTTTTCGACACAGCGACCTTCAACGATATAACCGCAGCCATTATGAAAAAACCGCGACGATCAGCGGTATCTGTTTCAAAATTTTTTCGTGAGAAGAGAACAGATTTTGTCGAAGCATTCGATTTCCTCCGATATAGCTTGACCGTTCGAAAGATTTTCACTGATGTTTATACCATTACGTAGCAACAATCAAATCAAAGTTAGATTTACTTACCCAGTGAAAATCTCATGAATGATAATATTGATTTATCAAACAATGGAAAACAGCTGTTCCGTCGTGAAAAAACTAAAATAGTATAAAAACCATTTAGATAAGTAAAGATCAAAAACTAATTGAATCTATATTAATTATAACTTCCGAAAAGCTAGCTACATCGATGATTAGCGCCCCACGGATCTTGTCGAACGTTATCAAGTATATATACAACGACCATTAGCATCGATAGAAATGGAAGTTCGATCCTGTGTGTCAATATCAGGTGAAAATATCTCGCCAGTACGATCTTGGAGAACATCAATCGTTTTTACAATTTATTTGGGGATTATGTAGTAGATTGCAACATGAATCGACTGGTACAACATGCTACGCTCACTTACAATGTCCGCATTTGTCGATGCGGGTGCCGATGCAGAACACTGCTGGTAATTGTAAATCAATGTGCTGTTGGACAGTGCATTCCTAAAGAATTCTGTCGAAATAGCATAATTGTTCGCGGCGTCCTCGATGGCAGCCGTGAAGCCGATGTTTTGAGTCGAGGAAATACCGAAGTAGAAGATATCTTTTGTGTCAATCTTCTACCCTCACACCCTTGTTCCCAGACAAATGATAAATATATCTATTGCACAGATCTATGATGGTCGAATTGATTGTCTCGGTTCTTATGACGAACCATTGCTGCGCTCTCCGAATACTTTGCAAATTTTTTACTACAATAGCACAAATCAACAATCATGTTTTGACACTTTATACTCATGTTATGACAATGACAAGTGCGCCCGGGAAGCAGATCGTGCGTACTGTCGAAATACGTCACATAATTCATCGTTAAATACTTTTCAATTGGCAAATTTGAATAAAAGTATAGAGTTTGTTTCAATAGAGCATCATTATCATTGCGGACTGGTTGTTCATATTTGGTTGAGCTCTCAAAAGAATCTGACAAAACGTACTTGTCTTTGTTTACCAAATTACTACGGTCCATAATCTCAATAGCAAATCCATCGTATCAGCCTTGGACTTCGATTTCGAGCTCAACGTGATTCCTGGTAAACAGTAACTATTCACCATCGTTATTCTCCTTATGTACAACACCAACGCAAGAACGATTCATTCCATTCAGCAGCACATCGAGGCAGTTTATTATTCTCGTTGAAATCTTCTTTTTTATCCGTTTTACCGTTTGCCACTTCTGATTGTCACATTCAGCATTTGTTCATCGGATTCCCTATTCCTAAGAATAAACGCCAATATGAATCGATCGATCTGCATCTGCCCGATGAACAAATTCGCTTTCCGCTGTTATCTGATCAATTCAGTATGTCACGCAAAAAATTCGACGTGTCAAATACCATAATTTATCATGTTCAAAACAATCATTGAGTCTCTCTTACTTTTATAATAATATTCATTTCTGTGTCTGTTATGGGCACCATAGCAAACGTTTAGTCAATTGTTTCGAGTTCGATCATGGTCAGAAATTCAATTATTCTGGTCCAAGTGCTCGCAAAAACAATAGACTTTGCTTTGAAGATAGCTTAGATTATTCCAAGCGTCCGGTCTGTTCTTGTGTATCATGTTACTACAGAACATATACTGTCAGTTTAGTACCAATGGATTTGGTTTATCACTCGACGCTATTCTAGGTTTTCACATACTTCTAAACGTGGGAATATCGCCACTAGCCAACGATCGTTAAAGTCGGTTCGATCTTAACTGTGCCTTTTGTCTTCGTTGGCCGTCTCAACGCTATTTTAACTTAATTTACTTTTCAAAACAGAGGTATGCCTCATGCAGGTTGTGGGGCTGTATTTACTATCGTCTTCGATAACGAATTTGTTCTCAATAAGCTTATTCGGATGGAAATTTATGATCTTGATTCTTACACAAACGGATAGGATTACAAATCGATCGTTCTTGTGAGTGGAATATTATTCCGTGGATTTTCTCCTTCGAATTGGTTTAAATATTGATCAATGACTACACGCATGTGTTGCGATCGAAAGAGCAACAGCTGTCTTGTACGCGGTGTTCGGCTCTCTATAACCAAAAGTAAACAATTAGCTAACTTCGTTGTTATTAGCATTGTGATAATCATCAGTATAACATCGATTCATGATCCTTTTCATCGGCATTTAAATTGACAAAGAAAACGACGAGATGAAACAAACTTGGCGTATTGTTCGTTACTCACTAAATTTGCAAGGTTACACTATGCTCATGAATTCTACTCAGTTTTTCGTCCCATTTACCATTGATTTTTTCTCACCCTCAAGATTTTAATTACAAGAAAAACCAGCCAACAAAGCACCGCCCATGCAAAGCGAACGTATGAAAACATTTTCCGAGAACAACTATATCGCCATCGAAATTTACCCATCTCTCCAATCATTTTAGTGATATATTATTTATTCAAATGTTTGAAATCTAACAATGACTTCTGGAATGTATCTCATGAGATATGAAACTGTATATGAGTCAATTTTGAAACACTACTGTTTATTATATGGATAGTGCTCAACGAAGTAAATCAAATCGTTGAATTGGATGATTTTTCTGATCAGCATAACATAAAGATTTCCTTGAACATCAAATGACAAACTACTGGGAAGGTTTGATTGAAATGGCTTTTCTCCGCATCCATTACTACCAAAAATTATTGCACCTACTTCTTCTTCTTCGCTCCTACACACTATTCGATCGTTATAATCATCTGCAATGTAAGTGTGACCAAAATCATCAACAGATAATCCTTCAGGGCCATCCAATTGATTCAGATACTTTCCCCTTCCATTCCCACCTGCAACAACCAGTCCCTCATTCGCATCTCTCCTCCATTTCATCACACGATGATTGTAATAATCTAGAACGTAAACCGATTGATCATCATCGACGCGAAGAGAAGACCAGGAGAACGGAATTGATTGAGTTGATCTCTTTCTCCGTTTCCACCAGCAACTAATTTTCCACTTTCTTACTTCACGTTTCTTTTCATCCAAGACGCAAATAAATTCGTATTTGTTTTTTGCCAAACCGACACACGCAAATCGTCAATGAAGATCTCCTGTTCATTTTGATTGGACCACCGAACCGCTCGCTCGTTCCATTGATAAAGCAATGATCAATGCACTATTTTGTTCATCGACGATGATGTCCGTTAAATGATTCAATTTATATATTCTGTTGCCTTTTCCAGACCCATACCTTCCTGCTACAGTTTGTACAGAATCCGTCCACCGTTTGAATTGGATTTCTTCTAAAGAAAGGATAAAACAGTTTTATTTCGAATGAGACTCCAACGTACTTCTATCTTTGAGATCTATTCTGATTTGTAAATCATCGGTTTCAACTAAATGAAGATGATAGGAACGTTTTGGATGTTCTAAAACATCACCTTGAACACGAAAGCTTGTCTCCATCTTTAAAATCACATCATTCTCATGTTCATGATCAGTATAACCACAAATTCTCTTTCCACGTGATGTTTCGATTAAAAATGTTGTTGATTTTGTTGCATTTTGAAGAAAATCTCTGATAACATTAATCGACGAAGAACACGAACTGATACTCGACCATGTTATCTTTTGATTTCGAGACCAATTCTTTCCAGTATCATTCGAAATACCGCACCAAACACCTCCGCGAACAGTTGGTAGTTTGCCCAAAGCCGAATTAAACAATTTCAGATACGGCGAGACTGGAATGGTTCTAAAGCATCTTCAAGTGAAACCGATTTTGCATTACGATAACAAATGAAGTCGACTTGCTTTTTTGACCGAACAGGTAAAACGACAACAAAGATAAAACATATCGTTTGTAACAAGCAAGTTTCTTATCTTTTTCATCTTTACCTTCGCAGAGAGTCATTTCGATTATAAAATGAATATCTGTGCATTTTTGTAATCGTATGCAAAATCATTTCTAAAAAAGATTATATTCTGTTTTCCTATACACATTCATTTACTGAAACTGAGTACACATAGCTATGAAAAGCGTTGAAAACTTATGGGTCATGAATGCAATTGTCGAAATGCCAACTGACACATGATAGGATATTCCACTTCCTCGATTTTTTCGTTAAATGTCAGTGAGAGGAGAAGTAATATAAAAAAGGAACTGAAGCGCAATTCGATACAATGTGATAACATTCGTCAGTACCTATATAAACAACACGCACAATAAAACACAAGCATCTACTTCATTCAGATCTACATCACAATAATGATGCGAGCTTCCAATCTACTGACTGCCGTGTTTATTGTACTGCTTGAGGCGTATTATTCTGAATCGTCCTCGTTTTTATCTAACGGGGGTAAGTTGATTTTAGCAGGATCTGTTACAAATGATTTTGATGATGATCGTTGCAGAAACTCCTGCTGAATGGGCTGTGAAATGGAATGGTATAGGGAGAAGTAACAATCCTGCTCATAACTATGCCTTTTCGTGGCGAGGTACTGGTATTTCTGCGAAAGAGAAAGCAAAATTGATTTCAAAGATTGAGTCGCAATCGGCTGATGACGTATATGAGGCTCTACTTGCTCGACCAGGTCCACGTGTGAGCCATTATGGAACCTGCGCGGTTGGAATAGTCCGCGGAACGCCTACTTTTTGGGTGGAAGGAATGTACGGCTCTAGAGGACATTCTGGTTACCCGAAAAATCCCGATTCTGGCGATGCAACAGGACATTTGGACGCATGCTACAATGAGCATCGAATAACTGGTCTTTGTTCTTATTCAAATGTAGCAGAAAGAGCGAAACAGACGCTCCTTTATGCTGTTAAGAATGATGTTTGCACCAATTACTACAATTTGAAACAGTTACTTGGAGCAACATCTGAAGTAAAGATTGTTGATATGATGATATTGTAGTTCATTTCTTTATTATTTCAGAAATTGTCCGAGTATACTGAACAAGTAGAAGAGAGAGAAAATGTTCAAAGCCGTGCTGCTAAATTTCTTTCTGCAGTAGGTCTCCGAATTCCACCGACCGGCACAGGCGATAAATGGATTACTTTGTGTGAAGTACAGGCACGCATTCGATATTCCGGCTTCAAAGCAAAATCGGACACACGGACATGTACAAGAACTGTCAATGGTGAAATCAAAGAAGTGCGAGTCAAAGTTAAAGAAAGTTGGGGTTGTGCATATCATACCGAAACATATGCATCGGGTACAAGTTTTAAATACAAGAATAGTGTCTCTCGTCAATATGATGATGGTATAAAGTTGGCAATAGATTCGAGAGATAAACTAGCTGCTGATTATTTGGAAACAATGAAGTATCGACATTTGGAGAATCTTGATGTGGCTACTAATCTAGATACAGCTAGATTAACTGCAACGGCGACAAGTCAGGCCTTCTGGGGACCAGGTGGTAATTGCAACCTTGTACTGGAAGGGCGTGTCAATGAACTTTACTAACTCTGAGCTAGTTTTTCCACCATATTTTACGCATGATGACATTAAAATAAAGCCAAATCAGCAGCTCATATATCAGTCTGTTGTTATTATGGGGAGTGATATTCGTTCTACCGATATAAAACAAAACATGATGTCGAACGTAGTCATAAACAACTAGAGTTGCACTCGTCAGAGATAAACGAAAGAAAAAGGAACTGTGTCGAGAGCGCACCTGGTTCGCCTGTGTATTTTCTTATCATATCAGTCAACTTTGGTTACTTTTCTTGATATAAAGAGGAAGTGCTTTAGAAAATCACAAGTTCGAAGATGTTTTACGATTAGACGATAGAGATATATAAATACAGCTTCGCATATGCATGTAGACAAGCAAAAGCAATCCTAATATACTATCGCAATGATCAAAATCGTATTGTTCTTGGCTACTGCTGCTGGTATAGCACAATTTTGAATCGAATGGATGTCTTTATCTTGATTTATAGGCTTGATTCACGCGCAAACGGTGCTCTACCAATGCTCCATCTGGGGTGATCCTCAATTGGTTCAATTTCCGACGAATAATCTACAGAGTGCACAGCACAGTTTTTGTTCATTCGATGGTCACGCAATGTTGTATCAGTCAAAATATGTGCTTGTTTCTGTTCGCAGTGCTCGGCAAGGCGATTTGGTCCTCGACGTAAGTTTTACAGAAATAGTCATTGATGCTGTTCATGAATTGTAAATGTACAGTTCAATATTGTTTTCTTCAATAATGCTTCTGTTCCGATCTGCACGGTGAATGTATTGGATTTCATTACAGGAGAACGAATATGCGACACAGGTAAGATAAGACTTACTCGGAGCGAAGGCAAAGAAGCGTGTCCATGATTGCAGAGATCGTTATTAAGAAGACAGGTTCAACAGACATCAATGTTCAATACAAGCAAGCTCAGTTTTCAGTTTGGATTCAACGGAGACCTGGCGTAAGATATATTTCGTCATACCGTTCGGAATAAACTGTATAATATGATTTCGTGTAGAATCATTATAAGATCACATTATTTACGGCACCAGCCCATATCAATGACGGGCTCACTAGTGGAATGTGTGTTCAGGGATGTCGTTCAAGAAGTATTCAATCATTGGCAATGGAACGCACAGCCAACATGACCGATACACAAATTGTCACTAGTGCATTAGCAACGAAAGTGTGCGATTTATTCATCTCTCAATCAGTGAATAACTTTCTGCGAACAACTCGTTCATCGCCTGGTTTTGTGGAAGCTGTACGACAAGGATGTATCAGTGATGTTACTCTTACTGGCGATTCACGAGTAAGTAACTATGTCATCAATTATATTCGTATCATATTCGTTCTTGACTCACTTTGCAGTTGGCAGGCGAAGGAATCGAGAATATCTTTGCTGATGCCATCATACAACAAGGAACTGTTTCTATTGAAAACATCAGTCAATTGACAACGAATATTTCAAGTGTTGCCACACAAGTAGTTCAACAAGCTGAAGTTGAAACTGAAAAACTCGTCACTTCTGCGACATGGCCTTGCCAACCCGATGTACCAGTTTGCATTATGCCATCGCTCATTCGACGACGATTGATTTCAGTGTTTGGCTGAATGGAGATCAATGATCCGATTTTTTAAAGACAGTTAAATTTTCCCAATAACTTTTTTATTCAAGAATAAATCATATCATACGACTTTGGACCTTATAGATTGAGCGTGCAAAATAACTTGACCTTCACCCACACGTTCAAGATATTATGAAAATTGTTTTCCTATAAGTAGTATTTTTACCAAGATAGTAAGAGCATTTAAAAAAAGTATACTTAGGATATTTTATGTCTGCCATCGTCATCTCTGTAAGCCATCTACCTATTGTCACTGTTCTTTTTACCGTCATCCATTAATCGTATTCTACTGCCATTTATATCAATGAATTAAAATTCACATTCTCTTTCACCTAGACTAGTAGCCAGGGTAACATCGCATGAATAGAACATCATATTGTCTTCGTGTCTTTGCTCTTTAAGAGATAAACGGGTAGTTGAACTAATATTTAACGTACGATCATCGCCTTGTAGGCGCTCTCATCGACAACATTTCACTTTTTTCAGAGCAAAACTATCGTGCCCTAGTGGATCTGTCGCCGAGAAAAATCATTGAGTAAAATGGCGTTAGTAAATTCAACGGATCCTACATTAAGGCCTTACATGATATTGGTTGTGGACCTGGAAATGTAACACAAGATCTTTCTGTCTTCGTTAACAATGCTAGAGGTGTCGATCCAAGTTCAGAAATGACTGCTTTTGCACGAAATCAGAATGGAAAAGCTAAGTCTGGCAACAACATCAACTTTGACATCAGTTCTGCAGAAGAATTTTCTAAGATCCATGAACTCCAGTCTGGAACTATAGAATTGTTGACAGTACTGCCGGTTCAGGATACATTCATGCTTCTTTCATACATGTCTTAGGGTCCTGACACTCACAATGCTGAAGAAGTTCAACGCATTCTATTTAATCTTTAGCTTGAAACTCTTGGGCCGTTCGAATTGTTGTCCAATCTTCGCTCAAGAAATATGTATGACAACCTTCTTCTACCACGTAGAATGCAGTGCCTCCTGTTGCCGACTTCTTCACATCGGACTTCGCTCGATACGAATGGGATCGCGATGGAGTATTAACCAACGATAAGAACTTTTTTGGTGAAAGTGAATAGTGTTCCTTAGACGATTCGGAGAGAACTTTGTCCACAGCCAGTATGGTTACGCGTTGCGGAACAAAGAATCGGGAGCTTGCAAACACTGAGAACGACTGTATCCTTTGTACAAGGTGTGGGAACTGTACTTCTATTATTCAAAAAGACTTGATAGATAATAAATCATGAACAAGAACACAAAAGAACTGCTTATGGCTATTATATTAAATTTCGACTTTTCAATATCTTAAAAGCAATAAGAATATTCGTTGAACATGTCGCGTAGAATATATTGAAAAAATATGATAAAGAGTATATAAATGAGTAAAAGAAACTACGCGAAGAAATCAATGGTGTTTGTTCGAATCAACAGCCAACGTCTCGTTCGAGCTGTGCTTGTACTTTATTCACAGCTATTCGAACAGATTTCTCAATGGCAATATGAATCGTCTTCTTCGTTGCCGTTCGTACTAGTTTATTCAGATGAGCAGTTTTCGCATCTATTATTGGATCGACTTCCCCGTTAATCTCTTCAACAATTTGATGTTTGACTTCATTGGATGTAACATTATGAACAGCTAGTTTCGACACTTGTTTCTCATTTTTCTCTGGATAATCTTTGATGTACAAATCTTTATACGAATCCGGAGATGCTTTGTGCATTTCGTGGACGATATGATCCTTTTGGCTCGAAAACAATCCATACAGACGAATCGTTCGTTGTAAAGAAAAAGCCATTTAAGCAGCGTTACTTTGAATTGTGCTGGAATTTTCGCCACACGTTCTTCAACGAAATAGTTTGCGCGCTCAGTCACTTCGTTTATAACGTCCGTGTTTGCAATAGCGTTTCCCATTCGGGTTTATTTCATGCACTACTAACACGAAAAACAAACTCATACACAATTCTACCTCAAAATTCATCTACTTACATCGAAATAGTTATGTTGTGGTTGCCTAGGTCTATATAGACACGAATGTAAATGTACAAGGCATTTACTTTTCTTCAAGAAATGTATAAATACGAAAGACCTCCTGTCAATCGATGATAATTAAAACATGGGGGAATTTTGTAAAAATGTGTGTACTTAAGGGGAAGTGACGTCTCGTCTGTTCTGGTGTGATTTATTTCAAAGAACTGCTATTAAAGGGGCAGTAAAACGCAAATAGTACGTGAGTTTTTGTCTCCGTGAGTCATACAGCGCGTTAGTAAATAAATAATCGCTGTCTCAAAAAATTTTATGGAGTAGATAATGACTAGATTACAACCAAATGGCAGTACGCGGCTTTGTAATTATGTCGCATCGTATTGTCGACACTATGACATTGTTAAACTATTGCTGGGAAAAGGTGCGTCGACATCAATCAAAAATCGATACGGCAATATTTCATTTGAAGAAGGTAGAATAGATGAGATCAAAGTGTTGTTTGCTCGTCAGAGGGTATCGAATCGGGTTTACAGGAAATACCATGGACATGGTTGAATGGATCCGGATTGGAAAACACATTGATCAAGAAGCAACAATAATCCGAAAAATGTTGAAATCTTATGCTGGTCAGAATATAACGAGAGAAAATCGAATTCTGGTGAAAATGATCGATTTAGGTGATTACGAACATATTGAAAAGATTCGATTGTATTTTGATGAAGCCAATGAAAAAAAATGACCCGAAATATATCCTGCAAGCTTATGCAGAAGAAACAGAATTCTATCGAAGGCTAAATCAAAAATTCGCAAATATCTGTAACTTCGACTCAGATGATGAAAATCAACATCAACTGTTGCACTTTCTCCATCTTCTTTCTTCTCATCCTAGTTTTCATGAATACGAATATGATCAAGTTCGAACATATCGTGGTACGAGAAAGAATATGGATGATTTGAATCAATATAAAATTAACACAAAGATTATGACAAAAGCTTTATTATCAACTTCAAGAGTTCTCAAGGTTTCCACATGAACAGGAGGTTCTCTTAATTTCGTATTCAGCTTTCGAAGTTATCAATATTCGACCCATTCCGATAGATCATGATTACGGAATCGGTACAGAAATCGAACTACGCCAGTGTAGATCGTACATTCGACGACGATGTTGTTAGTTGAAATAAAAATTATTCTACGCGTGTTCTCTTGAAAATTGATTTCAAACCGTGCCAGTTCTTTTTCGTTGTGCTGCGAAGATGAATGCAGAGGTGTAAATCAAAAGTGTTCACTATATGTTCGACTGATATACAGCAGAGACAGTTGGAAATCGTTACAGTTGCTGTCTATGTAGTTTGTTCTCACATGTTCAAGTAAAATTACTGCAATTGAGAAAAGATCATCACGTTACAAGAAGACAAAACTATTTGTTGTAGGCAATAGCTTATCGCCTTTGCATAATCCTTTTCAAGTTGTTGCTGATTTCGATGCAGGTACTGGGGTAAGGGACAAATTAGAGTGAACATTAAACTTGCCTAGGCTAGGCATATTTATAGGTACAAGCGGATTGACTAACAATCAGCTGTCTCAACCAATGGCATGGTATTCGATTCCAACACCGACACGGGCAATGTTGTTCGTTTGATTTTTGGTGCAAGTAACTAGACAGTAGTGGCTGGAAGTTGTGATATCGTATTGATGCACCGGTAAATCTAGAGTTTTTAAAGAAGGGAACATCTTCTCAGAGAGTGGCGGGAGATTGCAGGTAGACTTCTTCAGGCTATTCAAGACAGCGTAAAATGACTTTCTCGTTCATAGTTCTATTGGGGTAGATCCAGAAGTTTCTCTTAGAAGAAGACAACTGTCTTTTTACTAGATCCATTACGACATTGATCGTCATAATGGAACGACCAATATTCTATCAAACAAAGAAGAGAATATGAATCAGTACAGAATAATTTCATTCTGACCAAGTGCATGTTCAAGCAAACATATACTACTAAGGTAGAAACTGTTGAAAAAGAAATTTGGTACAAGCATTCCAACGATTTCTTCATATACTTGAAGTTAGAATTGTAAAAGTAAATATCGAAATATTTTCCCGCATACTCAATAGACTTTTAGCTTTGCTTAATTCTGAAATTTTTCAATATGAAAGAAATGGTTTGAACTTGGAGCTAATAGCGATTGCGTCAGAATTATACTTAACACTGGAAACAAATAGAAGAGCGTTATTGTCTAACATGTGTTTTTTTTTCTTCGAGAAGTGGGGACGAATGGATTCATTTAAAGAAAGAGGTCAAAAGAAGATGTGAGCAATCAGACATGAGAAGACTGCCATCTATGTCAATCAACCATACATTCATTTTCATTGCTTAGGTACTTTCAAATTAATCGTCAGTTCAAGTAAATATTTGATATTGTTTAAAAGTGTTGCATTAGTTTTACTTGCGACGTCCGTAGCCGTTGACAAATAAGTATAATGATATTTATAGGGATAATATTTAAGACCTTGTTCATATTTGTATGAAGCAGTTTCACTGTCATGTACAATGATGAGATCAGTCATATTAATTAAACGAATGATGTCTACTACACGTCGCTCGCCTGGTTTGTGATCAATGAACGCTATTGACCATCGAGGTCGATCATTTCCAACACTATCCCAGTCCGAGACACGATCAATAAAACGAAATTGGTGGAGAGATGACGACATATTGTTTTGAAATTTGAGTAACCATTCGCGATCAGTGTCGGTCGACAGAACATAACGTTTTTGCCTACCCACAGCTAATTGTTGAAGAAGAACTGTTGAGTGATAACCACAACCCATTTCCACTACAGGTCCACCATTTGTACCTGTTAATAGAAGTGCGGCAAGGAACGCAAGCTTATGAGACCCATAACCACTTTCTAACGGTAAAGGAATATAATGTTTGATGAGACGGAGCCAATGAGCACTTAACTCATCTGATGGTTCTTGAACATGATTTATGATATAATCTTCGGAATGTTGAATATTTTGATCAGATGTTGTACCAATAATGCATTTAAAAGGCGTTATCGAGAAAACCATATCGAAAGTAAAATATATTGTAACTAACAGTAAAATAATGAATATAATACAATAATATTTATTGTTATTAGTCATCTGAAATATTCAAGCAAATGGTAGATTTTTTAGTCACGGAACTGAATTAATAAAATTTTACTATGTGATCTTTTTTGTCTATATGGCAACGACATATGAGAATATATTGAAAGGAAGTCTTATTTGTATTTCACAACCGAACGCAAAAGAACTTGTTCGTCTCTTTCGCCGGTAAAAGCTCATTTCGACGTGACATCATAAGAAGAAATCATATCAGTGTATTTTGCGTTCTCTTTCTTCTGACTGTATTGTACAATTTTCTGTGTCAGCAATCGGTGAATACGCCGAGCGCAACTTTCATCAGAACGAAAAATCATCTCAAAACGTATACAGTATAACGTTTTTTTTATTGTATAAGGTGTGTTTCGAAAATTCGTCGTTGTAACGACAAACTGGTTGAGTAGCAGGCCGCTTCTCACGGTACAGATGTTTATTGACTACTTTTCATGACCAAGATGTATCGTTTTTTGTTAGCTAGTTAATTTGAAAATATTGATCCCCTGAGGCCTAACAATACCACTAGGTATACACTTCTTTGACAGAGGATGAAGATATAGCAGGAGGATCAAGAAAGGAGAACGTAGAAAATGAGAAAAAGTAGAAAGTAATCACAACAGTCCAAAGGAGAGATGAAAACCTCCACTACAATAACAACAACGTAACATAGACGAGAGTAATATAATATATACGTACACCTTTTTTTTTCGCCAGAGGCATTGAAGAACAAGGTGCAAAATACGCAACGATGCGTTATATGGTACATGAATGACTCCGGAAAATCTTTTAATAGTTCAAGATCGTGAATGTTGATTATTGAGGATGCGCAAGGTTGATATAGTTCCATCCATTTCTCTATGCATGTGTCATATCCCAGGTTATTATGGCACGGTCGGTTCCGGCCGGAATCGAGAAGAGCTGTACCGGATCCAGTCGCCGGAATGATCGACCTGGGTATAGGGGATGAAGCATTTTGATCTGCGTAAATATTTGATAATCATATTCCTGTTTCACCATAATCTTTTAAAAACATTGGAATTTGCTTGTTCAAACAGCAGATGTTCATCGGTGGATCCTGTCAACGAAACTTTATATCTTCCCAATGGTTCTTACAGTGATTTTCCAGTGGGAGTTCACGGTATATCATCGAGAACATCGAGCTGTTCCATTGGTGAACACTTAAAGCTCTCTTTAGTGCTGCGTAATACAAAAGGGTATACGCAGTGCATCCAGCTGAATAGCGGCATAACATACGTATGTTGCAAAGAGTACTCGTCTCTATTCTGCTGACGAAGAGCCGAGAAGTTTACACAATTTGATTATCGCTACTCGTTGCCTTATTTTGAGCTTCATTACATCTATCATTTTACCCCAGCATAGTCTAGATCCTATATTATATCTTAAGTATTTGTAGCTTGTTACCCAATTTAGCTGGTTATTACCCGCTGACACGTTAAAGCGGGGTTCTCCTACTGCTCTGGCTGTCCAAAGCAATTCAATCTTCTTGTAATTAATGAGTTGTACTGCTAGCGTGGAGTAGAATTCTAGATAATCGAACAAGTTTTTAAATTTTCTCTCTAGATCGAGACATTGACTGGATTAGTTGGTTCCAATCATTCCGCCTACAACACATGCTAGATCAGCGGCAAAGAAATTCGACATAGAACTTTGAAGATATGTAATGAAAATTGCTGGTGTCAAGCACGAACCATGCGGTCCACCTTTCTGAACAATAAAGGGTTTTGATCTTTGCTCTTTCATTTCGATAAAACATGTCGTGTTTCTCAACCAACTATCAATCCACTTTACATAATCTTGCGGTACTCCTAACCTGGAAACCTTTCCAATGCATCCCTCCCACCATGGTTGGTCGATCAGAACCAATACTCTTGACTGTGGTCTAAAATCTGATCTGAATCCAGATTAAGAATCATGAAAAAGTCCTCTATTTTGGAGAACGCGTTGAAATCTACTTAAGGAAAATATCAAGCAGCGAGGTCGATCTTGTGTCGGTTACTGTCCAAGTACTATCTTTCTTAGCCAGTAATTGACTCATTATATTTTTTTATGTGTTTGAAATATCAAGCTAATCGATTTAAGCAAGAGGATGAGGAAAACTCTTACGAAATATCTCGTATTAATGCGTGTGTGTTTATCATTGTGTTATTTTTTTTGTATAAAACGTCGTAGCTCTTGGATCACCATTTCTTTAAACTACTTCGTTATGTGTAAACGCTTATAAATCGCATTTTGTATTGAGACATCTCTGGTGCATTCGATGAGTTTATATTGTTCTTATTCATATGACCTTTCTCATGATCATTATCTACTCATCTTCATTTTTTTTCGCTTTCGACTCAATATTGCGAAGACGCTCAGGAGAGCGTCTAATCTGAGTGGGAGGATGTAACGCTAATGATATCGTTCATCCCTTTCTGTTCTTTATTCTCTTACCTCTATGTATATCATACTATCTCCGGGTCATCTCTCTCTCTTTCCTCTTCTCTATATAAGCGCGTGTCTTATTGTGAAAGAGATACATTCTGATCATGTAGAGTAGTTAATAAACATCTGTACCGTGAGAAGCGGTCCGCTACTCAGCCAGTTTGTCGTCACAACTGGGATGTGCTGTTGGATTGGTGAGAGATTGTCCAGCATCAGATGTCACCGTTTGTTGGCGGAGCGGTGTTATATTCTGTACCAGGTTGTGCATGTGTTGGTCTGAGGTAAAACATGGATAGCGGTTAAACTGTTGATTGTTCATTGGATAAAAGGCATTAATTGTGGCTTGATTTCCTGGATATCCATGGTTGTACTAAAACGTTGAGGTTTTTTTGACGAGTATTGGTCAGGTGTGATTTGTAGCGGCTCCGTCATTTGATGATCCACCTTGTTTGATGCTAAATTGTCGCCTATCATGTTGTGATTAATACCCGGATTCTATGTTATTTGGTAGTTGTATGCGGGAGATATGTTGCTGTTCAGCATGTCGGCTCAGCAGAACAGACTTAGTTTTCCTGCCAATATCTTGTGATGATTCTTGATTGTATAGACAGAAACAACACTTCTTTGTGAGATAGAATAACGGTAGTTTTCGTTTATGGACGATACGTACGACGAAGAAAAAAACGTCCTATTCGAACGTGTGCAATGTTGTGAATGAGAATATACCTATTACGCAATAAGACATGCGCTTACATAGAGAAGAGGAAAGAGAGAGATGGCTCAGAGGTAGCATGATTTAGAGGTGAGAGAATAAAGAAGAAAGAAAGATGAACGATATCATTACCGTTACAGTCGTGGTAGAATGCAAATCAATGAAAAAAACTTCGTCGATGGCTACTCGGTACAAAGTTGCATCCACTATATGTAGATACGCGATTTTTGACAATAATGATTTATACCAAATATTCCTGAATAAAAATTCACAATTGTTATATCACTGCTGATTACAATTCATTAGATTTATCATATGGTGTCTCTTTGGCGGAAAATCAAGGAGAATATTTCTAGCTATTTCTATTTCGCATATTGATTTATTTGAACCATTGGTCATTGAATGTGCATATATACAATAAGAAGCGTAAGAAAAATTATTACATACGTACGAGCAACGAATAACTAAAGGGTCGATGCAATGCATAACAAATGCAATCTAATTGGAAGGAATGTGTGCTCATATAACCAACGATATGACGACTATACGAATTATGAAAATAGTATAGCCATTCCTCACATCGCTTATTGGTACACCCTTCATACGATATATCGATAGAGTTATTACTACTTCTCAACGAGTTTGTGAACATATAGCTGTTGTCAATGATTTCAACATAGACTATAAGATGAAAACGTTTATTTTAGCGACTAAATCACACCGGCTGGAACCGTAATGTCTTCAAACCGCAGTTATCAACGGTTCAAAGTAATCATCATCGTGATGGTACGTCGCTTCTGTCATCGATTCTATCCTTACACTTTATTTAATATCTTGGTTAATTGATTAGATACCACCATTTTTACCTGCTATCAGAGATGTCCACAAGGCAGGGCTGCCCTGCTAATTATACATGTGGACCATGAATTCATTAAAACAGTCTTTGTTGCTTAAAAAATATTCAAAAATACTAAAAGAAAACGGGATTTTACCGTCGAATAACCTCTAATGCTGTTTCAGCATTTTTAGACGTTGCCTGTAATCTACTGTACTAAACAGTTGATTTAAAGGATCTTTGAAGATAACATAAATTTTAGATGAAGTCGTAGTGATCTTCAGAAGAAGTGATAGAATTCTCCTGAGATCAAAGAGCAAACAACTAGAAAAATAATAAATCCTTGTGATAGACAAGTTTTGACTCGTTTCTACATGTATTTAGTTAGGTCTTCTTCTCTTTACTACTCTAAAAATAGATCCATGTTCAGAAAAAAACTTATTTCTCATTTGAATCAAATTATTTTGTACAAAAGTCAAAATGATAATACTAATCTTTAATCAATCGTCATTTTTCCCGAACGCTGATGCCGTAAGTAGTCGAATAAACAGCTGTACTTCCCAAATTAATTATTAGACAACCGAACTGGAAGTATTATGTTGATTTCAAACCTAAGGCTAGATAATCCGTTTTGTCCCATAAAGTTGTTTATCGGACTTCATCTCGAATCAAGTCATACTGGAAATGAGGATCAATCGAAAATGAATAACACTAATCCTTTTATTTTAGTTTTTTTATGAGATAAATTTAATAAAACTGGTAATATTCTTTTGCTAAGTTTATTTTTACATATATGTATCGAATGCTATCCTATTTATCGGCTCCACATATGTTGAATTTTATCGATTATATTGCGCAAGATACTAACTATATAGTCATAGTTATATAATGTGTTCGCCCTGTAGGGCAGGGCAAAAAAAAGTGCCCTGTGGACATCTCTGCCTGCTATCAAAGTCCACTTATTCCACTGAATCACCTGATGATATACTGATATTACATACGAGAGCTTATCTGACCGGTGATAAAAACCTTTTCATTCAATTTAAACGGTTTCATTTCCTGGTCAATTTTAAAGAGCCTAATAATTTATTTGTAAAACTTCCTGAGATGTGAATGTTCATGATGAACCGTATGCACATTGAAAATCGCTTTTTGATGATTAATATGGCTGTGGCCCGCCGAACAGGAGAGAATTTTTAATGTGCTACTATGTAGCAAACTCATCAAACGTGCGTGATGCTGCAAACAGAGAAAAATTCTAATCATGTATTTAAAATGTTTGAACAAACATGCGTTTTCTCGTTACTTCGCAACAATGTAGCAGTTGCTTAGGTGTCGTAAACAGCGAAACGCTCAAACGCATAAAGAAGAAGTTTTATGAAGCGTAAAGCATCTTTATAAATAAAATTCATTGAATTTTAATACATTCTATCAAACCTGCTTTCGAGATTTACCGAGACATATGGCAAATAAGAATGTATAATGATAAACGATATTGTCAAAGAAATTACTTGAATTGTTTTCAAAAGATCTGCAGTTCATATGTCATTGTGAACTGCGCACGAATTTTCTTTGTCTTGGTTAAAAACTTCATTTTACTACTCAATGCGAAGAGAATTATAGAGCAGCAATATACAATTGCGATTTGCCTTCTGGTTAAATGTTCAATTTGATTGGGGGCGAAAGTAGTTGAAATAACTTCGTTTCTAGAAAAATCGGCACTCGCTAGCACTGTCATCCTGAAAATCTGGTTCGCAAAAAGCAATCTATTTATTCTGTGTCAGCAACTATACAAAACGAGATCGAAGGATTATCATGACACTAAATACTTTGACAATGGCTGATAAAGAACGACTTTGCTAAGAGTATATTCGCGCAAATATTCCTGTCAAAGACGTTACTTGCATTGAGACGGGTCGGCGCACCAACATTTGTAGTTTGTTATAAATGAACAAGAAGTTTTCTGCGCCAAAATAAAACAGCATCTTTCAATTTTCACGGGATATTGATCTTGCTGATGCACAAGTGACAATCTCAGAATCCGATATTATGATCGAAGGATAGCACACGTTTGAGCCGAAAAGAAACGTAGTTATATAAAATATCGTAGGTTGTAATTACCATCTATAAAGTCAAAAGTACACAGTGAACAAAAGAAGCGGAATTCTGCATCTCGTAGTGAAACAGCGCGTGTACAATAGAATCAAACTATTAGTGTTAGATTGAAAGATTTTTTTGTCACGACTAAACAATAATAAAAATGTGGTCACATGAATGTTGAGAGCATTGTAGAGTACACGAATCTAATAAGAGCAATGAATGTGCATAAGACACCCTCATTGTATTAGGATGATTATTTATCAATCGAAATGATTTTAGTAATTGGGCAAAATTTCTTCACGACGATCTTCATTCTCTACGTCACTCGTCAATGGAGACAGTATCTTATTAGAATGTTCTTCATATAATTATAAATGGCACAAAATTTCTACCCTTTAATTCTTTCACAGTGTGTTCGCATCCGGTTGAAGTTCATACGTCATCGAGAATGAATTTGCTTTATTCAATTTTTACCATGGATATAAGACATGACGTTTTATCTACTTCACAAAAAAAACAAAAGCTTTAAAACATGAGAGAATAAGAGTTTCTATATCCACCCTTTTCTTTTCACTAAGGTTCAAACTCAAACTTTTGTATTCGTCGATTGCCATCATCGATAACGTAAAGGTTTCCTTGTCGATCGATGGATATATCCTCTGGCGCAAATAACTGATGTGAAGCTCTTCCATCACCATAACCACCAACAACAATCCAAATATCACGCGATCTGTCTGACCAACGCATCACTCGATGATTCAGCGAATCAACCACGTACACATTACTCCGTTGATCAACGAATATTCCCTTAGGACCATTCAATTCTTTCATATGAGCACCGCTACCACGACCACCAGCAACAACAATTCCTTCTTTTGCATTTTTCAACCACTTCATCACACGATTATTGTTCGAATCTGATACATAAACTGAATAATCTTGATCGACAGCAAGATATGTAGGATAGTGAAGTTGATCTAGACCACGACCTTTTCCATTGCCACCAGCAACAACTTTCCCACGGGACTCTCCTTCTTTCCATCGTGTTACAACACACTGCTCATGATCGCTTATATAAATAGCTCCGTCTCGATCGATTGCTATATCTGTGCAAGTAACGTTCGAAGCTATGATCTGCTGGTCGCTCGAATTTTGCAGCGACCATCTCACCACTCGACGATTTCCGCTGTCACAAATGATAATCGAATTTTTTGCTTTATCAATAACTGTATGTGTGGGCGCATGTAATTGATTGCTTTTATTGCCTCTTCCATTCCCACCAGCAATGACTTCACCTTTCGCCACATTAGATCTGCGTCTAACAATGCAATTTGCAGATGAATCAGCAAAATAAATTGTTTCATGATCATCATCATCAACGGTGATGCCTTTGACAGAACGTAGTATCATGCCTATACTGATAGAAATTCCATATTGATTCCATGAAGGATAATCTAGAATAGACCAAAAAGTAAATGAAACCCTAGATGTCATACGTTCACATGTGCCAACCTTCTGTGACTGTCATAGTGACGTTAAATAATACCTCTGTTGTTCTCGTTGTTGTTGTTGTTACTGATTTCTTAATAATTGGGGTTTCCTTTGCTATGATGGTCAAAATAATAATTATAATGATTGCGATCAGAATGATGACACTGCTGACAAATATGACACACGTTCTTTTCTCTGATCGAGTATATTCATTTCTAAAAACGATGTGTTCTGAGCTTTGTTTTGTACAATTTCAAACACACATACGATGTATCTGATTGAGCTACATCTGTTTGCAACACACTCAGACTAGTCACGTTTAGCTGAAAATCATCAAACTAAATATTATTTTTCGAAAATTTACTCATTAATTACTTCATGATCTACTGTGTTATTGCTCTTCATTAAGTTATCTTCAACGCCTACCGCATGAAGAAAGATGATTGGAAATCGTTGTGTCGAGTATTATTTCACTTGAACGATCGTTAAGATATGGATGGTAAGTGAAAAGAAAAAAACGTCAAACAGTTTAATACTTGATCATTGATATCGCGCAACCTTCTCTCCTTCCGCCTGAAAATATTTTAAAAAGGCTTTTTATCATTTTAGGTTTGCTTTCGGCGGAGATATCATTTACTTCCGACGGAAGAAGGCGATACCACTTACCAAAGCTGATTTCTACGTTCTACCGACAAAATGTTAATATTACTGTTATCGCTTGTGTATTTACAACTGAAATTAGCACGCAGTTGTTGCTATTTACTTCGAATGAAGTGAGTAAAATAAAAAAGAACCCTGGTCGATATCATATACGCTACACATATTTTCCAAATTAACAGTTATAGAGGAAAGCTTCGTCATGCGTATGAAACTCTTCTTACAATCGTTGTATAAAACTATTCGTGACAAATGGACGACATGGAATGTGTTTAATTCTCGATCAGCAGATCCGATGATAAAACGTCGAGAAATTTTATCCACTCGTGTATATATCATTCTCGTTGTTGTGTCATCTATTATTCTCATAACATACAATTCGATTAGTGTGCNATCAATACAATCCTTTATTAACTTCTCATTCGAAACTACTCAACTGTCCTTGTGAGAAAATATCGATCGAATATAAACATTTCGTTGAAATCAGTACAAGATTACATTCCGTGTGTTCAAGTGATTTTGTTCGCAAAGAATGGCGTGATTATCTATGGTTTACTAGAAACGCAATGTTATTTCATCGACTTGATATCCGTGTACGCGGTCCAGCATATTTCTCATTTCTTTCGGCGTTATGTCAAATTTCTGAAATAACACTGCGAAACGCCGTTGATCAATTTCTTCATGGAACATACATCAGTCCTCGATTACTATCGCAATCGAATTTCGAAAAGCAGATTAATCATATTGTTTTACAATTTCAGAAAGTTCCTGGAGCAAAATTTGCTCGAAGCTTAGAAGTTATACGTGCTGTAATGAATGGAAATGGGTTTGTCTCCGCTCATTCTTTAAATTGGGAGTGGTGGAGGGATTTAAATCGTACTTTCTATACATTACCAACGCGTCCGATTACAATGAGTGACGGATGCTCTTGTGGAACACGAAGCGATTGTTTCGATTCAGCAGGTATCTATTTTGAATTAAGTCATGTGGAAAAATTTACGATACCTGGCTGGAAAATCGGATGTTCAGCTGTTGAAACGCTACTGCACTCCACATTCGAATGTTTATACGAACGGAATTGTCTGAATTTGTTATTATCCCATATTCCAGAAGGTGGTTTTGGTTTTCCTCCCATAAATATGTCACCAATTAACTCTTCACTGGCAAGTCGTTTTCAAAACAGTTCAAGTATTCAAAATTTAACCGATGAGCTATTCGTGGAAGAATGGAAGGTGAATAGTTATTATTCATCATTTTACAATCAGTGTGCTCCAATTTTATGTTCTTATAAGATGAAAAGAGAGGAATATCTTGTTTTCAGCGTTACGAAAATTCTAGCCTTTTACGGAGGACTAACTGTAGTTTTGCAATTTATTATTCCAATTATCATTAAATCAATATTCGATATTCATGATCAGTGTCGAAGAAACACAATTACTCCCGTTGAGTAATTTACATGATGATTATTTGTTCAATAAACTCGAACTAACTACATAGTTGAATTGCTTTGAGAAATGGTCCATGTGCAAATGCTTTTGAATAAAAAGACGATCTATCACATTGAACTTTCTTTTGTTTTGTATTAATTGAAACGAAGTTGCAAAGCTTTTATATTCTGAAATTCATTATAGTCTAATCAAATGATAAATAAGCTCTCTCACCTTTTACCTATGGCGAGTTTGTCATTCTCATTGAATAGCTTGACTCTATTCGCTCAGCACATTTACCGTGTCAGTTGTACCAGATTCGTCATCTCTTTAACTTACCGTTCTCGTAGACGGTTAGTTACAACTCGAGTTGGAATTACAGAACAGCGTATCCTAAAATTGATTGGAATTCTCTATTTCAACCTGACAAATGTATTTAAAAATCAAAGTAAGAACATGATTAATAGGATAATATATCCAGTACTTAGCGATAAATTCATAACACATAGCTAAAGGACGGAGTGGTCCATAAACGTTTTCTAAGCGCATGGCAGAGTATTTTTGCATGAAATCAAGATTTTCCAGGTTATATAGTTTATAAGGCACCACTAAAATTGGATACATATCGTTATTGTTATCACCAGCTGTGCCATTTGGCGTCGTTTTATAATGAGCATTATGAACAACAGAATATACGTGACTTTTTCTCAACAGATACGACACAGTATGTGAAGTGCTTTCCATTTCCCCTCATCAAACGAACTGTTTGTTGAGAAAAGCAGAAAGATCCCCGAAAAGTTTAACTCTTCAATTACTGGTAGATTTAAGATGAATCGAAGCGATATCTTCTACAATTTTTCCGGAGACAATAATCAAACGAATCTCATCTCACTAGTGAATCTTGTGAACAGAATTGTCTCACAATTCGGCCTTGGTTTTATCTGGATTTTTGGAAACATTAGTTCAATTCTTCTGTGTATGGTTTTCATTCAGCCAACTTATCGCAATAGTCCATGTGCAATGTTTTTCCTTGCTGCAAGTATTTCACAGTTTTTTGCTTATAACTTCGCATTATTCACTCGAATGCTTCCGCTTGGGTACAATGTCGCCATTTTCAATTACAATCTTTGGTACTGTAAACTTCGCTTTTATTTCTTTTATGTTTTTGTGGCTCTCCCTCGCTATTATATCATTCTGGCATCCATTGATCGATATTTCGCCAGTTCACGCGATGTACTTCGACGGCGATGGAGTTCACCAAAGATCGCCTATCGACTTATCATCGGCAATGCTCTATTCTGGTGTATCATGTACATCCAAATCATTATTTTCTATGAAATTGGGAGTGGCACATGTACATTTCGCTCAGGAAACTACGGAATATTCCTTAGTATTTATATAGCGATCGACAGCGGTATTCTTCCTTTACTCTTAATGGTCGTCTTCGGCTTGTTAACTGTGCGAAATATTCATCAGAGTAAGATGCGGATTGATGTATGCGCAAGACAAGTAACAAGAATGGGAAAGAAAGATCTGCAACTGCACCGAATGTTAGCAAATCAAATAGCTCTGTTTCTCGTCCTCAACCTACCGAATCCAATTTATCTTCTCTTTATTTCATTTACAATCAATATACCGAAATCAACACTTCAAAACGCCGCAGAAATGCTTGTTGGTAATATGACGTATGCATTAATTTACTTCGGATTTTTATTAACATTTACAAATTTTATGATCTCCTCGGACATATTTCATCGAGAGTTTTTCCATTTGTTCCGAGTGAAAATACTTCGTCGTTCTGCCGTGGGAAGATCAACTGGTGGTGAGTTAACAGCACGACCACTTCGTCCAATCAATATTAATGCATAAAAAATTGAATGAATCAAACTGTTTAGTAGATCTCTTACTCATCGTGTTCACTTTTCATTTATCGAGAAAATAAAGGTCTGTGAGTAATGATTTATCTGATTATCTATTGACATTCACACCCTGCGGGATGAATTTTGTCAATATGTGACGACAGAACGCAGTATTCTGCTTACTTTGTTTCTTTCTAATATAATAAAAGGCAATCACCAAATCTTTCCTTGTGTTTGTTCATCTATTTCGTGATCAATGTTATATTCGATCCGATAACAAAGTTATGTTAATTGCTTGGCCAAAATGATTTAGAATACTATAGAAATTACTCTTTCTCTCTCTATTTATAATCGATAAAAATTGTATTATCCTAAAGATACAATATTTGAGTAGACGAACGACACAGCGTACTATTGATATATTTCATGACAATCAATCAACGCTTCGAATCCTCAGGCCAAAATATTCAACATATTTCAGATATAAATGTTTCAAAACGCACCTTCTATTTGAGAATAGATGCGGGACCTATTCTTGTTTGAACCCAATAATCTAAAAATTCGAAACGATATCGACGGAGATCTGAGTTTGTCTAAGGATGATGCTGGAATGATTGAATTCAACTTTCGAGTTAAACTATTTCTTAGTTGGTCCGCGCGAAGGTCAGGCTATGATATAACATAATAATCGTGTTATTCATCGAGAGTGCCACAAGTCAGAATAAAAAAACGATGATAGAATAGAATGTCAAAATACATTTCGTATGCATACGAGTATAGTAAGTTTTTTGTTTATCTATATTCTTCGACATGGAATTCCTTGGTAGAACTGAAGAGCGTTTCTGACGTGTGTTATGACTCCTGCTGATTTGAAGTCAATTTTTGTTAATACGAATAGAAATGGCGCACCTTCGTCTATTTCATTTCATTTCATTATATAAAGTAAGGGAATAATCATGGATGTAATAGTTTTAAAGTTAGAAGTTCTGATTAAGATTGAGTAAACCACCGATGTATGAGAATAAATCGTCAACTTGTGATAATTCATCGACAGGATTTGTTGAAAATTCAGATGTTACTATTTCAAATTAACTTACATTAAGTTTAGGAAAAGTCAAGTAAAATATGTTGACTTCTATTTTACAGGTGGTTCAAGTTGTTCTCATTCGATATGACTTGCCAACATACTTGATTTTTGGTAGTATTGGCAATTTCCTAATTATTTGTTTCTTTCAAAAACATCTACAGAATAAATGTTCAAAGAATTTGTCATATGCGGCTGCTATGAACAGTATTTTTCTTACATTCAATGTTTCTCTCCTTGTTTACGGTGATCGAACGCAAGATTCGTCATTATTTACCGCATGTCGTTGGTCAAATCTTCTTGTTTTCACATCCATCAATCATTTGCGAAATTTGTTCGGTGTAATCACGGTGAGAAATCTTTCGATAGTTCTATCTGTTCATATTGCATTATTTCAATGAGTCAAAATGGTTCATGTGCGCAATTTTCCTCGTATCATATATGTTACCATATCTATGTTATTATTTTCGTTTCGATTATTCATCCGACGATTATATTTGTCTTTGGATATCTCACCTATCAAAATAATCGATGTATTCGAGATCGATTACGATCTATAGAAAATAGAATCACTGGTCGACGTCAGAGTGCTCCAATTTATCGGCATGATCAAGGTTTATTATGAATAGTATTAGCTGAACATAACAATAAGTTTGAATATGATCAGAAGTATACAACATAAACCATTGAGAACTTTTCTACTATTCATCGATAGATTCGCTGGCAATGTGAATAGTGCTATATGATTCTATATTTATTTTATTGCATGTAAAACATATTGTCGAATGGTTATTCGATCTTTTAAACAGTCAGTGTTTAGAATAGATGAATATTCGCAAAGAATGTTTGCTCATTGGATAGAGTATGTAGGAATTGAAGAGAACTATCGAATCGCGTGAAACTATTGTTCTTTTCATTGTTATAAAAAGCAGTAACAATGACTCTGATGTTATACATATGTTTACGATATCAATACAACTTGCGCTATGTACAGTTAAACAAAACGATAGGGGGCTGTTTTCTGCGTCATTTTCGATACTTATCGTATATTCAAATGTCTTGTCAATCGTGCGACTCTAATCTAAAGGTTAAAGTTTTTCGTACGATCCCTATCTCGATGTCATTGTAGAAGAGCAAAGGACATTCGACTTCGACTCTATAATTGAGAGAGTGCCATAAGTCAATTTGTTAGCGTTATTCGAAGAATGAGTATAGCTGCCAGTTTTCTCATCATTGATAAATGCGTTGAAAAAGAAGCAATATGATTATTTGCGTTTATTTGTCAACGAAGAGAAGAACGATGATATATATATATACACGCGCATATGTTTCGGTTCTTCGCCTTACCGTTTTCTTCGATGTAAGAGTAATCTATTTCAATCTGACTGAATTAAAGGATGAATCTATTAATTTTTACATTATCATTGTGCATTTTATTTATTTATTCCTGTAATGCTACGTATTTCGCAGTATTTCTTACTGAAAATACGACAAATTTGCTAAAAAACAAATTCTTTCGTCCTCATCCACAATCTTCTCCATTCTTCGGCAACACTGCTCATATTTATTGCGAACACAGCACCATCGAGTTCAATCCAAAGCCTGATTTCGTCAAACAACTCACAGAACATTACGGACATACACAAAAACTAGCTGTTCTAGCATATGCTGAAGATGAACACGCACAAACCATCTTAGTTCGCAACATTGGCGACGATGATATTCATCTGTCTGATAATGAATATCCTCACATAACAATTAGTGTTAGTAATGTGAAACCTTACACACCGGTGTATTCGAATGATCTATGGAAAAGACTGGTTGACGATGGAATCATAAAAGTACAGAAAGATAAAAATGACAAGCCACAAGCGATTGCATTGAAAGATCAAACGGATGAATGGCAAGGAAGATTGAGTAGTGCTGGCAAATACGAAGAAACACAAGCGTATGTCAGAATCGTGAATCAAACGACCGAATTGAATGGAATTGTTTGTATGAACAACTTATGGAAAAACGATAGATGTCACATAACAAAATTTATGAAAACAAGATTTCAAAAGTTAGAGTTGTTTCACGAATATCTAATCAAATAAATATTCGATAAAGATCAAGAAATCTTGTGAATTCGAATTCGCATCAAAACTATTAAATAAACAGCTTTACGAACGTAAACATCCGTCTGTTAATATAACAACTATATATATAGTCTTCGTGATTAGATTGTGACAATAATACGTTTTCTTTTTTGCATGTAGAGCAGCACGAGTTTGTCAATGTTTAAAATAAATCTATACACATACACTTTTTCGTCTGTTTCATGACATTATTCATTCGATCGTTTACGCATCGACCAGAAAGGAAAATGTATCTAATTATGCTAGTCAAGGCAACTGTACCGCGAAGTATCGAAAAAATTCACGGGCATTGCTTACTTCTTCATGCACGAACAAGTTTAAAATCAATTGACGTAAACATGATATTTTTCTTCTTCGCTTCTCGTTGTTTGTCAATGAATTTTCAAATATTCGCATTGCTAGCCTGTTCTTTATTTGTTTCTTACTCTAATGCTACATATTTGGCAGTGTTCCTCACTAAAGATGCGAAAAACTTATTGAAAAACATATTTTTTCGTCCTCATCCAGAATGGTCTCCATTCTTCGGCAATACTGCTCATATTTATTGCGAACACAGCACCATCGAGTTCAATCCAAAACGTGGTCCCATCGAGCAATTTACAAAGTACTATGGGCACACACAAAAACTGTTCGTTCTTGCATACGCTGAAGATGAACACGCACAAACCATCCTAGTTCGCGGTATTGACCAGAGTGGCATTCATGCATCTGAGAACAAATATCCTCACATAACAATCAGTGTTAGTAACGTGGAGCCTTATACACCGGTGTATTCGAATGACCTATGGAAAAGACTAATCCACGATGAAATCATAAAAGTACACAAGAACAAAAATGGTAAACCACGAAGTGTTACAATTAAAAATCGAACTGATGAGTGGCAAGGTAAATTGTCGAGTTATGGACAGTATGAAGAAACAGAAGCTCGTGTGGAAATTATCGATGAAAAGATCGAATTGAATGGGATTATTTGTGTAGATAATTTATGGCGAAACGGTAGATGTCATACAGCTAAATAAAATTCTAATAATCGATTTCAAGAGTTTTTTTTATGTATTATAACATGAGAGAAAAAAACAGTTCAAAACACTGATGATGAGCAATAAAGGTAAAAAAGAGAATGTTCCTTCATTCAAAATCACATGTTGTATCTATACGATGTGGAAATTCCAAACAAAGCTGTTCCTTCACTGTCTAAAATAGAAAGAATATAAAATTTTACTTTTTCTCGTGTGAAAAAGTAACTTACTTTTCCAATATGAAATTTAACTATGGTATAATAAAAATCATCCTTGCCAAAGCTTTCAATCGTAACGAACGCGTTTCGTATCGTGCAAAATGTGATCGTGTCGCATGCTTTCTCGAAAACACGCCCGGTCTTTTCATAATCCCTGTCGCAATCATCACCATTACTTGATAATTCGAACTCTATCAATCGTGGACATCAACCTGACAGTAGCCATTCCCATTTTTCCACATCAAGTAAATGCCGCTCATTATAGGTATAGTCAATCTCTTCAAGTTTGAAGTATGTTTCAGCAAATATCTAAGATGTTCGAAAACGATATCAGCCAATACGCTCAAATCGAATGTTTTACATTCAGACAGCATTGGTATTGCAACTGATACGATCGGCTGTGTGAAAAACTCGTAATTATGAGATAATTCATCTTCCATACAGAACGATGTGACATGTTGTAACGCAGGAAGCAGCTTCATCAAATCAACGATAGTTAAACGATCGATGGATGGATGTTTGATATTGATTGGTTTAGTTGTTTGTACTAATGAAGAACTGGGAATGTCGGTGTTTAACTTATTGTTGCTGTAGTTTTTGATTATGAAACGAGTGAGCAATGGACCAAAATCGTGATTATGAATATCACACGCATTAAGAATTCATTTTCATTGAGGTTAATGTTAGGACGAAATTTGCTTCCGAAAATAACTTTCAACGATCGTAAATGTTTCAAAGATGAAAGTTGATTCCAAAATGTGAATAAACGATCCTGGGACGAATACATGTATTCCAACGACAGTAATCGAAGTTGAACGAATGAATTCAGAGGAGGTATCGAGAAAAAGTGCTTGATTTTATTCTGTTTGCGTAGTTTCAACGAGCGGACACGAAGAGTATCTATCGATGGTAAGATATTTCCCATAAAATAGTCGTATTTGCCTTTCTTATCCAGATTTATATGCAATTGTGCTTTTAGTCGATAATTTCATCGATACCCGAGTTCGACTGAGATTAGTTTCATTCGATTGTGACCTATGTCGAACATTTTCAATCTAAAACATACATGAGACAAAGTCAGAACTGCTCGTTGTAAACTCTATAGCTAACGAATGAAGATAGTGTTTGATTTTGTAAGACAGATACACGCCCACATGGATAAATTTCGATTTGGAAGAAGAAAAGTATAGGATAGACGAAATGACATATATACAGAGAACGGTTAATTGTGTATACCATGCCATGTGCGGATAAAGGAAATGGTCAGTATTGCAACAACGTGTACAAATCTATATTCATAATAGTTTCTTTATTCTGTTATAATAAAGCATTATTTTGTTCTCTTTGTGTATTATGTCATCTACTACATCATATTAAATCCAATGAATTTTATTAACACGAACACATCATCAAATAAGTAGGATTCAATTTAGAAAATATACATTAAGGCAAACACACATAACTAAAGACGAGTCATAATTGTTTGGAATTAATTCCAATGTAAATACACTGCCGAGCGGAATGTCATAACCAGCTATTTAGTTCACTAAAATCTGGTCCATTGAGTTCCGTTTCCGTCTTGAAAATCGAGGAACTTCCATTGGCTGAGTCCTTGGTGCAATTTGGTTAGTTGTTTTAGGCACTACGAAGATGACTTGTTTTCGAAATCGCGATGATACACAGTAATAAAGATAGAATGAACTCTAAAGTATTCAGAACAGAAAATTTGCTCGTACTGAAAGAGAAAGACTCACCGCAAAACCTGAATAATCTATTAAAAGCAAGATTCCATTGATCAGATTGTAAATCGTTCTCTGTTTTAAATCATTCGTAGTTATAAAGCCTGAGAAGCAACAAGTGTGATGTAAGGTAATGCTGCGATTATAATATATATGGCGTGAATAAGTACCATAGCCGTTAGTTGTCGATCACGGCTCAACCGAACAATAAATGTTAGTCGACTATAGCTAGTGTACGAGCATTATAAAAGGCTAGCATTGCAAATATGACTATTGTAGTTATAGGCAGAAATTCCGACAGAACAGGCAAATGAAAACGAGTTATATAAACAGCTAAAATTGAGTTCCTCAGAGTACAAATGCCCAATGATGCACCCCAAAAAACGAGAATACAAATATTATACAAACACCAAAGCATACAAACGATAAATATAGCATATTCAGCAACTCGCATGGTACTAAAACGCTTGTATTTACTCATTGGTAAATATTGATCAATGATTGCAAGACAAACATGTGTAAACGATATCCAATACTGTGAGAACGATGATGTTGAATATACTACCAATGATCCTCAAAGTGAAGACTGTCAGTCCGAAGTAAATATGAATTTTTCGAGCTGTAAGAGCCAGAATATCTTCAGTTGACATTGAGCCAGTTGGATTTGTTTATACGCGTGAACGCAACTGTCGTTTGTAAAACAGTGAACAGAAATAATTGTAATTGGATAATAGAACGATATTGCATGAATGCATTTACCTTTAACCGAATAGAAAACTATCCTTCATCTATATTGTTTACAAGTTGATGGGTTCTGATTAATTTATCTTGTGATGTGAAATGATTTGGCACTATAGTTTTAAAATGTTTTTTAGAGAAGTCTCGTAACTTGGTCGAACAATTCTAATCAAAGAACCTAGTTATAGTACTAGAAAATATAATTTTGATCTTTTAATAATTGTCAAGATTAGATTGTGACCCATTATAGTATTTTTATAGTCTATAACACCCAATAAAAATATTATTATGTTCTTAATTATGCTTCATATATGCAGACATATTTGCGTTCGAATATCAACAATGAAAACTGTATTGTCTGTTCCAAATTCGATCATTTCTATTTATTTAGATTAAATAAAGTCAAACTGGCTCGCGTGAAATAACATTCAGACAAGACGACACTACAATAAAAACGAAGCTTTAGAGCATCTGTTACAACGGTTATTTCTAATTTAAATTCAACTGACATGTCAATGTACCCATACAGAGCATATAATCTTTTTTTTCACAGTTAACTGTCATAGTGGAATTCTATCAATATGATTTTGTGTTTGCTGTGAGAACTGATCTATATTCATAGCTTCTACAGCTGGTGTAATTTGATTATTCACCCGGAATTCGTTGAAAATGGTTGAAAGTACCAAGAAGAATTGATTTCGAAATCGTTGTGAGACACAAACATAAAGATAGAATGGACTCTATTTAGCGAAATAGAAATTATAATGGAAATTTTTCGTCTGTAGAAAAGTGGAAAATACTTACAGCAAAGCTTGAATAGTCGATTAAAACTAAGATGCCATAGATAAGGTTATTAATTGCTACTTGTTCTGGATCTTTAGTGGCTTGATTGAGTGAAGAAATAACATAAATGACATAAGGTACTGTCGTAATTATAACATATACAACATGAATAAGCGTCATGGCCGTTAATTGTCGGTCATGACTTTGCCGAACGATGTATATTTGTCGACTAACCAATGTCCGAGCATTGTAAAAAGAAAGAAGAGAAAAGATGAACATTGTAGATATAGGCAAAACTCCCAAAAGAATTGGAAACTGAAAGCGAGTAGTATAAATTTCAAAGCTCGCGTTAGTAATCACACAGACGCCGTAAGGCGTGTCCCAATAAATCAAAATAGGAATACTATATAAGGCCCACAAAACCCAAATGGTAGATATGTTGTATCGAGCAAAGCGTAAATGACTAAAACGTCTGTATTTACTCATTGACAAGCACTGATCAATACTTGCTAAACACACAGCTGTTAATGATACTAAAAGACACCATGTAACTATATAAATCTGTATTTTACAAACCCATGACGTTCCGTTGATATTGATGAGAAAACCGGCGCGCAAAATACGCACAAACAATGCGATTAACAAGCCAGCGATATTTGCCACTGAAGTTGCAGTCAGATACAATGCACAGGTTGTTTCTCGAAATATTTTTAATGTTGTGAAAATAATAATGTTGAACACGTTACCAATAACACCCAAAACCATGATTGGTAATCCGACATAAGCGTAAATTTGTTGGGTTAGAAGAGTCAATGTATATTGAGCTAACATTGAACCAGTTGCGATTTACTTATACCTGAAAAATGAATAGTTTTCTTTTCAACTGCAAAGAAATGTAAGTTTATACCAGACTAAACTAAGTCATTCTACTTATATAAACCTTATTTTAATCGCATGTAGATTCTTCATCATATTTTTTATCTATGCAATTAATGAACTCGTGTGGATATAGACTATAATTTCCTTTGTTTTTTAATTGAATATGTGCCGATGTATATTGTAACCGAGTTTAGATATAGATGTGCGGTTCAAGAGGTGACTTGATTAATCAGCATGTACTTTTACGTCACTTAGCTCAAATTTTGTTTGAAATGTACCAAAGAGACGATCCGAGACGAAAAACTGCTTCTCAATGATGCTGCTCATTAATTCTTCTAAAAGCGTAAGATTGCTTGTTGATCAGAGCGAAAGGACGTAATGTTTGTCTTTCAATATGAAAAATTTACCTAAAAGACTTGATAAAATTTATCATTACGCACCAGAATTAATATCATGCTAGTTGATGCAGAAATCCATCATAAATCAAACGTTTCAGTATTGCGAAGAAATCCAATGCATACATCCTTACACTTCCAAGAGAATAACCCAGCACGAAACTAATCAATTTCCGCGAAAACTCTCGCACATCCCTGGATAAATTACTGCAATTCACACAAGAAAACTCATCAAGTTGATTAATATGATAAAAGGAAAATCAATAACACCATGCTTCTTACATTGGAATCATTCTACGAGTGATTTGTCCTTCTCCTTAAAGTTCATTTATAGATTGCTAATATCGACTCCTAAGTATGAATCCAATATTTGAGGGTCACTTGTTGATCGTGATACGCTTTCGAAATCTTCTTTTCTACATTAAACAAATTTTTATTTAAAAAAAACAATCATTGTCTGGAGTTACAGGAATCCAAGGCAGTTCAATTTTATATTTTGCTACTCGACGGACAAAATTATCAGTCTTAATCTGCCTTTCCTGAACCATCTGTGGATCGATATGTTGCACTGATTGAGCTAATTTGTAGGCTATCTGCATATAAATGAACGCTTGAGTATAATCAAGCATGAAAGTATAACACTGTGTGATCCGATCTAAGATATCAAAAATCATCCTACTGTATCCAAGAATATTTTCATAGATTTCCAATTCATTTAATGCATAATGAATACTTTCTTTATACAACCCATGATTTAAGTAAAATATGGATATCTTCCGATACGATTGAATGGGTTGAGATGAATAATTTTGCTTAGCAGCATGTAAAACTTCAATTAGCAGTTTCGTTTGGTTTTCTTTAATATCTTTCAGCTGATTTTCAGCTGTCTCCAAGCAATCTTCTATATGAATTAGGCGAGGATGATTTTCGTCAAGAGTTCCTTCTTCATCCAGAACTGATAGTTTCTTTTTACAAAATTTAATGAAGAGACGATGATCATCAGGAGTTTTGACTTCATGCAAAATGTCCGTCAATATATCAGATAATGTCTGATTATCTGCAGGTAGATATTCCTCGCTGACAGCTAATCGTCGATACTGGAGCTCGAGCGATTGTTGAAGTTTGTCATTGTGCTGACAATTCCAAGCTAAGTCTTCGATACATCTACTCATTGCCGGACTGGCGACTTTCAATTGTTCATAGATTTGTAACGCCTGGGTAAGATAGGTTCCAGCTTGAGCATACTTCGCGTGAAACGCCATCGTACACAATAAATTGGCTTTTGTCAGAGTAGGTTCATCTGTTTTCTTGTCTTCTTCTTCGAGTTCTTTTTGTAGATCCTGTAGAATATTATTATCCGTCCTTTTTTCAATGAGATCTCGTTTTCGTCGAAGTTTTTCTTCGATTTTATAGTATTTGACCGCTTTTGAGTCCTGTCTTCTCCGGTGATGGATATCACCGATTGCTTCATAAATATTGGGAAGATCTGGATGTGTTTGATCAATTTTCTTCAGTAATTCATGGAAATATTCTAGTGCATGATTAATTTTATCAAGGTTTTCGCTTAAGATTTTCCCAAAATAAATCATTGGTGACGTCGATCGAAAATCGTAAGTGGCCAATTGACAATGTTCACGAATTAAATCAGATCTCTCATCAGTGGCATTCAAATAAAATACCCAATGTTGATTCGTATCATCATAATCCATTGAGATAATTCGAAATGTTGAGCCCAAAGAAAATAACACTTCTTCTTCCTGGGAAAACTGACTCATCCGACGAATATCCGCACAAAATACTGATTTTAAACGAGTTGGATTAACTTCGATGTGTAATCTCACACGAGCTAAATGATCTTCAATTATTCCTGTACCAGCAAATATATGAGCAACGTTAATATTACGGGAAGTGGAGAGAAAGCTGTTGATTGAAATTAAATTTCCCACGCTCTGTTTCAATCGTTCAAGTTCGTCTTTATGTAATCGAAAGCCACTATATAAAGTCCATGTTTGATCATCATTTTGTTTCTTGTGCTCACATTCAATTGCTGAACATAAAAGTTTCACCCAATAGCGAAAGCGATAAACCAAAAGCATATCTTCAGTCCTTAGGGCTTGGTTAGCCAATTTGAAGAAGAACGTATTTCGAGTGTACCTAAATAAGCACGGATCTACATTCAATAGGGAAAATAGTTGAATTTTACCAACGTATCGCGGTACGTTCATTATTAGACTTTCGATATTGTTGAATAATTCGTTCTTCACGAGGATTAGATTGATAATAATCCGAACAGAATTGTAGCATCTCTTCTTTCGCTTGTTCATCTGTAGGTAGTTGCTTCAAAGTATGAAATAAAACCTGGTACCAGAGGAAGGTATTGAATCTGCCCTTTAGATCTTGGCTACTGCGTTGCATTTGATCGAATACGGAGAAGGGTAAAGCTTGTTTTTCTAGAGAAATACATTCTGCTTGCACAACTTGTTCTAATTTGCTTTCGGAACGGAATATTTCAGGTATAGGATCGTGTTTACCCAATTTAACTGTCAAAGTAGATGGAGATCGAATGAACACGAGAAAGTTCCGAATATGACGACAGAGTTTCAATCGAGTATGAATTTCCTTTGCTACACGACCAGAAACAATAAGTAAAATATGAACATGACGCTTGGATTCGATGAAGGCCATAGCTGTATCTACATCAGTATAGCGACGAGTTACTTTTGAATACGATTCAAATGAGAATTCTGTTGGTAGATCGACAAACAGAAGGTAAAACGTTTCATTTTCATCCATATTCAATTGATGAAAGCACTACACTGGATAAAAATAAAGGATTAGTCATCTATGTACTTTTTATCCTGTTCGCCGTGGAGCGTCTATCGATAAGTTGACTTTTGGAGGACTAATATATGAAAACAACAATGTGTGCTTTTATTGCCATTCTTTATATCAGACAAGTGCGCCATCTGACATTCGTCCGATATCGAAGTAAAGGAGATAAATATTCTCTGAATTTATTTTGAATTACAAACGTTAATGATTAAAAATAAGACGAACAATACAAAGTATGCTAAAGAAAAGAAACTATAATTGAGAAAAGTCTTCAACAACGATAAGTTTTGCTCTTGTATATCGACGATTCTTTCATTCTGTTACATACGTTTAATGTGTACGACATTGACACGGATTGATTAAAACATGTAGAACATCATTGACAAGTTTTATGTTAAGTATTTCTCGACAAGTATTACCATTAAAATCGTTAATATCGTTGAAAGGATTATTGACAACGCTCGAATAAATAATTTGTGTCTGAAACTGTCCGTTCTCGTCTCCCAGGAGACCATAGATTTTATTGGATGAAATGGAACCAACAACGATATCCAAATACTTATCACCATTCAAATGGCTTACAGATACTGTACTCAATGATGTAAAAGACGGCATAGTTACCTGTTGATTACTATGAAAAGTCTCATTCTGGTACCGATAGCGCATGGAAACAGTGTTTTTCCAACTGTGTAAGAAAACGATATCGGATTGATGATCATGATCGAAATCACCAGCTATCATTTGTACTTGAGAAGTATCAAACGAAGTGTAAAGCCATTTGGGAGATTGGAAACTGCCGTCCGTGTTCTGGAAGAATACATGAATATGAAGAGAACGACGATTGAACACAGCAATATCCATATAACTATCATTGTTATAATCAGCGATAGCCAATTGTCGCGGATCGCTAGTATATTCTATGAATAGTGTTGATTGTGTTGAAAAGGTTCTGTTTTCATCGCCGAAGTATAGATAAACTTCGTTGGTATATTGAGCTATCACGATCAAATCTAAATTGGTGTCGTTATTGAGATCAACAATACTGATATCGGTTGGGTAGTGTGAAACAAATATTGGGTCTATGTTCGATATTTCAAACGTTTTATTTTCGGTGCCCAATAAAAAATAGATCTCCCCTAAAAAAGAAAAGGTTATTCGTAACTTTAATAAAACTGTTCAATAATAGATATTTGATTTTTGTCTGAATCTTTACAATAGACAGAGTGTTTTTCAAAATCTAAACGCTGTTTGGTCTAAAATTTTGCGATTAAGTATTGCTTAGATGTAATACCTGCAGAACCAAAAAAACTACTAAGTATAATTAGATCAGTCAGACCATCATTGTTAATATCATCAGCGTTGACTTGAAGAATACTTGAAAAAAATGGTAAAGCAGATGGAACTGCAATGACTTCTCCATATGAACCGTTCGAATCGGCAAGCAAGACGTTTATTATGTAACCACTATCACAACAGAAAAGCAGGTCAATCTGATTATCGTCATTCAAATCAGCGATAAGGTATGGACCAAAATTTGTGCTCGAACATGTTGTATTTACCGATAGCTGTTTCACCATTAATTGACACGCCGGCTCTAAAGACATCAATCGTTCCATTTCCCAATGAAAGTGACAAAACTGATCTAGATGCTCGACATATTTTTATTTTTCATTGACTGACCTAATGTGCTCGAGGATGTTGGCATCGTAGTGCTCATTATCATCTCTAAATTACCATTGTTTTGCATATTCGCCGTCGAATCTATTTAACAAATATTGAAAAATTGATTATTCAACTGTGACAATCCAAATTCTTTTCGTGTTCTATAATGAGTCCAAAGTAGAAAATTCGATTCTTACTTCGACGAGCATAATAAATTGAAAACAAAATAACGCCCAATAATATGCACAACAGTACAACAAGTACAAATACTATCTTCGAAAGGGATCGTCTGCATGGCGTGGTATTATTTCTAAACAAAGGAAGTGTCTTGATTAGAAGAAACAACAAAATTATTTACTGAAGTGTTGTATCCATTGTCGCCTTCATACCATTCCAATTCGTATGTCGAATATTTGTTCCGCTAAGTACAACAGGGTGGATAAGAATTGTACGTGTTTTTCGATTCTGATGAATCTTCAACGCAACTCGAACAAATTTCGGACAAAGCCATTTCAGAACGATTGTCAAACCACCTTGGAGACCCAGTATGAGGGTAATTGCATACAGTATGTTAAAATTTTCAATACTCGTATATGTACATAACAAAGGTGAGCATTGTTGATAATAGGAGGAATAGTTTGTCTTCGTTAACCATCGCTCAATAAATAAATTTTGTCTCAGTTCGTCTATAGTCGTATTCTGTGAAAACTGACTAGAAGTTGTTGAGAGAGGCGTTGATGAGTTTTCGTAGTTTGTATAGTGTTGAATAAGATCAAGACACAATTGATCATAGAAACATTCGAGAGTTGAAGCCAGAAGTGATTCACTTGGTGTGCATCCGACTTTTATACCTTTGATTGGCACGTTTGCAGACGAATCCGCTTCGATAAAATTCGCTTGCGTTGTACAATTAGGAAATCGTGCACACGAGCATTCATCATCATAGACTAGAGCTTCTGCAGGTGTAGTGGGAGCATCAGTTCCATTCATGACATACACATACTGGAAATTTGTTGCATAAGTAGATATGAACGCGTTTCCATGAATCACAGTTTGAGTAAAGAACAATAGTTGAGAAAATAAAATCGGAGCATTGGACTTACTCTGTTCGATTAAAATTTTAAGACGATCGGAAAAGTCGTTCGCAGACAAAAGTTCATTGGTGACTAAAAGTGAGGTGAGAAACTCATTTATTGAATTGTTTGCTGTCTGGATCGAATGTTGACATATTTGCTGCAGATAGAATAAATGAGCAGAAAGAAAGCGATGATAATCGTTTGCCGCATAACCAGATAAGTTAGAAGCAAAACCATTTGTCAGGCCCACTCGCCATTCGTCGGAAACGAATTGACTTGAACAAATCTATAAATAAGAATGAACATATTTCTCGAATCACGCGAACGCTTTTCTATATTACCGAATGAAAAACTGGTTGAATACTGACAAATTCATGGTATGTCGATGCTATTTTAGAACAAGTACACTTCAAATCATCGCCATAGCTTTCTCTCAAGTGATTATAATAATAGGTAAGAGATGGCTGTTCGAACTTTTTTGTCACAGTTCGTGGTTGAATAACTGTGTAGAAGGCAAGGATGACGAGCATTGTGATGAATAGAATGAAATAGAGACGAGTTGCCCATTGGCCGTAGCGTTTTGCCGTCGCTCGATCGATGCCGGTGCCAAACGCGCGGAACGGAAATATATTCAATCCGACTATTGTACTGCGGATAAGTGTCATTAATTTCCATATCAGAACTTTCAATCGATTACCATTTCGACGTTGAACTAGAGATGAATGATGATTACTTTGCTTAGATCGACTTGACTTTCTTGCACATGTTGACAATAGGCTCAATGCAAATTTGACAAGTTGAGGTGTTAAAATACGTAATGTCACAGTAATTCCACCAATCATTGATATAAAAGTGATCATCACTCCAAAAAAATTCTGTCTGCGCATAGTTTCAGCATAAGAACAATATAGTGGCGCACAAGAATCATAAAATCGTCTGTACGATGAAACAAGGTTCCATTCTTCGAGCATTAGTTGTTGGACCATCATTGAAACCGTTGCATTCGGCTGATAGCGACTCGTTGTCAAATTGTCAACAAGTGGTTGAAGGCGAAATGATGACATCGGAAGCGACAACGTATCCGTGTTCGATTTTATGATATAACTCATCAGAAAAGGAAAACAATCTGAATCTGCGTATAAACACTCGAGTGTAGAAAGTAAAATCGAATCATGCGCAAGACAGCCCTCCATCCAACCAGTAAGATTATGATTAAATCCATATCCATATATATAATTATAGTCTACAATGGGATCCAAGTCAGAGATGATAGCTCGCCGTTGGCAGTAGGGATTTGTAGCACACAAACAGGTAGTGATTCCTGAGTCAATATCCTGGATGCCGTATAAAAGAAGGCCGATCTAGAAACAAAAAATATTTTGATAGCGAAAAAGTATACTTTTATGATTAGTCTGCTTCGCACAATTCTCATGGATGACGTACCCGTGCTATTGAATAATTATTTGTTGTATTTTCTATACTAATAATGGGCAAAATGGGGTCATAATAGTTCGTCAGTTTCACCGTTCCTTCGTAGAATTGATTAACTTGCTGAATGAATCGAATGATATCATTCATTAGATCAAATGTATATGCTGTTGATTGGTAAAATTGATTAAGATTTGCGTTCAATTGCTCATTGAAATCGATTTCATTCATAACAGAAGAAGCGATAAAGGATTGTGAAAGAAATCGATCCATCGCGGCAATGATGGTTTGGTTAGCTAACTGACAAAGATCGGATAACACCTGAAATTGCTTATAGGCGTTTCCACGCCAATCGTAAGGGTTCCTGTACCGCATACTATTGATCATTTGTTCAATCCAGTCACTCTGAACGAAGCCACTCGAACATACTTGATGAAAAACTGGGGACAAGGAAAGTAATCTTCGGTAAAACATGGTTTTATTTGCACATGGGCATCGAAGTGTCGTGGAATATTTACTTTCTAATGAAGTGTAAGTAGTGAACGAAGGATTCGACACAATTATTGTTTGGATTTGACTGTCAAGTGATGTAACGAGACAAAGAACGAACATTGATCCTAAGGTTGAAAATAGAGAAAAAAATCAACATACTTCTTTGGATTTACACTGAAAAGGACAAGTAAGAGTTTACCTATCAACAGAATGAAATAAACACGAGTGGTGATCTTTTGCTGTTGGATATTTTCCTCTGCCCGAAGATTTATATTTTTAAATAAATTCAGTTGCTTTAATGACACAATTGGTTTGAACGAGTATTGATTTTGCTGGTCTATACAAAAAGAGAAAGATTCAGAAAATAAATAGAAAAAAGTCTCTACTCACTCGAATCTTCCTCTGCTGCATCAGTCGAGCGATATTTACATCTGTAGATGAGATCAATACATTGAGATGCTACTAAACGAAGTATGATAGTTAGTCCACCGTATAGACTGATAAACAGGGTGATGCCGTATGATAAGTTTCTGCGACTTGTGGTCGAATATGTGCATGCTGACGGTGAGCAAAGGTCAAAGTAGGTCGAATAACTCATCTGTGTTGACCAATTTTCAACAAACAGATTTTGAAAATGAACAAGTACAGAAGTGTTATCGCGTTGAGACGATAGAATCGAGTTATTCCAATTGAAATTCGTCTAAACAAAGAATGAATGTCGAGAAAGCTTTAGGAACAATTTGACGAACTTGATTGAGATTTTGAAAATAGTAGAATAACAATTGAAGACAGGCGAAGTCATATAAGCAATCCAACGTACTCGCAAGGAGTGCGTCAAGTGGAGTACATGCCAGAAAAAAGCCTTTAACATTCGTAACGTTAGACATGGGCATGGTTGTAAATATTGGATCAAAGTCACTGGAATCATTCGACGGCAGAGGGAGAACAGCGGTAATGACACTATCACTACTCTGGCCACAAGATATCGTGAATGAGTTCTCACCATAGTATACTGTTTGATATCCAATTGAAAACGGTGACTCGTCGTTAGAATATGTGTAAACCCCCCAATTCGTACCGAAAGCTGAGGCTAAATAATTTCTTTCAATAGTTGTTCGCCAGTAATTTAAGAATGATGTCATTCGACTGAACGCCTTGTTCTTCTGAGACTCAATGGAATTATATATCTCTAGCTGAGTTTGCCGTCGGGAAAGAAGATTAATGGTCACAAGTTCAGTGTTATTCACACTATTTTGCAGTGCAGTAACAATATCTTGAGATAGCGAACACAATCGGGATAGAATTTCAAACTAAACGAATCGCTGTTTAGGGTGAAATACATTGTAAAGGAACTCACCTGTCCATAGGCTGATTTTCGAAAATCCCAAACACCGTACAGACCTGCATTTTCGAGATATAACCCATCAATCCATTCTTTGCTCACGAAAATACTCGAACAAACCGGATGCATTTTAACGATGTTCACTAGGAATTTGTTGTATGGAATTGTGATGGTTGAGCATGGGCATGCCAGAGTTTCACTTCGCTCAGCATACAGTTGATCGAATACATCTAATGTGATCGGAGAAACTACAACTGTTTCGGCTTCGATTTGTATTAAAGTTCCATAGAATAATACGTAAAGACATACTAAAACAAAGAATGAACTAGAGAATGACCGATTCTTTCTTCTGTTTACCTGTGAGAAGTACGGAATACAACCAAGTTTTGTATTTTTGTAACTTGAGAAGAACAGTCGGATCTTTGACTGTGGAATGATCGTCATAGTCATTTTCTTCCGATAGGAAAAGATTGTAACTCGAAACATTCTTATGAATCCAATTGAAAACCCTTTTCAATAGCATCGTATTACAGTATTTTGGTCTAAAAGGATTGTTGTTTGGAAGTCAACAGAGAATGAACGTACATATTTCACTGACGGAGAAAGAAAAAAGTTCTACACTGCTTTCAACGAGATGATTTTCTAGCACTATTCAAATTAAATTTTACCTCGACGTTCTACTTCGTCACTAAAGCGTATAGCTACCCATCGACGCTCTTCACTCTTATAGTTGTGACGAGCGTTGCTATGAGTAGAAAAAAAGTTCCACATATCGAATAAGACACGCACGTTAGTGTACACAATAAAGGAAATACTTGATTAAACTGATGATGTTTATCAGGTTTCTTCGCCATGACGATAAATAAATTATCAAATGTAGTGCGTTTTCTTCGAAAGACATTCAGAAAAAAACTATTCAACAAAGAGATTATAATTTTCCTATATTAACGAATAAATAACAGCAGAGCAGAAGGCGAATGGAGTAGAAAAAGATTGACATTGGGAATACGTAGATAGAATAATTATAAATTCTCATGACTTTTAAATTTCAACGGTTCAGAAAATGGCAGATGTCAATTGCTTTAATGCGTTTTTCTTCTGTTTTACAACTAGAAATGCCAAGCGTCAGTGCCGTAGCACGAATAGAATTGAACGGATGATCGCATAGAAATCAGTGTGTAAAGCTCATTCACACCTGATTTAAGCAAACATGACAAATCATCCTTATGTCTAAAAAGAAAAGATAATGTGTGGAGAATTTATTGTAGATAACACAGCGATAAGAAGTAGGCAAAAAAAAGTAATATTGTCTTTGTCAATTGTAAGAGAACAATGGAGAGAGTGAAGTCGCTGATAACAGAATCGACTATTCAAGAATATCAAGACAATGGTGCAGTATGCATTCGACAATTACTGAATCATGATGAAATCGAACTACTTCGACAAGGTGTCGAACACAATCTTCATCATCCATCCGCACGATTCAAAATCGCTAGTCGAGATGATGACCAAGGAAAACTCGTCGAGGATTTTTGTACTTGGCAAGACAATCCTGATTATAAGCGATTCATTTATCAATCACCATGTGCACAAGTCGCTGGTTTATTAATGAAGAGTAGCACCAGTCGTCTGTATCACGATCATTTGCTTGTCAAAGAAGCAAATACGAAACAAATAACACCATGGCATCAAGATCAACCGTATTACAATATCGACGGTTTTCAAACATGTAGTTTCTGGATTCCTGTCGATCCAGTATCGCGGTCGTCGACACTCGAATTCATTTCCGGTTCGCATCGAAATAGCCGATGGCTTATGCCGAGAACGTTCATGAACATGGAAGCGAAATGGTTTCCTGAAGGCACGCTGGATGNACAAAAGCCGGTCCATCTGATTATCGTCATTCAAATCAGCGACAAGGTATGGACCAAAATTTGTGCTCGAACATGTTGTATTCACCGATAGCTGTTTCACCATTAATTGACACGCTGGTTCTAAAGACATCAATCGTTCCATTTCGTAATGAAAGTGACAAAACTGATCTAGATGCTTGACATATTTTTATTTTTCATTGACTGACCTAATGTGCTCGACGATGTTGGCATCGTAGTGCTCATTATCACCTCTAAACTGCCATTATCCTGCACATTCGCCGTTGAATCTATTTAACAAATATTGAAAAATTGATTATTCAACTGTGACAATGCAAATTCTTTTCGTGTTCTATAATGAGTCCAAAATAGAAAATTCGATTCTTACTTCGACGAGCATAATAAATTGAAAGTAGAATAACGCCCAATAATATGCACAACAGTACAACAGGTACACATACGATCTTCGAAAGGGATCGTCTGTATGACATGGCATTGTTTCTAAACAAAGGAAGTGTCTTGATTAGAAGAAACAACAAAATTATTTACTGGAGTGTTGTATCCATTGTCGTCTCCATACCATTCCAATCCGTATGTCGAATATTTGTTCCACTAAGTACAACAGGGTGGATAAGAATTGTACGTGTTTTTCGATTCTGATGGATCTTCAACGCAATTCGAACAAATTTCGGACAAAGCCATTTCAGAACGATTGTCAAGCCACCTTGGAGACCCAGTATAAGGGTAATTGCATACAGTATGTTAAAATTTTCAATACTCGTATATGTACATAACAAAGGTGAGCATTGTTGATAATAGGATGAATAGTTCGTCTTCGTTAACCATCGCTCAATGAATAAATTTTGTCTCAGTTCGTCTATAGTCGTATTCTGTGAAAACTGACTAGAAGTTGTTGAGAGAGGCGCTGAGGAGTTCTCGTAGTTTGTATACTGTTGAATAAGATCAAGACACGATTGATCGTAGAAACATTCGAGAGTTGAAGCCAGAAATGATTCACTTGGTGTGCATCCGATTTTTATACCTTTGACTGGCACGTTTGCAGACGAATTCGGTTCAATAAAATTCGCTTGCGTTGTACAATTGGGAAATCGTGCACACGAGCATTCATCATCATAGATTAGAGCTTCTGCAGGTGTAGTGGGAGCGTCAGTTCCATTCATGACATACACGTACTGGAAATTTGTTGCATAAGTAGATATGAACGCGTTTCCATGAATCACAGTTTGAGTGAAGAACAATAATTGAGAAAATAAAATCGGAGCATTGGACTTACTCTGTTCGATTAAGATTTTAAGACGATCGGAAAAATCGTTCGCAGACAAAAGTTCATTGGTGACTAAAAGTGAGGTGAGAAACTCATTTATTGAATTGTTTGCTGTCTGCATCGAATGTTGACATAGTTGCTGGAGATAGAATAAATGAGCGGCAAGAAAACGATGATAATCGTTTGTCGCATAACCAGATAAATTAGAAGCAAAACCATTTGTCAGGCCCACTCGCCATTCGTCGGAAACGAATCGACTTGAACAAATCTATAAATAAGAATGAACGTATTTCTCGAATCACGCGAAAGCTTTTCTATATTACCGAATGAAAAACTGGTTGAATACTGACAAATTCATGGTATGTCGATGCTATTTTAGAACAAGTACACTTCAAATCATCGCCATAGATTTCTCTCAAGTGATTATAATAATAGGTGAAAGATGGCCTGTCGAACTTTTTTGTCACAGTTCGTGGTTGAATAACTGTGTAGAAGGCAAGGGTGACGAGCATTGTGATGAAGAGGATGAAATAGAGACGAGTTGCCCATTGACCATAGCGTTTTGCCGTCGCTTGATTAATGCCGGTGCCAAAAGCGCGGAGCGGAAATATATTCAATCCGACTATTGTACTGCGGATAAGTGTCATTAGTTTCCATACCAGAATCTTCAATCGATTACCATTTCGACGTTGAACTAGAGAAGAATGACGATTACTTTGCTTAGATCGACTTGACTTTCTTGCACATATTGATAATAGGCCCAATGTAAATTTGACAAGTTGAGGTGTTAAAATACGTAAGGTCACAATAATTCCACCAATCATTGATATAAAAGTGATCATCACTCCAAAAAAGTTCTGCTTACGCATAGTTTCAGCATAGGAACAATATAGTGGCGCACAAGAATCATAAAATCGCCCGTACGATGAAACGAGATTCCATTCTTCGAGCATTAGTTGCTTGACCATCATTGAAACCGTTGCATTCGGCTGATAATGACTCGTTGCCAAATTGTCAACAAGTGGTTGAAGGCGAAATGATGACGTCGGAAGCGACAACGTGTCCGTGTTTGATTTTATGATATAACTCATCAGAAAAGGAAAACAATCTGAATCTGCGTATAAACACTCGAGTGTAGAAAGTAAAATCGAATCATGCGCAAGACAGCCTTCCATCCAGCCAGTAAGATTATGATTGAATCCATATCCATATATATAATTATAGTCTACAATGGGATCCAAGTCAGAGATGATGGCTCGCCGTTGGCAGTAGGGATTTGCAGCACACAAACAGGTAGTGGCTCCTGAGTCAACATCCTGAATGCCGTATAAAAGAAGGCCGATCTAGAAACAAAAATAGTTTCATAGCGAAAAAGTATACTTTTATAGTTAGTCTGTTCCGCACAATTCTCATAGATGGCGTACCCGTGCTATTTGATAATTATTTGTCGCATTTTCTATACTAATAATGGGCAAAATGGGATCATAATAGTTCGTCAGTTTCACCACTCCTTCGTAGAATTGATCAACTTGTTGAATAAATCGAATGATATCATTCATTAGATCAAATGTGTATGCTGTTGATTGGTAAAACTGATTAAGATTTGCGTTCAATTGCTCATTGAAATCGATTTCATTCATAACAGAAGAAGCGATAAAGGATTGTGAAAGAAATCGATCCATCGCGGCAATTATGGTTTGGTTAGCTAACTGGCAAAGATCGGATAACACCTGAAATTGCTTATAGGCGCTTCCACGCCAATCGTAAGGGTTCCTGTACCGCATACTATTGATCATTTGTTCAATCCAGTCACTCTGAACGAAACCACTCGAACATACTTGATGGAAAACTGGGGACAAGGAAAGTAATGTTCGGTAAAGCATGGTTTTATTTGCACATGGGCATCGAAGTGTCGTGGAATATTTACTTTCTAATGAAACGTAAGTAGTTAACGAAGGATTCAACACAATTATTGTTTCGATTTGGCTGTCAAGTGATGTAACGAGACAAAGAACGAGCATTGATCCNTTATCTATTTCCAGCTGAGTTTGCCGTCGGGAAAGAAGATTAATGGTCACAAGTTCAGTGTTATTCACACTATTTTGAAGTGCAGTAATAATATCTTGAGATAGCGAACACAATCGGGATAGAATTTCAAACTAAATGAATCGCTGTTTAGGAGAAATACATATTGTGAAGGAACTCACCTGCCCATAGGCTGATTTTCGAAAATCCCAAACACCGTACAGACCTGCATTTTCGAGATATAACCCATCAATCCATTCTTTGCTCACGAAAATACTCGAACAAACCGGATGCATTTTAACGATGTTCAATAGGAATTTGTTGTATGGAATTGTGACGGTTGAGCATGGGCATGTCAGAGTTTCGCTTCGTTCAGCATACAGTTGATCAAATACACCTAATGTGATCGGAGAAACTGCAACTGTTTCGGTTTCGATTTGTATTAAAGTTCCATAGAATAATACGTAAAGGCATACTAAAACAAAGAATGAACCAGAGAATGACCAATTTTTTCTTCTGTTTACCTGTGAGAAGTACGGAATACAACCAAGTTTTGTATTTTTGTAATTTGAGAAGAACAGTCGAGTCTTTGACTGTGGAATGATCGTCATAATCATTTTCTTCCAATAGGAAAAGATTGTAACTCGAAACATTCTTATGAATCCAACTGAAAATTCTTTTCAATGACATCGTATTACAGTATTTTGGTCTAAAAGGATTTTCCTTTGGAGGTCAACAGAGAATGAACGCACACGTTTCACTGGCGGAGAAAGAAAAAAGTTCTTTGCTGCTTTCAACGAGATGACTTTCTAGCACTATTCAAATTAAATTTCACCTCGAAGTTCTATTTCGTCACCAAAGCGTATAGCTATCCATCGACGCTCTTCACTCTTATAGTTGTGACGAACGTTGCTATGAGTAGAAAAACAAGTTCCACATATCGAATAAGACACGCACGTCAGTGTACACAATAAAGGAAATATTTGATTAAATTGATGGTGTTTATCAGGTTTCTTCGCCATACCGATAAACAAATTATCAAATGTAGTACGTTTTCCTTGAAAGACATTGAAAATAAAACTATTCAACACAAAGATTATAATTTTCCTATATTAACGAATAAATAACAACAGAGCAGAAGGCAAATGGAGTAGAAAAAGAGTGACATTGGTAATACGTAGATAGAATAATTATGAATTCTCATGACTTTCTAATTTCAACGGTTCAGAAAATGGCATATATTTTATTTTATAAGTATGATTTCGATTACGTTGATGTCAATTGCTTTAATGCATTTTCCTTCTGTTTTACAACAAGAAATGACAAGCTTCAGTGCCGTAGCACGAATAGAATTGAGCGGATGATCGCATAGAAATCAGTGTGTAAAGCTCATTCACACCTGATTTAAGCAAACATGACAAATCATCCTTATGTCTAAAAAGAAAAGATAATGTGTGGAGAGTTTATTGCAGATAATACAACGATAAGAAATAGGCAAAAAAAAGTAAAATTGTTTGTGTCAATTGTAAGAGAACAATGGAGAGAGTGAAGTCGTTGATAACAGAATCGGTTATTCAAGAATATCAAGACAATGGTGCAGTGTGCATTCGACAATTACTGAATCATGATGAAATCGAACTACTTCGACAAGGTGTCGAACAGAATCTTCGTCATCCGTCCGCACGATTCAAAATCGCCAGTCGCGATGATGACACAGGAAAATTCGTCGAGGATTTTTGTACTTGGCAAGACAATCCTGATTATAAGCGATTCATTTACCAATCACCATGTGCACAAGTCGCTGGCCTATTAATGAAGAGTAGCACCAGTCGTTTGTATCACGATCATTTGCTTGTCAAAGAAGCAAATACGAAACAAATAACACCATGGCACCAAGATCAACCGTATTACAATATCGACGGTTTTCAAACGTGTAGTTTCTGGATTCCTATCGATCCAGTATCGCGTTCGTCGACACTCGAATTCATTTCCGGTTCGCATCGAAATAGCCGATGGCTTATGCCGAGAACGTTCATGAACATGGAAGCGAAATGGTTTCCTGAAGGCACACTGGATGAAATTCCAAATATTGATGAAGATCGTCAAGCATATCCAATAATCGGCTGGGATATTCAACCGGGCGATGTCGTGGCATTTCATATGCTAACTTTGCATGGTGCTCGTGGAACGATTGGAAATGAAAATCGACGTCGTGTTTTTTCTGTCCGTTTTCTAGGCGACGATGTTACTCATGCACCAAGAACATGGGTAACATCACCGGATTTTTCGGATATTAAAGATGAGATACCTGCTGGTGGTCCGATGGATCATTCACGTTTTCCGATCATTTGGAAAGCTTAATATAATTCCCTCTGTTTTGTAGATAAAATGGAAAATGTTGAATCAGCTCAAATTGTTCTTCGATGTTTAACATTAAATGACAATGTTCAGTTTTTCAAAGATCAACTTGGATTTCGTGTCGATATGATCCGTCCTGCTGATGATCCATCGGAAATAATTCTTTCAGGTTATGGAATGCGAATCAAACTAGAACGACATCATGAACAAACATCAGTCCTTCTTCAATTATTGTTAAAAGAAGATTCAGATAAAATGAATGATCTTATCTCTCCGAATGGAACGAAAATTCAATTCATCAAAGTTTCATCAAAACTTTCGCTTCCGCCGATTAATCAATCGTTTGTACTAACTCGAATGACGAATGATGATGCTCAATGGGTAACTGGGCGTGCTGGCATGAAATATCGTGATTTAATTCCAAATCGTCAAGGTGGTCGATTCATTGCTTCGCACACTCGCATTGACGAAGGTGGACCGGTGAACGATCATGTTCATTATCATCAAATACGTTTTCAAATTATCTACGTTTACAAAGGTTGGGTACGTCTTGTCTACGAAGATCAAGGTCAACCGTTCGTACTTCATGCTGGTCAGTGTGTTCTGCAACCACCGTTGATTCGACATCGTGTTTTAGAAAGTTCACCAGGTCTCGAAGTAGTCGAAATAGCTTGTCCATCTGTGCACGAAACTTGCATTGATCATCAACTGCATCTTCCAACGGATGTCGAACGGTCGGATCGAGATTTTCAAGGACAATATTTTATTAAATTCGATGGATTGCAAGAGTTCACAAAATGGCAACCTTGGCGATTGCCTGGTTTTGAATATTGTGACACAGGCATCGGTAACGCAACAAAAAACTTAGGCTCAGTCAAAATTATTCGCAGTAGAGGAAATCTTCAATCCCAATTATGCAAACATCAAGCAGAATTTGTGTTAATATTTATTCTTACGGGTCAACTTTTATTTCGAATTAATGAACAAGCAATTCACAAAATATCAGATGGTGATGCGTTTGTGTTACCAGAAAGTCATTCGTATGCTTTCGTCTCCGCATCGGATAATCTTCAATTCTTAGAAATATCCCTTCCTGGAACATTTTCTACCACTTTCCTCTAACCGATGATCATTATCGGCATGAAAATAACTATTTTTTAATGCTCGTTTTCTGTCGTATACAAACGTGAAGGAATGTTTATATTCGAACACGATGAAAGATTAGCAGTCTATTAATAAATGTGTTCTTTGTAGTGAGTAGTATTTTTTTCTTCTTTCACAGAACGATTATATATGGAAGAAGTAGTCACTACTGAAAAGGTTAAATAATACGTAGAAATATTCAAATAAAGTGTTTGCTGTGTTTAGGAAATTAAAAGAAGAATCACAACTCTGATTGAAGAGGTAATATTGACTTGATAGAAGAAAAGCAGAGTGATTTCGTTTAGATCGAAAGAAAACAGAAGGTTTGCAATGGTCGTGCCAAACAGATCGACGAGAAACAAAGAAAATTGGATAGTGATATACTGAACGAGATTATTGATCAAAAGACTGCTGTGAGAGAAGATGAAGAAATCCAACAATTGCTTACAGTACAATCCAATGAACAAGTACAGATAAATTGGTTGAAAGACGAAAAAGGTTCGAGTATAGTGAGAAAGAAAAAGAGACAAAGCTTTTCTTTTTTGTAGATAAAGAAATACAAAACTTGAGAAAAGTTCAAGATGCTTTAATCCGAAAGTTTTAAATAAGCGTTTTGCTTGTATTGAAAACTCGAAAGATTCGAATAAATAACATCCTGTATTCACATTCTTTCTTCGATAAACATTGCTAAATGAATATCTATGCCACGTTGTCATATGCAATTATATCAATCGAAAATCGATGACATTATGAATTCAATGAGCATACATAAAAGTAGCTTCCACATATACAGTCATACACTAAGAGGTTCAGTCACGGACGCTACTGTCTAATATCAGTCTTAACATCTTTTGAACAAAATACTGTTTCTTTCAGGAACGACATGTGCTAGTGTAGTGATATAGTATCGTTATCGGTATTTAGAAGAAACACAATCAACACTTCATCGTAATAAATCATGCTGCCTGAAAAGAGTAAGGTAAAACAATCGAAGATTTATGAACATCAATTTTTCGAGACAAAATGAATAATAAATTAAAAGTTAATGGTTACATGAAAAAATATAATGAAACAATACATGCCAAACAATCCTATCCGTTGGGGATATAAAATATTTTTACTGGCAGATGGTGAAAGTGGTCTTTGTCACGATTTTGTTCTTTACACTGATAAATCTAATAATAAAGAATATAAATTCTGTATAGATATTATTCTTGATCTTTGTTATGATAACTAGTTTACTACGATTAGGTTGCAAATTAAACTGAAGAAGTTAAGAATTTTTAGTGTTGGTACAGTTCGAAAAAATCGGTTATCTGATCTCGTCATAAAAGATAAGAAACATTTAAAACAAGAAGGCCAAGGTGCAATCGAATATCGAATTACCTTTGCCGATGACGTGGTCTTTTAAGGCTTTGACCCACTTCAGCCGGGTGTTACCTTTTGATAAGTTGTTGATACTTGGATAAATCTGAATTATTCAACCCTTAAATTCAAATTGGGTTATCTCCTTCGTATAACTAAAAAAATATGTATCATAAGAATTTTTTCTTCACGAAATCTAGGAATCGGTAGTAAAGGGTTATTCATATACTTCATTGATATTTTCTTTTCGCTTTTATTACGGTTTGTATCGTTCTATTTATTGAGAAAGGTTATTTATCATTTTATAATTCTTTTAAATCGCATGTACTTCAATATAGTTCGGACATATTTATAGTTTTTATAATGATAAGGATAATAAAACATCATTCAAAAACAAAGAAACAAATGCACCACAACAGAATTGGTCTTTGTTCGTTATATCTATATGTCACGTAAGCAGCTATATATAAAATGCGTCGTTGGTATGATTTCTCCGTAAATTGAGAGAAAAATAATGTTTTCCTCTATTAATATTTGTCATGAACGACAAATAATAACTCTCTGATAAAGCTGGAGACAAATAATTCTGAGTTTTCTATTTACCGTCTCCTATCGGCTAACATCCCACGATAAACAGAACATTTTTACAGCGATACTGTTAATATATCATTTTCAATTCTAGATTATCTGTACGTTTTGTTCACTGTTTTCTATTAGCAACTAAAGAATGAGTGCAAACCATGAAACAGTTAGCAGACAAGCTGTTGGTCGACAAGGATTTATTGGAAGTTTATATGATATTCGTAGTGATCGTTTCGAAGGTTGCAATCTATTTAGTCGAGAATTCCCATCATCATACATATCAACAACGGATTGTCCCCATACAAGTTATATTGTTGACGAAAATGAATCTCAAAAAGATACATTTAATAAACTTCATATTGATGCATCAATGAAAATTAGTCTTATGGCTGGTCTACTTGATGTTGAAGGTTCAGCTAAATATTTAAATCGAACAAAAACGGATAGTCGAACAGTTCGAGTGACACATATTCTTCATATGAAAACAAAAAAACAACATCTACATATAAGTATGGCTGATTTATGTGATTATCTATCATCAGATGCATTAGAAAATCCAAATGCAACACATTGTGTTATTGGAATAACTTGGGGTGCAAATGTTGCAGCAACATTTGAAGAAACATTGGATACAACAGAAGCAGCTGAAGAAATTCAAGGTGAATTATCAGCATATTTAAAGAAGCCAACTATAAATATTAGTGGCGATGCAAAACTGGAACATAACGATGAAACAAATTCAAAGTTTCGTTCGTTAAAAATAAGTTTTTCCGGTGATGTTTTAATTAGAGATGTTCCACATACTATCGAAGATGTTTTCAATATATTTCGAAAAGTACCATCAGAATTAGAAAAATTAAATGATGGAAAAGGACAACAACTTGAATTTGAATTATATCCATTGAAACGAATGGCTGAAATTTTCAAACATAAATTATCCATCGAACGGTAAGATTGTTTATCAATATGAAAGACTATGAAATCAACATTTTTGTGTTTTAGCATTATAAAAGATGTTACAATACATGTTATGAATCGTCTTGAAGATATCTTTGAACAAATGATTCAAGGTAAAAGAATGATTAATGATTCTGTTGATAATGTTAAACCATGGAAAGATTGGATACCATTGAATTGGATTGGAGACATGGTTAATAGACAAATCGAATTAAAAAGAATCGAAACAGATACAAAGCGGGAATTAGCTTTCTTACTTGAACAAACACGTCGAGGTGAAATTGATGAAAAGAAAATGATGGAATTATTAAATGATTTTGATGTAAATAATCCATGTTCGATTCGATCTGTTGAACAATTTTTGAAAACAAATTTACAACCTGATATTAAAATTGAATCATTGAATGAAATTCGGCAATCTTTAGAAAATAGTGAATCAAAAGGATATAAATCAAGTTTTTTATTTCCAAAAGCAACATCAATTCTTACTTTTGTTAGTCAACATCATGATCATGAGATTTATCTGTTACATATCTCGAATCAATGGAAACAAAACGATGTAGCAAATTGGTATAAACAAGTACGACTTTTTAGTCATTTATACAAATCTCAAATACAAAATGGAGAGAAAACATCTGTTTTTCGTGTAATTGATCATGATTTAATTGATAATTTGGATGAAAAACCTGATCGATGTGTAATCTATCATTATTATCATGGAAATATCAAAACAAAGGATTATTATCAGACATCACGTGGTAAATATATTAGCTATCGTATCTTCATTATAGTAGACAAACTTGTCCTTTTCATTCAGTCACATTAACTCAAGATCAAATTCGAGCAATTCGAGCAGAAAATAAACTCACAACTATAACAACCTCAGATATTGAAAAACGTCATAAAAATTTTATTGCTAAGCAGTAAGAATGATTGATTTAGTATATTATCTACTTCCTGCTCAATGTTCTTTTAGTCCTACTGGTGAAATAAATGAAGAAGAATTTGCAGTTGAATTTCAACAACTTTTCCCACAGTATGATTTCTCATTGAATCTTGTGATTGCACATTGTTTTTATACTTAGCGGTGAAGTACGATCGTACTGTAATTATGCGTTTAAACTACTCGATAAAAATAAAAGTGATACACTTAGTTTTGAAGAATTTATGTCTGGTATTGCATTAACATTAGCAGGTGATATAGAACATCAACTCGCAGTCGTATGTATATATACTAATACGTTCTTGTGTTGAATTAAGTCTTTTATTTGAAAAGACTTTTGATATGTGTGCGAAACATGGTCAAAACAAAGTTAGTAGAGAAGATTTGATTCAACTTCTCGAAGCTGTAGCAGAATTAAAAGGTGGCCATTCAGGTTCTGCATCATTAAGTGCGAAGACAATTATGAAATTTGACAAAAGAGAAAATAATGATCAAATAACAAAAGAAGAATTCATTTCTCAGTATGTATATAATTTTAGATGAAAAAATTTCTCGAGCGAACACTATATGCCTTAATCTTGTTTTAGTCTGAAAGGAAATTATGACTTGTGTGCGGCCTTCTTGCCAATCGAAGTTACTAATTTTATAGATAAAACAACAAAACCCAAGGAAGATATGAAACCTTTAACTTGTCTTGACAATAATGATAATAGATTAATTCACGATTTTCTTACTGATTATTATAATTCAATATCAATATTGATGACACATACACAAAATGTCGAAAATGTACTAAAACCTAAAATGGAAGCTTTTTTCACAAGACTTGGTTGCCGTTCACATGCTGATGCACGACAACGTGTACACAATGTCGCATCAATATATCTCGATGCAATATCAATTTGGCGAACACATTATGAAAATGTGTTTTTAGGATTACAACCGTTATTAAAATCAGAAGTTTTAAATATTCGCAACACTTATAAAACTGAAAATAACTGATTAGTGCTTCACTTTTTGAGTAGTGTGTTTGCTTATTTGCTTTATATGTCCGCATTCTCCGCACTTTCATTAAGTATTTATCTATGCATGATTATCATTGATATTTTCTCGTTTTATTGTGGATTATTATCGAAAATTTTTATTAGGACTGGATTAACAACCTATGCAAAACTGAAAAAAACTTGGCTGTTGATTATTTTCTTCTGCTTTTTCTCTCTTTTTGCTTCGTTTGCTTTGAGCGCTAAACCATTCATAAGTTACATAAAATCATGCTTATGCTTTTTTTCATAATTTCACTCGTATTTGTTATTCGATTTTTGTGTACTCGAAAGGGTGAGGGTAATGCGGGCGAAATCGCTGCGAAGGGTGGGTGTGGGATGGAAAATTTTTATAATTGGAACCAACGCTGAAACGAATCGGCTCAAGAAAATGTCGAATCCTGCCCGAAGGTGTCCTACGTTGTTTCATCGTGCTAGCTTCACATCGATATTTAAACCTGCGCATATTCTAAATCGTTGGTGAATCCAACCATATGAACCAGTCTCTTGTGTGATTGTTTATCTTTCATATCAGATTTGAGTTTTATTGAGGAAAATTAAATCTTGTTTGGCCATTTTCATAGTTACTACTCAGGTCAAACAATCCGGTCGGGAATCGGCCAGTTCCAGGGCCTTCCGAAGATTTCATGGAAGCAGTATTCCAGGCACTTTCCCATAGTATCCAACGCGAAATCGTAGATGTCCTGTGTAATGACAAACTGGTTGAGTAACTGACCGCTTCTCACGGTATAGATGTTTATTGACTACTCTACATGACCAGAATGTATCTCTTTCACAATAAGACACGCGCTTATATAGAGAAGAGGAAAGAGAGATATGACCCGGAGATAGTATGATATAGAGGTGAGAGGATAAAGAACAGAAAGAGATGAACGATATCATTATCGTTACATCCTGCTTCTAGGAACCATCGCCCTGGGATATATTGACAATCCGTTAGTCGCTCGTTATAGAAAGTTCTATAGATGAAAAACGACAGTTACGAAAACTGCCAGAATTATAGGTTGGAAAATTTAAATTTCAGATATGTGACGATGTTACTTTCTTGTATGAGGACAAGATCATATACATGAGTGAATTGCAATTTTATTGTACGATTGATGAAAAAAATGAAAGTGAGTTTAGGGACAATCTAATGCTGGCATATGATTCCCCATCCCTTTCTGAGTATCCAGTCAAGATTTTCCAAGCATCAGATACAAATAGACCCAGATATTCAGTGTTATTCTGACCCTATACATCTTTTTAAATAGTTTTAACAATTTAAATAGATCTTCATTTTAATTTTTTCATGTCTTCGTTTATCATACTGAGCTTGTTTCACCTTAGATGCAGCAGTCATTATATCTTAAATTAAAATTGAACACATACCCTCACCCACCCCACCCTTTCTGTTTCTTTGCTCGAAAAATCAGTTTTAGCTTGGATGAGTCATTCAAAAACGTTTCTTTTTGGTCTTCCAATGTCAATATTGTCACGAGTGTGCAAGGTAGAGACTCGAAATTTATATGACGGTACAAGCATGAGTTAAGAAGTAAAGCAAAAAAAGGTTTAAATCGGTCAACTAGAATTGGAGTTATAAGCAGAACACGTCAAAAAACCAATCGTACAATAAAGTTGCAATTCTCTCGTAAATTTATTTAAACTATAAAAGCGAGTTTATATAGTGATCAACTGATTCCTTGTCATAACTCTGTGGAAATTTACCAAATGATTGAAATCGAAGAGAATAAATCCGTCATTTGAAATGAAGAAGAAATTCGTCATATGTACATATATGTATATAGGACGGGAGAGAAAGAGAACATGTATATGTATATGACAGAAACGGAAAACCATCGCGCACATATGATACGATCCAGATTTAATTCAGATAATTAGCAATTATCGAAATCAACTAAGGTTGGGCTAATGCAAAAATCGAGCAAATTTTTTTAGTGGAATTGTTCTATGAAATCCGATGCAGTTTGATGCGCTGCATCCGAATATGTATGATCTATTTAGATAAAAAGGTTTCTTCCCGCTGAAAATCGAAAAATACTGCAAAAATCGAGGGTTAAAAAACACAGGTTTTCTGCCAAGATTTTGACGATAGGACGTCGAAAGCCTTTTCTTCTGATTCAGCATTGAAAACTGATTCTAGGACACTACTTTTTGATTGCTCAGTGCATATCTTTATCATTAAAAAAAAAAGTATTTCTGTTCACAAACCGACCAGTCGACTCAGTCTCATTAAAAACGCATGAACTCATTATCTTTCCTTAACTCACCTTCTTTCTCAATATTTCCTTGGTATTTCGCGACGTCTCCTGTCATACATGTATTTTTTATGTTTATAATGGTACAGATCTTTATGTTAGGCATTTAGACAATATATCAAACCACCTTTCAAACGTTCGTGGTTCATCACACACTCGCTGTGCTGTATGGAATCGTGTCAATACCTAGTGGCCTCATCACACATAAGTCTCTCAAAGATATTTTAGTTTATCTATTCGTTTGTATACTATCCATAGGCACGCGCATTCGTTAACATGAAAACTTTCTTTAAAAAATTGCTTATATCTGCTTCATTTTCTATCATTGGTCAACCTTGTAATTCTTGTTATTTATTATTATGCCTGAAAAATCGAAAAGAAGATCTTAATCAGCAGCAACTATCAGAAGTCGTTGGGCAAGGAAAAGTATCGATCAATCAGGCGATGTTTTTTTAATCCGGAAATTTCTATCAATGTGCCTGACATAGATGAAAATAAAACAAGAGATATCTTAAAAAATAACATCAATATTTTGGATATTGGAAATTTATTCGAAATTCTCAAACACGATACTTCGTTACAATCTTCATTCGTGTTACTTCATGGATCATTAATGTATTTCGATATTGCTTGGCGAAAAATTGATTCATGCCTAAAAGATATTGGTAGACTCAGTGCTGAAAGTTGCAACAAATGAAGTCGAATATTAATTGAAGAAGATTTAGATGAGTTCTTAGAGAACAATAGAGGTGGTAAACATAGTGAAAGTTTTTTTTAATATCTATCCTGAATTAGTATCTTTGGCCAAGTTATACGACGTAGAGGCGTGCAAAAGAAAGGCAGCATCGTGTACGTGTTCGGAACTTGCAGAATATTTAGATGATCAATATTATGCTATGACTGGAGAGGTAAGATTTGCTTTCAAAAACAACATAAATTAACGGTTCTTTAAAATTTCAAATAAATCTCTCTCAGATGTTACATCTCTGACTTCTTCTACCATCTAATTCTGTTCTCTTTTATATTGCAGATAGGTAAAAAACGCGCCACAACTAATTCGATCAGAAAAGGCTTGTCGTCTTGATTTACATCATTGGAGTTGCAAATTCGATAAGAATACTGCTAAGCCTTACTGAGAAGGTCATGAAAGACCGGATGTTGTTGAAGCTCGCACAAAATTCGTTCGAAATTTTCTAACGAATCAAGACAAATATTATCGACTTGAAGAAGGGAAAGATCCGCAATGGAACACACCAAAGAAAAGTTCAACGGTTCTGATATGTAAAGATTTATTATTCCAATAGCTTAAAAAGATAAAAGTACTTTTCTTTTCTATAGTTCACGACGAATCATGTTTTAGAAGTGGGGAAACAGCAGCAAACCGTTGGCTCTATTCAGATGATACTGTAACATTTTTCAACAAAGGTCGAGGAAGATCGTTGATGGTCTCGGATTTTTTAATTGCACATCTGGACAATCCGTTCTTTCACCTTCCTGGAGATGAATGAAAGGCAGCTGTGAAGAAGTATCCTGAATTACTAGAAGATGATGGAATTCAATATATTGAACATTCGCCTTCTGGATCAATTCAAGTGGGTTTTGGAGGATATTTTGATAATGATGCCATCATCAATCAATTTACTCGTTTGTTCAAAATGTTACCATTTAAACAAGCTTATGCAAATCATAAGTTTCATGTTATTGTGGATAATGTTCGTACTCACAGTGCTAAACACTATTCGGTTGAAGATTTTGGAATGAAACCTGGTACGCGTTGTNTGGATGAAATTCCAAATATTGATGAAGATCGTCAAGCATATCCAATAATCGGCTGGGATATTCAACCGGGCGATGTCGTGGCATTTCATATGCTAACTTTGCATGGTGCTCGTGGAACGATCGGGAATGAAAATCGACGTCGTGTTTTTTCTGTTCGTTTTCTAGGCGACGATGTTACTCATGCGCCTAGAACATGGGTAACATCACCGGATTTTTCAGATATTAAAGATGAGATACCTGCTGGTGGTCCGATGGATCATCCACGTTTTCCGATCATTTGGAAAACTTAATATAATTACCTCTGTTTTGTAGATAAAATGGAAAATGTTGAATCAGCTCAAATTGTTCTTCGATGTTTAGCATTAAATGACAATGTTCAATTTTTCAAAGATCAACTTGGATTTCGTGTCGATATGATCCGTCCTGCTGATGATCCATCAGAAATAATTCTTTCAGGTTATGGAATGCAAATCAAACTAGAACGACATCAGGAACAAACATCAGCCCTTCTTCAATTAGTGTTAAAAGAAGATTCAGATAAAATGAATGATCTTATCTCTCCGAATGGAACAAAAATTCAATTCATCAAAGTTTCATCAAAACTTTCGCTTCCGCCGATTAATCAATCGTTTGTATTAACTCGAATGACGAATGATGATGCTCAATGGGTAACTGGGCGTGCTGGCATGAAATATCGCGATTTGATTCCAAATCGTCAAGGTGGACGATTCATTGCTTCGCACATCCGCATTGACGAAGGTGGACCGGTGAACGATCATGTTCATTATCATCAAATACATTTTCAAATTATCTATGTTTACAAAGGTTGGCTACGTCTTGTCTACGAAGATCAAGGTCAACCGTTCGTACTTCATGCTGGTCAGTGTGTTCTGCAACCACCGTTGATTCGACATCGTGTTTTAGAAAGTTCACCCGGTCTCGAAGTAGTCGAAATAGCTTGTCCAGCTGTGCATGAAACTTGCATTGATCATCAACTACATCTTCCAACGTATGTCGAACGGCCGGATCGAGATTTTCAAGGACAATATTTTATTAAATTCGATGGATTGCAAGAGTTCAGCGAATGGCAACCATGGCGATTGCCTGGCTTTGAATATTGTGACACAGGCATTAGTAACGCAACGAAAAACTTAGGCTCAGTCAAAATTATTCGCAGTAGAGGAAACCTTCAATCCCAATTATGCAAGCATCAAGCAGAATTTGTGTTAATATTTATTCTTACTGGTCAACTTTCATTTCGAGTTGATGAACAAACAATTCACAAAGTATCAGATGGTGATGCATTTGTGTTACCCGAAAGTCATTCGTATGCTTTCATCTTCGCATCGGATAATCTTCAATTCTTAGAAATATCCCTTCCTGGAACATTTTCTACCACTTTCCTCTAACCGATGATTATTATCGATGTAAAAATAACTACTTTTCTCTATGCTCGTTTTCTATCGTATACAAACGTGAAGGAATGTTTATATTCGAATACGATGAAAGATTAGCAGTCTATTAATCAATGTGTTCTTGGTAGTGAGTAGTATTTTTTTTTCTTCTTTCACAGAACGATTATATATGGAAGAAGTAGTCACTACTGAAAAGGTAAAATAATACGTAGAAATATTCAAATAGAGTGTTCGCTGTGTTTAGGAAATCAAAAGAAGAATCACAAGTCTGACTGAAGAGGTAATATTGGGTTGATAGGAGAAAAGCAGAGTAATTTCGTTTAGATCGAAAGAAAACAGAAGGTATGCAATGGTCGTGCCCAACAGATCGACGAGAAACAAAGAAAACTGGATGGTGATATACTGAACGAGATTATTGATCAAAAGACCGCTGTGAGAGAAGATGAAGAAATCCAACAATTACTTATAGTACAATCCAATGAACAAGTACAGATAAATTGGTTAAAAGACGAAAAAGGTTAGAGTATAATGATAAAGAAAAAGAAACAAAGCTGTTCTTTTTTGTATAGATAAAGAAATACAAAACTTGAGAAAAGTTCAAGATGCTTTAATCCAAAGGTTTTAAATATGCGTTTTGTTTGCATTGAAAAGTCGAAAGATTCGAATAAATAACATTCTGTATTCATATCCTTTCTTCGAAAAACAATGCTGCCTGAAAAGAGTAAGGTAAAACAGTCGAAGATTTACGAACATCAATTTTTCGAGACAAAATGAATAATAAATTAAAAGTAAATGGTTACTATGTTTGCATTCTTTCTTAGACAATAAGAGTTAGTTAAAATTGAACTTTAGCTTTGACTTGTGTTGGTGCAAAATCGAAAAATAGCAAAAGAAGAGAATTTATGTGTCGATAAACAAATTATTCCATTCAAAGTAAAAAATATAATGAAACAATACATGCCAAACAATTCCATCCGTTGGGGATATAAAATATTTTTACTGGCAGATGGTGAAAGTGGTCTTTGTCACGATTTTGTTCTTTACACTGGTAAATCCAATAATACAGAATATAAATTCTGTACAGATATTATTCTTGATCTTTGTGAAACTGTTCCACTAATGTTGAATCACAATCTTTATTATGATAAATAGTTTACTACGATTAGATTGCAAATTAAACTGAAGAAGTTAAGAATTTTTTCTTCACGAAATCTAGGATTCGGTGATAAAGGGTTATTCATATACTTCATTGATATTTTCTTTTCGTTTTTATTACAGTTTGTATCGTTCTATTTATTGAGAAAGGTCATTTATCATTTTGTAATTCTTTTAAATCGCATGTGCTTCAATATAGTTCGGACATATTTATAGTTTTTATAGTGACAAGGATAATAAAACATCATTCAAAAACAAAGAAACAAACACATCACAACAGAATTGGTCTTTGTTCGTTATATCTATATATCATGTAAGCAGCTATATATAAAATGCGTCGTTGGTATGATTTCTCCGTAAATTAAGGGAAAAATAATGTTTTCCTCTATTAACATTTGTCATGAACGACAAATAACAATTCTGAGTTTTTCTATTTACCGTCTCCTATCGGCTAACATCCCGTGATAAATAGAACATTTTTACAGCGCGGTACTGTTAATATATCATTTTCAATCCTAGATTATTTGTACGTTTATGGTTCACTGTTTTCTATTGGCAACTAAAGAATGAGTGCAAACCATGAAACAGTTAGTAGACAAGCTATTGGTCGACAAGGATTTATTGGAAGTTTATATGATATTCGTAGTGATCGTTTCGAAGGCTGCAATCTATTTAGTCGAGAATTACCATCATCATACATATCAACAACGGATTGTCCTCATACAAGTTATATTGTTGATGAAAATGAATCTCAAAAAGATACATTTAATAAACTTCATATTGATGCATCGATGAAAATTAGTCTCATGGCTGGTCTACTTGATGTTGAAGGTTCAGCTAAATATTTAAATCGAACAAAAACGGATAGTCGAACAGTTCGAGTGACACATATTCTTCATATGAAAACAAAAAAACAACATCTACATATAAGTATGGCTGATTTATGTGATTATCTATCATCAGATGCATTAGAAAATCCAAATGCAACACATTGTGTTATTGGAATAACTTGGGGTGCGAATGTTGCAGCAACATTTGAAGAAACATTGGATACAACAGAAGCAGCTGAAGAAATTCAAGGTGAATTATCAACATATTTAAAGAAGCCAACGATGAGTATTAGCGGTGACGCAAAACTAGAACATAACGATGAAACAAATTCAAAATTTCGTTCGTTAAAAATAAGTTTTTCTGGTGATGTTTTAATTAGAGATGTTCCACATACTGTTGAGGATGTTTTTAATATATTTCGAAAAGTGCCATCAGAATTAGAAAAATTAAATGATGGAAAAGGACAACAACTTGAATTTGAATTATATCCATTGAAACGAATGGCTGAAATTTTCAAACAGAAACTATCCATCGAACGGTAAGATTGTTTATCAATATGAATGACTATGAAATCAACATTTGTGTGTTTTAGCATTATAAAAGATGTTACAATGCATATTATGAATCGTCTTGAAGATATCTTTGAACAAATAATTCAAAGTAAAAGAATGATTAATGATTCTGTTGATAATGTTAAGCCATGGAAAGATTGTATACCATTGAATTGGATTGGAGATATAGTTAATAAACAAATCGAATTAAAAAGAATCGAAACAGATACCAAACGTGAATTAGCTTTCTTACTTGAACAAATACGTCGAGGTGAAATTGATGAAAAGAAAATGATGGAATTATTAAATGATTTTGATGCAAATAATCCATGTTCGATTCGATCTGTTGAACAATTTTTGAAAACAAATTCACAACCTGATATTAAAATTGAATCATTGAATGAAATTCGTCAATCTTTAGAAAATAGTGAATCAAAAGGATATAAATCAAGTTTTTTATTTCCAAAAGCAACATCAATTCTTACGTTTGTTAGTCAACATCATGATCATGATATTTATCTATTACATATTTCGAATCAATGGAAACAAAATGATGTAGCAAATTGGTATAAACAAATACGATTTTTTAGTCATTTATACAAATCTTAAGTGCAAAATGAAGAGAAAACATCTGTTTTTCGTGTAATTGATCATGATTTGGTTGATAATTTGGATGAAAAACCTGATCGATGTGTAATCTATCATTATTATCATGGAAATATTAAAACAAAAGATTATTATCATACATCGCGTGGTAAATATATTAACTAACGTATCATCATTATAGTAGACAGAATTGTTCTTTTCATTTAGTCACATTAACTCAAGATCAAATTCGAGCAATTCGAGCAGAAAATAAACTCACAACTATAACAACCTCAGATATTGAAAAACATCATAAAAATTTTATTGCTAAGCAGTAAGAATGATTGATTTAGTATATTATTTACTTCCTGCTCAATGTTCTTTTAGTCCTACTGGTGAAATAAATGAAGAAGAATTCGCAGCTGAATTTCAACAACTTTTCCCAAAGTATGATTTCTCATTGAATCTTGTGATTGTACATTGTTTTTATACTTAGTGGTGAAGTACGATCGTACTGTAATTATGCGTTTAAACTACTCGATAAAAATAAAAGTGATACACTTAGTTTCGAAGAATTTATGTCTGGTATTGCATTAACATTAGCAGGTGATACAGAGCATCAACTCGCAGTCGTATGTATATATACTAATATGTTCTTTTCTTGAATTAAATTTGTTACTTTTATTTGAAAAGACTTTTGATATGTGTGCGACGCATGGTCAAAACAAAGTTAGTAGAGAAGATTTGATTCAACTTCTCGAAGCTGTAGCAGAATTAAAAGGTGGTCATTCAAGTTCTGCATCATTAAGTGCGAAAACAATTATGAAATTTGACAAAAGAGAAAATAATGATACAATAACAAAAGAAGAATTCATTTCTCAGTATGTACATAATTTTACATGAAAGCATTTCTCGGGCAAACATATACCTTACTCTTCTTTTAGTCTGAAAGGAAATTATGACTTGTGCGCGGCCTTCTTACCAATCGAAGTTACAAATTTTATAGATAAAACAACAAAACCTAAAGAAGATAAAAAACCTTTAACTTGTCTTGACGATAATGATGGTAGATTAATTCATGCTTTTCTTACTGATTATTATAATTCAATATCAATATTGATGACACATACGCAAAATGTCGAAAATGTATTAAAACCTAAAATGGAAGCTTTTTTCACAAGACTTGGTTGTCGTTCACATGCTGATGCACAGGAACGTGTACACAATGTTACATCAACATATCTTGATGCGATATCGATTTGGCGAACACATCACGAGAACGTGTTTGTAGGATTACAACCATTATTAAAATCAGAAGTTTTAAATATTCGCAACACTTATAAAACTGAAAACAACTGATTAATACTTTTCTTTTTGAGAAGTGTGCTTGCTTATTTGCTTTATACGTCCGCATTCTCCGCACTTTCATTAAGTATTTATCTATGCATGATTATGATTGATATTTTCTTGTTTTTTTTTATTGCGGGTTATTATCGAAAATTCTCATCAGGACTGGATTAACAGCCTACGCAAAACTGAAAAAAACTTGGCTTGTTGATTATTTTCTTCTGCTTTTTCTCTCTTTTTGCTTCATTTGCTTTGAGCGCTAAACCATTCATAAGTTACATAAAATCATGCTTACGCTTTTTTTCATAATTTCATTGGAAGATTTTTTTATCATTGGAACCAACGCTGAAACGAATCGGCTCAAGAAAATGTCGAATTCTGCCCGAAGGTGTCCTACGTTGTTTCATCGTGCTAACTTCATATCGATATTTAAACTTGTGAATATTCTAAATCGTTGGTGAATTCAGTCATATGAACCAGTCTCTTCTGTGATCGTTTATCGTTCACATCAGATTTGACTTTTATTGAGGAAAATTAAATCTTGTTTGGCCATTTTCATAGTTACTACTCAGGTCAAACAATCCGGTCCGGAACCGGCCAGTTCTAGGGTTTTCCGAAGATTTCATGGAAGCAGTATTCCAGGCACTTTCCCATAGTATCCAACGCGGAAATCGTAGATGTCCTGCTTCTAGGAACCATCGCCCTGGGATATATTGACAAACCTTTAGTCGCTCGTTATAGAAAGTTCTCTAAATGAAAAACGACAGTTACGAAAACTACCCGAAGTATAGATTTGAAAATTTAAATTTCAGATATGTGACGATGTTATTTTCTTGTATGAGGACAAGATCATATATATTTATTTAAACTATAAAAACGAGTTTATATAGTGATCAGCTGATCCCTTGCTATAACTCTGTGGAAATTTACCAAATGATTGAAATCCAAGAGAAGAAATTCGTTATATGTGCATATATGTATATGACAGGAAAGGAAAACCATCGCGCGCATATGATATATGTAGGGTAGAATCTTTATGATCACATCTGATACGATCCAGATTTAATTCAGATAATTAGCAATTACCGAAATCAAGTACTAAAATCCGCTCTTCAAAATTCATTTTTTCTCTCTGTTCTGAGCCAATATAACTCTCTAGTTTTAATGTCATTTCTCCATCAGAACTTTCTCTTTGGGAATGCTTTCTAGCAACAAATTTATTATTTAATATCAAATAAATCCATGTTTAGAAGGTTGACATGCCCATCTTAACAAAATTCGCCTTTGTTTGCTAATAAGAAGTAGGATAGTAAAAATTATATCTTCGAGTTTCAAAATATTAACGTTATTGAATTCACTATATTAAAGATTGACATACCATAATCTTTAATATCGCATCAAGAGAAACAAAAACGGATAAATAAATCTTCATTCGTATATTATAAATCCAACAAACAGCTCAAATCGTTGCGAAGACATCAACTTAGTTTCGGTAAACAATTGAAATCTCAAATGGCTTCATTATCGAGTGCAGAATACGTAAAACTACTCATTTCGATTTCGAATAATATTGATTTATACATGAGTGTAACATTTTTCGTATTCGG